CATTTAAAGTATAAGAAGTGTTAGTTTAAATCTACATCATTAAATATTATAAATTGTGTACAAAAGATTGGAAATAAAAATTTATAGCTATAGTTTATTGATTCTACTGAAATGAGTGTATTTTTTTGCGAAGTGCTTTAAAGTATTTTGAAGGGCGGGTGGTTGGATGGTTGGATGGTTGTCCGGAGGTGGAAGGAGTGGAGTTTCAGTGGGTGTGCGCTTTACACGCACATACTCGTAATCCTCAAACGGGAACGCATCTGAGTTCGCATCTAAATTCGCATCTGACTCCGAGTCCCGAGTCCCGAATCTCGTGTCAGATTTGTCGCTATCGCCATCGTGGTCTAAACGATTGATGGCACTCGTCGACATCGTCTGCCCTGTCAAAAATCCACATCCACATCCACATTCGCATCCACATCCATGGGGTTGGAAACCCCTTCGCAATGGGAATTTCCAAAAGTGTGCTCGGGCTCTTCTGGTGAGGAAATGATAAATTGCGCATTTGGGAGTTTTAAAGGTCAATTTAGGGGTTACTCTCACACTCTCCGTCGAATTCGGAACAAGCTGACTGACAGATGAACGAACGGATGGATGGACGACAGTTGTGCCATGATTTACGCAAGGTGGGCACATTTAAATTGCCTTGGGATTTCACAAATATAAGTATATATAAACACAGATTATTCAAAGAAAACATAAGCCAATCTTTCAGACAAAAAGTACTAAATATAGTATAGGTATATATGTTTATATCAATCTGTTCTTAATTTAATGTTTTAAATGTAAGCGAGCTATTTTTAATAAGCTAAAAGTATCATTAACTTTTCTCTCGTTGGTTTATGAGTCTTTCGGGTCACCCAAAATCTGTCGGATGGTTTTCCCCTGAAAATAGCCAAATGCATATATGTTCTAGCCAAAAGAGCACCTCTCGAAAGGGCAGACAAGGACTTGCCTGGCCCAAAAAACAGCAACACTTCAAAGTTAACTCGCACAATAAAAAACGAGGACCCGTTTCGACTTACGGAAAGTAACAGGGTTGCACTCGAATGGGTAACCCCGCGGATCCGGATTCCCCGATTCCACTGAAGAGCGTACTCCATACACTCCGGGGGGAAATAACGGTAAAAAGGGTATGAAGGAAATAACTGCGTAAACCGAATTTGCTTATGGGATTTAGTGTCTAGTGCGCCTGTTGACTCGCCAGTTGGCGTTTATATTAATGGCTCAGGTTGTTGGGTTCGTTCGCCTCACTTTTTCCCGAATCGTTTGGGATCGCTGTGAACTGACGCGTGCCCGCATTTTGGGTTTGAGTTAGGGTTTCCATTTAGGGGTTCTTCGGGGTGGCTTCCCTTTTTTTATTTCCTTCCTATTCGTTTTTATTTTTTTTTTTTTGGTTTTGGCTGCTCTGCGACACAAGGTGCCTAAATGGGCAGGTAAATCATAACTCTAACGATGATGACAGACAGCTTGTCTGGCGGAAATTCGGCGGCGGAAGGGTTCTCCATTTCCCGTGACAAATTCGAAAGGTTTTTTTTTATTTTCACATTTTATTGTAAGTATTTTTAGGCCAATTTACTACAAGTATTTGTTCGATTGTTTGTAAAATAAAATAAAAAGTGTTAAACAAATTTAAAAAGAACGAAATTAAATATATTTCTTTAATTTGAATTAACTGGAGGTTTCTTATATTTTAAGTTCGCATTTTAAAATTATTCAAATTTCTTTAGTATAATTTAATCACAATTCTTTGAAACAAATTGATTAACAATTGTAATGTAATTGCAGTGTTTTATTTGACAACTCAATTATGGACCTTTCGCATTTAGCAATCGTTTGGTTCCCAGCCACGCCCCCCTGGGAATGCCCTCGCCCACTTAATTTGTTTATCAATCTGGAATTGGCTTGCAAATGACATCTCCGGACTGCCTCCAAAACCCCTTTTTTTTGCACGCTCTCCTCGCATCCTGTTGCCAAGCAAGGGCCACGCCCACAGCCACATCCTAAGCGCATTCCGCCCCCATAACCGTGACATTCGACGGAAACGTAGACGTCGCACCGGAAAGATCCAGCACTGGGAGAAAAGTTGTGAACCGAAGTGGATTTGGAGGGGCTTCCTTTGGGGTTGGGTGGTAGACTTAAAGAACTATACATTTGTTCAAAACTTAAGGAACAAAACAATAGATATAATAATAATAATAATAATAAATGGAAATACGCAACTGTTAAAATAAAGTTATTATCATATTATCATATGAATATCATCATATATATTTACGTATTTAAGGTTCAATTTGAAATTGAAATAAATTGTAAGTTTGTAGCATTATCCCATGGTTCAAATGTTCTTCAATTATGAATCCCAATCAATATTTACTTGGATTTTAACCGAATTTTCCCGCAGTGTAACCTTACCGTTTGGGTTTCTTTTTTTGGGTCTGGTCGTGCTGGAGGAGGCACGTGTGAAGGTCCGCAGCTCCGGTCACGTGACCGCACGTGCAGCGCCAGTCGCTCGCCGACGAAGGCAGTCCAACACCCCCGATAAGGTATCCTTGCAGCTATATCCTTCCGGAGTCCTGCGAACAGTCCTGCAAGTCCTGCGATTCCTGTGCCGCCGTGATAAGCGCAACCTGACAACGCGACGCGTGTTCCTGATTTCTGAGTCGTCAGCCTCCCAGTTGCCGAGGACTTGTCAAGAACCAGGTCCTGCATCCATGCTGCCATATACTCTATGTATATAGTAGATCTAAATCGGGGATAAGGGTAAGGGACGCTGGATCTGGTCCAACCTTCCGTCATTGATGGTTTTGTTGGCGTAAATATCTTAATTCACCGCTTCGCCGCCCACGACACGCGTGAATCGTGTGCATTTGACATGAGAACCGCTTTTCCCTTTTCCCTTTTCCCTTTTCCGCTTTCCTGCTCCTTGGCTTTTCACATCTCGCTTTTTTTTTTGGTTCCCTTTAAAGCGGAAAAGTGCGCCGAAAAAAAAAAATTCCGCGCAATTCACTCTCGGTAGAAAGGGCACTTAACGAGCTTACAATTAATGCTTAATCCCGATTTGGGAACTCCTTTTCAAACATCCTTGCATTTCCGATTTTGGAAAGGCATCGTGGGAAGCTATGGATAAATTTTGATTGGGTGTTAGAGCTTGTACTGCCATTGACAGCTATATAGATTAGGCAATCACAACTTCGTAGTAATTAGAACCGAAAACAAAGATTAAGAGATTTAAGAACCTGGTTCAAAAGTGGGAACAACTTGTTACGATTAAAAAACAGGTAATATTTGCTTAACAATTATGTTAAAATGTTTAAAAACCAAGTGATATGTATTTTATATTTTAAAATCACATATATAAGCTATTAACTATAGTGTCATAACAAAAATGTAAATCTGAATGTAAATAAAGTGGCATTATGTTAAAAAAAGGTAATTCGAAAACAACTTCATGAAATTAATCCCACTTATTTTTAATGCAAAGCGAATGGTTTAATTTAGTTCAAATTCAACTGTTAAATCTAAATAAGCTGATAATAGTAATATGTAATTGCTAATTCAATATGAATAAGCTAATTTGTGTTTACAAAAAGACCCTTTAGAAACGAGTTCGTTTAAGCCGAACAATTTTGCGTGTAATCGCACCTAAGTGGAATTGGTGAGTTCATTGTGAGGCAACTAATATTTGGAGAGACCTTGACCTGCCCTCCCCCTTTCCCCGGGAAAACAACAAAACCAAACCGAACCAAACAAAACAATATAGAACGAGGCACACTCCACCCCAATTGTTGTATTCATCCAAAACAGTCACACACATGTGCCCACCGCAATCGCAATGGCAATCGCATTTCCATTGCCATTTCCATTCAGCTCAGTTCAGTTCAGTTTTTCTATACCATTTCCCGAACAGCCCTCCTTGCAGCTCGGCAGTTAGGTTTCAAATTACAAACCCAATTGATGCTAGTTAAAAAATCTGTGCAGGTTTTGCGTTACCACTCGATTCTCTGTGGGTTTCATCCCCGCGAATCCCGGTCTCTGTTTCTGTTGTGATGCCCCTGTGACAAGTCCGATTAGGTTAGCTGTACTTCATATAAACATGTATCTAAGCCCATCCTATCCCAACCGATCCGATCCGATCCGATCCGAGGCGATCCCTTTCCATCCCCCGTAGAAGCGAGGAATCCTTTGTTGTGGAAAGTGTCAACACAACCATCTATTTTATGCATAATTTGGCGTGCCGAAAAGCGCGACTCATCAAAATGGTGTCATATGTTTTTATCGGGCCAACAAGGACCAAAAGCCATCAACAATGGGAGGATGCGGCGAATGTTTGCCCGTCTGTCCGTCCATCGCCTGCGATTTCTGGTTTCCGGTTCCCAAACTTCGAACAAAAAGTCTTTTACTTATAAAATAAAAGCATTACATTTCAAAGGATCACGACTAATTGTCACATATCCACTTGCAAATAAAAAAATATTGGAAATATTGGTTGATGTTCACAATCGGCATGATTTATTTCCATACAATTTTTTATTACAAGCTTCACAAGGTAAAGCATTCTACATATATTCAATATTCAATTTAGTATTGAATATTTTTTAATAATTTTGTATAAATCTTCTACCAATAATTTATTTACAATATGTTTTTTAATTTAATATGCATCTTCTACCAATTTTTTATTTTACAAATTTTTTAAATGCGACCGCGGCATGCAAGGTTATTGTCTTGGCTGAACCTTGTATCTTAACGAAAAATGTACTAACACTCAATGGTTGGTGTCATGGCCGTGTCCTAATTTTTGAACGAAACGTATGACGGTTTTAGTCAAGTTTCAAGCCAGCTGGCGAGATCGTAGAACAACCTTTTACCTAAACACAATTTTTTAAATATTTATCAGTTTAAAAAACACAGTTAACCAACGCAAGTTTAACTAGAAAGCTTTGTCAACAATAAAGAAGTCAATTCAAAGCTATTTTCTTATTTCCAGAAACAACATATGCAAGGTACACTAGAAGGCTTTATTAATGATAAAGTAGGAAACAAGGTGAACAATCCTTATTTCTTTCGCTCGTAGCGGAATCGATAGACGGGCGCACTCTCCTTGGTGCCGCTCTTCAGTTTCTTCGGCTTCAGAAGTCGCGGCTGCTTAAGGGAGTTCTGCAGCTGAATCTTCTGCTGGACAATCCCGAGCTCCTTTTCGCGATGCAATCGCTTCCTTAGCTCGTTGATGCGCTGCTGTTTGCTTGGATTTATAGGTGTTTTCTGGGAATAGGCAGAAATAGTAATTAATAGTTCTGGGAACCAAATTGAAAGCAAACTAACCGGCTTTTCTGTCTCTTCCTCGAGGCGTTTTCCCAGTGTCTTCGTCCACTTGTTTTTCTCTTCGTCGAAGATTAAATGCTTGTTTACCCGTGGCCCGGCAGCTCCTTCTCCGGCAGCGTCCACGTCCACCAGCGTAGCCTTCAGTCGGTCGATCTTGTGGCGCTCAATGGTGCGCTTCATGACCACGTACTTGAGGTCCTGCGTCTGCATGAGAGCCAGCTGCTCGGGCGTGTGTTCGTCCTTTTTGTCCTCCTCGCGGTGCTCGTCGTTGGACAGCTTCGAGTTGATCATGTGGTGGTAGAACTCGTCGGGATTCTTGTTCTGAGCCCGCCGGTGCAATAGCTTTAGGGTCTTCTCCTTTCTCTGTGCGTCAATCGCGCGCTTCTTGTAGTCCTTCTTCTTCTCCAGGAATCCCAGGTGCTGGCGCGCCTCCGGCTGGTGGCGCTCCCGGTGCACCTTCTGGTTGCTCTTCGACGCCTTCTTCCACGAAGACATCTTGGTAGTCTTTTGCGGCAAAAGTTAAGTTCAAAAGTGAAGTTCGTTTGTTTTGTTTAGAAAATACAACGTGCGAGTTGGGAAGTGTTGGTAAACTTCCTATTATTCAGTGCTAGAGAGCGACAAATTGGAAGGAGCCGAAGCGATAGTTTTAACATAATTCAACCATGTTATTTAATAAATAATGATACTATTTACTCTATTATCGGGCTAAGAATATAATTACATCTGCAATAAAAAAAAAACTCAATCATCAAAGAGTTTGTAACGTTATTTGCAGTACTGATAGATTGTTTATATGCAACAAGTTCGTGACTATCGCCGAATTGGCCATCTCTAAACCGCACACGTGCATTTTGAACGGCAGCAGTTTTGATTATTTACTTCGGAAAACCGGAGTTTTTAAGTGAAAATTGAACAAAAGACAGCCGCAAGATGGTGAAGAAGAAAATAGACAACCGGATACGGGTAATGATTGAGAACGGTGTGAAACTGGGCCACCGTACCATGTTCATTGTGATCGGAGACAAGGCGCGCGACCAAGTTCCCATCCTCTACGACATCCTGACCAAGTCGACGGTTAAGGCTCGTCCCACGGTCCTCTGGTGCTACAAAAACAAAGACGAGGCCATATCCAAGTGAGTTTTCTCCTCCTTGATATACAAATTCAAATCCATTAACAAATCAATTGCAAATACCTTTTTAGTCATGGCAAAAAGCGAGCAAAGAAGATTGCCGCAGGCAAAGTGGACGTGAGCGAGGCGGACTTGTTCGATTCCTTTCGCGTGGCCACCACCATTCATGGCAGATACTACTCCGAGACGCACGCGGTCCTCGGCCGAACCTACGGCGTTTGTGTGCTCCAGGACTTCGAGGCGCTGACCCCCAATCTTCTGGCGCGAACTGTGGAAACGGTGGAGGGCGGCGGGCTGATCATTCTGCTGCTGAAGACCCTGCAATCGCTAAAGCAGCTCTACACCATGAGCATGGATGTGCACAAGCGGTTCCGCACGGAGGCCCATCAAACGGTCACGTGTCGCTTCAACGAGCGCTTGATTCTCTCGCTGGCGGACTGCAAGCGCTGTCTGGTGGTCAACGATGATCTCACCGTGCTGCCGCTCAGCTCCAAGACCATCAATGTGGAGCCAGTGAACGTAAGCTGCAGTTTGAATAGGATAACACTTGCAATATTTTATTTAAACTCTTCCCTGTTTTATAGCCCGCTGGCGCTGGTCGTTCGCCCAATGAGAGCAGCCTGAAGGAACTAAAGGAGAGCCTGCTGAATGTACAGCCAGCCGGAGCTTTGGTCAATCTCTGCAAGACCTACGATCAGGCCAATGCCGTTGCCCAGTTCATCGAGGCGCTGGTTGACAAGCAACTGAAGCCGCCCATGTCCTTAACGGCAGCCCGTGGACGTGGCAAGTCGGCTGCGCTGGGCCTTTCGATAGCCGCCGCCGTGGCCTTTGGCTATGTGAACGTGTACGTGACCTCGCCGCATCCGGAGAACCTGATCACGCTCTTTGAGTTCGTGCTGAAAGGTTTCGATGCGCTGGAGTACCAGGAGCATGCGGACTACACGATTATTCGCTCCACGAACGCAGACTACAAAAAGGCCATCATCAGGATCAACATTACGAGGAGCAGCAGGCAGACCATCCAGTATATTTCCCCCAGTGATACCCATCTGCTGAACGCCGCCGATCTCCTGCTGATTGATGAGGCAGCTGCCATTCCTTTGCCGCTGGTGAAGAAGATGATCGGTCCGTATCTGGTGTTCATGGCCAGCACGATTAATGGTTACGAGGGCACCGGTCGATCGCTGAGTTTGAAGCTCATCTCCCAGCTGCAGAAGGACAACAATGCACGGCCGCCGCTGAAGCTGGAGGAATCGATTCGTTACCAGGAGAACGACGACATAGAAAAGTGGCTGATCAACCTGTTGTGCTTGGATGCCAGCACTGTGCCGAGCATCAGCTCGGGATGTCCCACGCCGGACGCCTGTGAGCTGTACTACGTGGACAGGGACGCCCTGTTCTCGTATCACAAGGCGGCCGAGGCTTTCCTGCACCGCCTGGTCTCCATTTATGTGTCGTCGCACTACAAGAACACGCCCAACGATCTGCAGATGATGAGCGATGCGCCCGCCCACCATCTCTTCTGCCTGTTGGGTCCGATTCAGCGGATGGACGCCCTGCCGGAGATCCTGGTGGTTATCCAAGTGGCGCTCGAGGGCCAGATCTCCGCCAAGAGCATCAGCGACTCCCTGGGAAGGGGCAAGAAGGCGGCCGGCGATCTGATACCCTGGAACATAGCTGAGCAGTACGGGGATCGCGACTTCCCCAAGCTGTGTGGCGTGCGGATTGTGCGGGTGGCCACGCACCCGAACTACCAGAGGATGGGCTACGGCAAGCGGGCCATTCAGCTGCTCAAGGACTACTATGCGGGCAAGCACACCAACTTGGAGGATGGACCGGTCGCACGTAAAAACGAAGAGAAAGGTAGATACTTGTATCTTCTGTTTCACTTGCAGTCTAATAAATCAATCTCTCTGAATTCCCTCAAGGCATCGAGGAGGTGGAGGAGGAGGAGCTGAGTCTGCTGAAGGAGCAGATCCGGCCGCGCAGTCGCATTCCAACTCTCCTGCAGCGCCTGCACGAACGCACGCCAGAACGCGTCGACTACATAGGCACTTCATACGGCCTCACGTCCGAATTGCTGAAGTTCTGGAAGTCCGCCGGCTTTGTGCCCGTTTACTTGAGCCAGAAGTCGAACGAACTGACCGCCGAGCACAGCTGCATCATGCTGCACACGCCCGCCGCCACGCCCTGGCTGGGCCTCTACTACCAGGACTTCCGCAGGCGAGTGCTCAAGCTGATGGGCAAGACGTTCCGCGAGTTCGAGACGAAGCTCTGCCTCGCTCTGCTCAAGAACAAGTCCGTGGACATGGAGGCCAGCGCCCTGAAGGCGGTCGACAAGGCCATGCTGGATGTCTACTTCCTGCCGCACGATCTGCAGCGCCTGGAGAGCTACACCCGCCAGCAGTCCGAGTTCCGGCTGATCATCGATCTGCTCACGGACATTGCCCAGCTGTATTTCCAGGGACGGATCGAGGGTCTGCAGCTGGACCTGGTGCAGCAGGGCATCCTCCTGGCGATGGGTGTGCAGGGCAAAACAGTGGACGCCTTGGGCCTCGAGCTCAATATGCCGGGCAATCAGTTGCTGGCCAAGTTCTTCGACGCCATGAAGCGGTGCAATCAGTGTTTCCGATCGGTTCTCGAGCAGCACATCGAGGGCGGCATGCTGCGGGAGGAGGATCTGTCCAAGGGCGAGGAGCTGCAGCCGCTCAGCCTGTCGCTCGACAAGGAGCTGGACCAGACCGCCCGCAAGCTGGACAAAAAGCAGCGCAAGGAGCTGAAGCGCCTCAAGGCCGAGCAGCTCGACGAGTTCCAGATCAAGGGCACCGAGGAGGACTGGTCCAAGGCGCTGCAGACGAACGGAGCGGGCGGTGGCAGCGGGCTGCTCTCCGTCAAGAGGTAGGTGCGCAGATTAAGATACAAATAAGCTTGGCTTTTCTGATTTACTATTTTCAAACTCAAATTCTTTACTTAATGTTGCTTCATACAAAAAACTTTATAAAAAAAAGAAAGTTACATGTTTCTAGGTTTATGTGTAATCTATGTATCACTTGTTTCACCCACATGAGAATGTTTATCTAATATTTATTTTGTATCTCTGTCTTTCAGTGGCGTCAAGCGGTTGGATGGACCCATCGAAATGCCCGAGGACCGCGAACTGTCCGCTCCGCAAAACAAGAAGAAAAAGAAGAACAATCCGAAACAAAAGCGCGGCAAGGGTTCTCTGATTTAAAGGAGAAAGTAATGACATCTTTTTTTTTGGGGGGAAAAGAAGAATGTGGGTTTTAATGCTATAGACAAGTACATATTGTTGTAAGCTCCGTTGAAAATAAAGAAACCTTATAACTGAACTGAACTATATCTTGATGTCGGCGGAAGCCTTTGCTGCAGCAGCGGCCGCCTTGCGGCGATCCTTGAGGTCCTGATAGCTGACGCCCGGCTCCTTGTGGCTGTTGCGCTCGTACCGCTTGACCTTGGCCTTCTTGCGGCTGACCAACTTTGTCGTGGGCAGCATATTGTTGCGCTGCAGCGTCTTGAAGCGATCCTTGAGCAGGCTGCTCTCCGGTTTCACGTTGCGCAGATTGCCGGCCAGATCCTCGGGCAGGTTGACATCCAGATCGGCCTCCTCGAACTTGTGCCGCCCCAGGCGTTTCGGCTCAAACTTGGCCTTCTCCGCACGCTGCTTGCGTCGCTTCTTCAGTTCGTTCAAATCCTCCTCCTCGTCGTCCAACTCGTGGCGAATTGATTTGATGCTACAAGTGGAAGGTGGCGGTGTTAATTCATATAAAATCATAGCCAATTAAAGTTCGTACCGTATCAGATCAGCAGTCTGTTGCTTGAGCTTCCTCTTGAGCTCCGTTTGGCGAGCCAGTTCCTTTTGCTTGAGCTCCTTGCGGCGGGCCTGCTTGCTCTTCTTCTTGTTCTCCACGGGGGCGTTGATTGTGTGGTAGGGCTTGTCCGCATCCTCATCCTGATCGGCCTTATCCTGCTCACCTTCAGCCCCGCCCTCCTCCTCCTCCTCGATGCCCTGGCTCATTTCCTGCAAGTGACGGCGGTCCCTCTCCTCGGGCGTCACTTTCGAGAACATGCTGGTGGTCACGCGCTTCAGGTGCTGCTCCTTTTTGATGATGCCCTCCTCGCGTTCCACCACCTGTTCAATCAGAGCCTGGTGATCCTCCGGCGCAGGATTGTAGCTCATGCCCGGATGCGGCAGCTCGAATTTCCTAAAGCAACATGAAGAGATTAATTGGTGAAGATTCCAAGCAATCAAACGCTAATTGAAGCTCAACCGAGGTGGAACTTTAAGCTTACTTGGCTTTGGTGGTTCTGTGGTGCAGACTGGCGTGTGTTTTGACCACCCTCTTGCCAATATTTGCGGCTGTGTGCAGAGCTAGATCGCGACTGATCCAGCCCTTCTCGTCCTTGAGACCGGGAATGGCGTCGCGGAAGTCAACATCCTGCCATATGTCCTTGTCGATGGCCACCTTCTTGTTCTTCTTGTCCTCCAGTCGCTGCTCCAGCTTCTCGTAGTACTTGGCGCGATCACTGTTTGCCTGGCGATGACGGGGTTTGGTGGGATTGCAAACCTCCAGTTCGATGTTGCGTCCGTTCTTCTTCTGGCGCACATGGTTACTAAAATAAATATAGATCAATTAATAAATATTTTTTTTTTGCCTTCCTGCTGGCGCCAAAACCTACCGCTTAGCAATGGGATCCTGCACCCGGGATGTGTTCTCCAGAGCCTGATAGGTGCGCATGGGTTTTTTGGCGTTCAGCTTCCTTTTTTGCTTTACACTCAAAACGGTGGGCTTGGCTTTCTGCGGGCTGGAGTCGAGAACGAACAGATCCTCATCCTGCTTGTCCGTGAATGTCCTGCAAGAGTTAGAAATTCATACTTAGCCTCTGATTTCCACATTGTTTACTCGATCACTTACCCAATGCGCTCCTCTTGGCGCTGATCTTCGAGGAACTGCTCCACATCTTGGATGTCTGTCTTGCGCCACGCAGATTTGTTCTTCTTCGAGATGCGCTTCTTCTTTGTTGCTGGCTCTACAGCAGTCATTTTCACTGATTATTTAAAATCGAAATAAAAAAAAATAACAAACGAAGAGTGCCAAAGCGGCACACGTGCAATCTGTCAATGGTTTACAACACCTAATTTGGACGTTGCCCAACACTGCTTAGTTGGGGCAATCAGCTGTTAAGTGGTGGAAAACATCTAATCAAAGCCAAACAACTTGAGATGACTCTTTTATATATCTAATATATCTGATTTGTTACAGAAACAAAGTAATTAATGCAACACAAGCCTCAAAATTTATAAACAGATACGTACATTTCATTTTTTTCGGTAATAGCATAAATCAACAAGAAACTGGCTTTTAACCCTTTTTACTAGCCATAAAACAGCCAAAAACCAGCTTGAAACTCCAGCTGACGCATATCTACTTCATCTGTATTCCAAACACTTGTTAGTTCCAATTGCATTTGTGTGTGTGAGCAAGTGAGCTATTCCTGTGCGTTCAAATTTATTGTTAATTTTTAAGGGGCCACCACCCGCGATCTACGGCAGAATAAAAATCAGAAAAGTTTGCAAAGAGGTGGCGGTCAAAAGGGCAAAAACATTCCTAAGCGTCACGAAAGCCCCACGCGTCGAAGTGTGTGAAAAAAGGCCGGTAAGTGCGAGCAGCGACGTCGACTGCGACATGAGCAGCGACTGACGTGTACCAAAGAAAACGCGGTAAACAAACTCTTCGCTCTTATTTTATTTATTGTTTTCTTTTTCCAAATACCCTTTCTAAAAGCATGGTTATTTTGGTCAGCCGTTTTGCAATGGCCTGTTTTAATGTAACATTTTTACTCAGTGTAAAAGCCAACACCATTAAGTTTCCCCCAAGGTATTTTCAAGGTCAGGGAAATTGTTTTACAAAATCTTTGTAAATGACCTTTACAACCTTGAATGGTTTTTAAAATAAATATGAGACTAACTAGAATTGATTATAAATCACATCATAAATGTATTCACTGTTTGACGAATTTTGAATGAAAAGTTTGCCAAGAGTATTTGCCATCGGCTTGTCAAGTTTGTCTATTCAATTTGCTTTTTTTTCTATTTCTGTTTTAGCCGATTACGACGTGTTATCGCCCCGCTGAATAGTTTAATTCCCTACAAATAGCAGATTGCGATCTCATTCGGAGACAGACGAACTTTGAGCGCCACCACGATGAGCACCTTTCCCAGTTTCGCGGACATCTCCGCCAAGTTCTCGGAGGCGACGCTGGACGAGATCATCCGGAATGCCGGTGGCACTCGTCACACCTCCTACAAGTTTGGCCCAAGTGGCAAGAAGGGCGACGCGTACTTGAGCCGCGTCTTCCGCATAACCATCTTCGGGGTCAAGTCTTCGGAGAAGGGACAAGACGAGGAGGAGCTGCAGGTCAATGTGATCGTTAAGGCAATGCCCGATAATCTGCACAGGCGCCGGCTCTTCCGCTCGGTGATATTCTTCCGCAACGAGATCCACTTCTACACCAAGGTGATCCCGGCCATCGAGGCCTTCCAGAAGTCGCGCCAGCCCGCCCCCAAGAAGCCCTTCGTCGAGTATCCAAAGTGCTTGGCGACGCTGTGCGACGGGGTCAACGACTTCATTGCCCTCGAGGATGTGGGTCCCAAGGGATACAAGGCGCCAGTGCGGTGAGTTATCTTCTCTGATTTAAAAAAAAAAAATTATGTTATTTAGTTAGTTATTTAGTTAAATTTTAAAGGGAAATAACTAAAAATGAATCAATATGAAGTAATAGAAGCAAAAAATAAAATGATTCCTAACTATTGGGACAGATAATGTAATCTGATCTATCATATCTTTACTATCTTATCTTTACTTGTTGAAGCTTTAATTGTTTTACATAACAACTAATAGCCTCAGTTTTAATTGCCTTGAAAAATATTAGTAAAATATAGTTTACTAAATTCGTAATTTGAAAGATCGAAATGATTTTTTAGATTTGAAGGTACAAAGATTACGTTATTCTTTAGATGTGAATAGAAAATCAAATATTGTAAATCTTTATTGTTTTATATAATATCGAATAGTCTCAGTTTTAATTGCCTTGAAAAATAGTAGTAAAATGTAGTTTACCAAATTCGTAATTTAAAAGATCGAAATGATTTTTAGATTTGAAGTTACAAAGATTACGTTATTTTTTAGAAGTGAAGCGGAAATCAAATGTTGTGAATCTTTATCGTTAGAGGAAGCAGATCGTTTGATTTTCAAAAGAATTTATGACTCTTTGAATGTGTAAATGTAACCTGACTGATTGTGGCTCTTGTTGTTACAGCCAGGACTACATTTCGCTGGAGGACGCCCTGCTGACGGTGCGATCTCTTGGCCGCTTCCACGGCGTTGCGCTGGCCTTCAATGCACTGGACCACGACAACTTCGAGAAGGCGGCCGGAGCGCTGGAGGAGACCTACTACGGGGAGCACACGCGCGAGTGGTACACCGGCTTCCTGCTGCTGGCCGAGAAGGTGGCCAAGGACGCCATCCGTCAGATTTATCCGGGCAGCAAGTACGAAACGGTGGCCGACAACTTTCTGCAGCCCACACTGTTCGATGATCTGATCAATCTGGTGTCCACGCGCTCCAAGCTGAGTGTGTTCGGGCACGGCGACTGCTGGACGCCCAACTTCCTGACCAAGTACAACGAGCAGGGGGAGTCGGTGGCGAACATCATCATCGACTTCCAGCTGGCCAGGTGCTCCTCGCTGGCCCTCGACGTCAGCTTCTTCGTGTACTCGTGCACCAGCCAGCAGCTGAGGGAGCAGCACTACGAGACGCTGCTGCGCGCCTACCTGGAGAGTGCCCAGGATCTGATCAAGGATCTCGGCGGCAATCCGGAGGCCATCATCTCGTGGGAATCGCTGCAGGAGGAGCTGAAGAACTTCGGCCGTTTCGGCTGCGGCATGGGCATTGAATCGCTGCCGATGACGATGATCGAGGACGACGAGGTGGCCGATCTGGATGGCATCACCGAGAACGCCATCCTCACCGACGTGTGGAACATCACGCCGTTCAAGGAGCCAGCCAAACAGCAGCGACTGGCCGACATCTTCAAGCACGCCATCGATCAGGGATACATTAAGTAGAGAATCAGCATTGTGACCTCCTTTTGTTTTCTGCGATCAAATCGAATCCACCTTCTATTGGGAATTTATGTAGCCCATGTATGTGCAAAAAATATATGTATATGTAACTCCGGATTATTGAAACCATTCGTGCTTTGGATTAAAAACAGATCTTTATCTTTATGGGGCAATAGCTGATGAATAGAGTAACATTCACGGAAAGGTATGTACAACGTGCTGCTGCTGCTGCTGCTGCTGCTGCTGCTGCTGCTGCTGCTAAACTGGATCAAAGGCACTGTCCCTCGTGGAGGACGCACCAGTGGGGTATGACCGCGTCCGCATGGATGCCCCTGGCCAGGAGTCGCTCCCGATAGCGATAGAACCTCCGCTGCGCCAACACCGCCGACGACTTCGGATTCGACCACAAACGTTCGGCGGCTGCTCCTGCCCGCGGCCAAATGCGCGATTCTGTGGGAGGATTAACCGGATTAACCATACACGATACATGGGGGAAACCAAGTGCTACCCACCCAGCGAATTCTGATCGACGTACTCGCTCCACATGCACACCTCGCCGCCGAGAACCTGGTCCCGGCTGCGTCCGAGTGGCATGCCACTGGAGTACACCGTGCGCCAGTTGTAGTAGGAGGTGCTGCCCCAGAATCCGTGGTCCAGGTACCAGGCATTCTTGGTGGACACGATCAGGCGGTAGCCCTTCTGCAGCAGCTCCCGATTGAGCGCGTCCTGCGACTCCACCCACGTCTGGATGATGAACCGCTCCTTGGGCAGGTACGCCTCGATGTACTTGGGATTGGTGAGGTGGCTGGACCAGATGATCACCGACTTGGGCTCCTTGACGCCCGGATACATCCGCTCGTTGATCTCGTCCCAGGCGTTGAGGTTCCGCTGATGGAACTGCGACCACAGGCGGAGGAAGCTCTGCTCGCTGAGATCGAAGCCGCGGGCCCGCATCCCGTCGCGGATCTCGTCGGTGTTGTTCCAGCAGGGCAGGAACACCTCGTCGCCGCCCATGTGGAGGGTCTCCTCGGGTGCCCCCACCTCGGCCACGTCCTCGAAGATCTCCTTCAGCACGGCGTACATGTGATCGTTCAGCGGATTCAGCTGGCCACACGGCGGCTGCACACAGAATCTCCTCCAGGGCGATTGGTTCAGGCACACGGACATGTTGCCCAATCCGGCGGCCGGACCCCACTGCCATCCGTTGCCCGCGTGCGAGGGACCATCGATCTCGATCAGGATGCGGATGCCGCGCAGCCGGGCGTACTTCACCAGATTGAGTGCATCCTGGCGGGAGTAGGTCTGCGAGGAGGAGTACGCCCCGTACCGCTGCATCTCCGGCACCCTAGTGATCTCCAGCGGGAAGCTGTGCGTGTCCACCACGTGCCAGTGGAGCACATTCAACTTGCTGGCCGCCATCGCATCCAACGTGCTCCGGATGAACTTCAGCGGGACGAAGTTCCTCGCCGTGTCCAGGAGCACTCCGCGATGCGGAAAGGCGGGGCGATCGCTGATGTTCGCCGAGGCGGCCATCAGCAGACCGTTGGAGAGGCTCCCGGTGACCAGGTTGCTCAGCGTTTCGAAGGCGTGGCGAGCACCGTAGACCGTCTCCGCCTGGATGTCCACAAAGGTGGCGGTGTCCGTGGAGCGGACCACCATGGCGTAGCTCTCGTCGGTGGACCAGTCGAGGAGCAGGCTCTCGTTGGCCACCGTCGACCTGACCAGGATCTGCTTGCTCTCCGCCAGCGTGCAGTTGCGGATGCACTCCTTCAGCAGATTGGTCACGAACAGGCGGTTCGTCTCGCGCAGGAACTGGGTGGCCGCCTCCCCGGGCGCCGCCACTCGGAACCGCACCCGCCACGGATCGAACCGCACGCGTCCGTGCGCGATGGAGCACTCCTGGCCGGTCGGCATCGGCCAGATGGCGCCGAACTTCCCGCAGGAGAGGCGGCAGTCCTTCTGGCTCTCGAACAACTCCGGTCCGTACTGCAGTCCGGCCACCTTTTCCGCCTCCGAGGTGCAGATGTCCGTCCGACTGCAGACCCACTTTCTAAATAAATAAAATTTATAAATTATATGCTAGATCAGTTTTACATTATTCTTTTCAGTGTTTATTCAGAAGATTTGTTCTGTTCTGTTTTCTGGAATTTTCAATAAAGGATATAGAGAAATGAAATCCGTTTTCTAACTACTATTGAATTTCGGATTAAATGTGATCAAAGTCGTATAACTCCATCATATAGCTGCCATTGGAAGGATCGAAAAATCTATATAGAAATAACGGAAATAAAATTATAACATCGTTGTTTTTCACCAGACAAGCTTGATTTTTGGCATATCGAGTTTGCTAACGACTCCTGAATCACGAATTAAATTTTATCAAAATCGGGCAACTAGGTATATCATATAGCTGCCATTTAAATAATAGTCGAAAATATTGAAAATGAATAGATTCGATGTTGTTTAGCCTCTGTGTATTTCGCTCGAAATATTTGTTGACCGCAAGGGGAGATAAGCTTTGGCTTGCCGAAGCTAGCTTCCTTCCTTGTTTTTTATTTAAGTTTCAGTTTTTTAGGTTCATGCCAAGTTGAAAAAAATCAGTCAATAAGATCATAAAACGAGTTAATGGATTTCAGTGGAAATTCTGTAGTAGTTTTGCGATAAGAATTAAAACAGATAAACAGATTCAACTTTTTATAAAACACCCAAATCTATGATCCTTTTTATTTGTTTTCCTTTTTTTGGGTTTATTTGGGTAGCTTGATAATTTTAAATCAACAACACTCAAAGAAAATATAAAAAAAACACTCACACAAGTAATAATTAAATTTAAAATCTAGCCACTTTTTGTAGTGATTAAAAAGATTCAAAAAGAAATAAATTAGATTTTCTTATTCGTAGAAAGCAAGTAGAAGTACAAGTTTTGTCACTTTGCCAGTTTGTTGTTTTTTGCACTTTCTCATTTTGCACACTATATAGTGATCTTTAGACTTTTATTTATACAATCCCGCATTAATGAATATTCACATTTGACACAGGTGTGTTTTCCGCTGATTTTGTTCATTTCTAATTTATTTTGTTTTATGAAGCCTGGTTTCACTTGTTGCTCTTGTTGTTGTTTGTTGCTGCGATTTCCTGTCTAGCGGATTATCAAACCTCCTCGGGATCAATTCGAATTTCCGGTTTGCATTTTTATAAAGGGAAGTACTTTGTTTTGTTTTCTGAATTTAGAACTTTGTCAATTTGGCAATTATATTTGAAACAAATTAACATGTTTCTTTGAATTGGAGTTTATTTTGTGAAATTGTAAGAACCTTTTTTTTATTTTAAAATAATGATCCTTATTTGGTTTCTTGTTCTTGTTGTTGTTGTTGTTTAGATTTCCTTTATAGCAGGGACACCAACCTGCTGACGCTGCCGCCGTCGACGTCGCTGTCGACTTCATCTGCCCGCGTTAACGCAGCGCCGACCGCGAAGCAGAGCAAAAGCGAGCCTAATGCGAAGCTGAAGCGCTGATAACGGTTGTAGCCGCTGAACCGCATCGTTCCTTTCTAACGGTTTCCTCGGCTACGCCGCCCGCTTTTATATTGTTTTTTGTTTTATTTTTTTATTCGTGTATCTGAGCCTGCCCATGTGTGTGTGCACCGCACACCGCTCCGCTCGCCGAGCACAACAAAACTGAAATCGAAATAGCGACGGGGGAAGTACGAATAAAATAAATCCGGCGAAATTTCACTTGCAGCGCAGCAGCGGCAGCAACAACAACAACAGCCACATCCGCGAGAGCCGAGCTTATCGCCAATTGAAACGAGAGAGAGTGGATAAAAAGAGCGTTACACAGCAAAAAAAAAAAATGGTTCCTTTGCGATAAAAAACAAGATATTGGATTTAGTAAATATTCCTATTTTAAGATGCAGCATTTAATCGAAACAATCCTTTAATGTTTTTTAAAATTATTTAATTTTCCTATATATGCTGTTGTTGTATTGTTGTATTGTATATTTTTGAAAACTTTTCTTATATCAGTTTGATATATTCATAGACCTTTACATTTACATAGATTGGCTCTTACAAAGGCAATACCAAATGAAGTTGAAATTTTTCCTAGACAACTAGCTGCATTTTCTCTGCGTGCAGAGCTCTGGAATCAGCATATCCCCCACTCTCTGCATAATACCCCGCCCCCTGGTGAGTGGCCCACATACGGAAGTGGTGGAATGGGTGATAAAATGGAAAATATATATGCGGTGCAAGAACCGCCGCAACAACAATGATATCGGTGGCTTCAAACTGCCAACGAGCAAAACTGGAAGAAGAAGCGCAAAATTATGCACCCAAAAGACGGAAACTCTCTATAAAATGATTTTATCTGTAAGATACAAAAAAATAACAATAGCTTTCCATTTATTTCTTAGTTAGTCAATACATTACAAAAATCAATTCTTTGATTAAGAACATTGTAATATCCACAACTCATGCTAATTTTGTATTAAACAAGCGGCAATTAACTGTTGAAAACGTATAGGCCATGGCAAATCGGTTTAATATAGCAGGAGATCTGTTAAAATGATTGAACACGTTTAAACTGTTTTGTTTATAAAATATTTGTATACATAATAAAAGATCCCTCGAAATATTCAAAACAATATACATATCTATTTTTTAATTTCTGATTTGTTTACGGATTTGAATTGTTTTCGCATTGTATCTACATTTATTATCTTTTACAGAAAATTTAAGTTCAAATGTGAAGGAGAAACTTTTCTTAATTTTGGCTTAGTCATAAAAAATTAAAATAATAATTATTATTAGTAATTTAAGAAGAATAAATACAACAAATATTTGATGTTAATATTGTTAATACCTAAGTCATTTTTAAAAGATTAATAATGGTAGAGCGAGCACCTTTTTTTTAGACAGTTTATAAGGATGATCTTCATATTTTAATTAATTAAGGTCTGCAAAATGTTTTTAGCAGCGAAGCGCACTGTTTGTGCACCCTTATTACGATTTCGATAAAAGCGTTGAACAAGTTGAAAACAATAATAAATAAAAAAGAAAAGATTTGTGTGTGCGACTGGGCATTGTTGATTATTATTTTATTGTATTCGGCATTCGCACATCTAGTTCTTACATGCATCCCCCTCTCCTTCCCCCCTCTCTCTATCTCTCTCTCGCTCTGTCTATCTCTATCTTTCTTTATTAATAATATGTATTATTATGCGGTCGCTGGCTTGGATTCCAATTCCATTTTTGTTCCATGGACGGCTTTTGTGCGCTTACCAAATGAATTTTGAATTATGCGATAGCGCCGCCTTCGCTCTTTATTCTTCGCTCCATTGTTGTTGCCCGTGAGCATGTGTGAGTTCCTCTGTTTAGAATGTGAAATTATAATAATTAAAAAAGAGTACGTGCGAGTGTTGTAATGGGCCGATTGAGCTGGATGTGGGTGAGGCGATAGTTTGCACTCGCCTTGTTCACCTTCTTTCGAGATAACCCACCATGGTTTCAATACTCACCATTAATTGAAAACTGATTTCGTTTCTCTTTAAAGATTAAGAAAAATAACCACTTAGATAAAAATAATTTTCTATACTTTGGAGACAAACTTTTTAAGTACTTACCACTTTTTCGAAAATCACAGTTTCATCTGACTCTTATTAATATATTGAAAACCCAACAAAGCTCATTCGAATCTGTGATTATAATAAATCAGAAAGTGCATTTAACACAATCATCATCTACTTTAATTTTATGAGTGCGATTGATTTCTAGTTTAGCTTCTCTACTTATCAAATCAATCTATGTATATTATAGATAAACTTATCACTTGACACGCTCTCATCTCTAGAATTTCACACATGTGGGCGGGCCAAATGAGTTTTGCCCAACTCGGACATCACGTCCTGAAAGGGAACCAGCAGGACGATGGCGATGGAGATGGAGATGGGGCAGGATCTGGATCTGGATCTGGAAAGGGGCATGGATATGGATATGGAGAAGGATGAGGTTGTGGGATGGGGGATGGAGGAAACGTCATGATGAGGACCAACTGCAGCTGCTCCTGTCGCTCCAGGACAATGCAGATGCACAGATGCGGATGCACTCGAACAAAAATCCTCTAAGAAGTCCTTATGGATTAAGGATAATTTTAGGTCTTAGCTGCTGGTGCTGCTATTTTAAGATAGTTTTTTTTTAAAGACTTTAAACTACCTTTTTTATAAATTAAACATAAAATAAGTACACTAGTTTTTAATAAAATATTCTTTAAGACGTATGATCTGAAGTACTAATACAAATATTTAAAGAAAAAGCACCTAAATGTTTAATTATTTTTAGGTGTACTGAAATTTATGGGAATGAGATCCGTTGCCACTGATTATGATGTTGATTACATTGCGGCTGTTCTTCCTCCTTCCTCCTTCACCCTTTCTCCAACCCCCTCCACTTCACGCCCCTATTACACACAAAAAAAAACCCCAAAACTTCTACACCTTTAAATAACAAATGTTAGGTCTCCCAAATTGTAAATCATAATAACTTCATAGGTACCATCAATTTATTTTTATGATGATCTCAAGAAATTCCATTTGATTTTTTTAGATAATCATAAATTAAAATTGTACATGGGTGTACTAACTTATTTAATTAGTTTACCCTGAGTTGTGAAATAATTAAGATTATATAACATCACATAAGGATATCTTTTTCTCTGCATTTCCTTGGACGGGATGGAAATGGCGAGTCCGTCAGACGCTAGGTTCTTCATTCCGGTTCCGTCAGTCAGCGTTGACTGCCCCCCGCCGCGCCCCTTGGCAACCCCCTCGGAAGCCCCGCCCCTGGATGCTGCTGCTTAGAACAATGCAAGATTAAAAAACTGTAACAAATTACAAGCAAAACGGCAAATAAATTACACAAAAAACAGAGAGCTGGAAATAAAAAAAGGAAATCAGCAGAGGAAATGCAAACAAAAAGCAAGCGCAAAAAGTTGCAGCTTCCAAAAGGGGGCGGGGGCAACAAAAAAAGGGGCGTGGCTGAGGTCAGCGGCCCTAGGGGTTGTCATACGATTCTCACGGGGGGTGGGGCGTAAAATCGGGGGTTGGCATGTGTGGAAATGCAAAGTTATAAGGCAAAGTTAATTTGGGTTTTGTGCTTTTTTTCGGGGGAATCGGAGAATGACATTATCCTTTATCCAATTTATCAGAGTTTTCTCCTTATAAATGGTAGATAAAGTTCACTAGATTTTTAACAAATTTTATTGTGATTTTTAATCATTTATAGATTGTTATTATGTGCGTTATTATGTTAGATAAATTACCCTAAAATTTATTAAGATTTTAATCAGGGTCTTATTCAGTTAAAAAGTTTTTAAAAGGTATTATTAAATAGAATATATATATTTTTTCTGTAACGCCCTTTAGAACAAATATTAAATTGTAACATTATTTTTAAATTTAAATTTCCAATAACTACATATTCCATTAGAGAACATATTGATTGCAGTTACTAGAAAATAAAATAAAACAAGACATTAAGTTAACTGGCTTTTCTTCTTTTCATATTGTTTAATATTCACTTCTTATATTTATTTTGAAAATCCTTTTTTTTACGAAAGCTTTTAATACTAATTGAATTATTTTTGAATTTAAAAAATATAAAGAGCAATAGGTGGTTTTCCAGTAGTAGTTTGTGTTTGTCGTTTGGATTTCTTTTGCGTTTTTATTGTTTGCGATGGGCACAGGTGGCTCACTAAACGTTTGGCCTTTGGAAAGGGGGTGGTAAAGTGGGCGGTGGGCGGATGGCTGGAGGGTCAGAGGGGTGTCCAACTGATCGGAAGTGGATGAGGTTTGTTCGGTCGCTGCTGTTCCTCTAGTTGTTGTTGTTCTTCTTCTCTTGTTGTTCTTGTTGTTGTTGTTGCGTTGCGTCCGGGGACCGTCAAACAATGCAAATTGCATGAATGAATGCCATTTTGCATTTCATTTCAATGCCCACCACCCCCTGACCCCTTTGACCCCTCCTTTAACCCCTCTTCTTGTCTTCTGTTTTTTTTTTGTTTTTTTTTTTTGCAGCCTCTGCCGGCCCTGGTGAACCTGACTGCATTCTATTTTTCTTTTGATTAAATCAAATGCATAAAATGTTTTCAATTCAATCAGAAAAAAATCACGAAACCAACTGCAAGAGTACAAGAACAACAGCGAAGAAAGTTCTGCTTACTTAGTACTTGAAATACCCTTTCCTTGATTTAAATAAAATAAGAAATTACATTTAACCGAATATAAGTATTTGAAAACCTTTTAAATAAAATCTTAAACAGTAAACAGTATTTATTTCGTGACTAATTACTGTATCATCAGTAAATAAAGCCACAGGTTTTCGATTAATGTCGACCTTCGCCATTGTTTTAATTTGAATTTATTTAGCTAGTGCTTTGATTTGAAAAAGAATCAAGGTTAATTTAGTTTGCAAAATAAAATGGAAAGTGTTGAAGGTTCTGTGAAGTGCCTATTAATAACCTATTTAATGAAGAAACCAATATTAATTTACCAACTAAAAAAATTGTTTATCTTCCTCAACTTTTCCCCAATTTATGTAAATACTGCTTATCATGATTGGAGATTGGAAAATCAAAGATATCAGCAATTAAAGGGCAGAAATGGGTGAAAAAGAGAGAGTGAGTTCTGGAATGAGAAGAGAATCGAATCGAATGCACAGTCGACCATTCTTCTTCCCTTGTTTTGTTTTTTTTTTTTAATTTGTGCAAAGTTTTCTGCCTTTTTTTCCACACACATGTGGTCTTTTTTTTTTTTTGTCTGCCATCGAGTGTGTGCGAATCTAGCTTTTTAATTAATTGCACTAACCTCCCCCTTTTCACCGCGTTTTCCCTGCCGCTGCTTTTCTGTTTTGTTTTTCGATTCTTTTCCGCTTTTTTTTGTCGTTTTTGATTTGATAATCCGATCCAACAATTGTTGTTCAAGTTCAAGGCCCTCCGAATGCTCTTTGATTCATGAATTAACTTTTTAGCTGGCTGTTTGTTTTGTTTTTGTGTGTTCCCCGTGGATTTATTTGTGCTGATTCGTTTTTGATGGTGATTTGTGGCCCAGGGGTGATCTAAATATTTATCAAATACTATATATCAACCTTGTGCAATTTATGTAGGCCGGAGAGTTGTTTTACATATTTTTGTGAAATGCTTCGTTAATCATTTCAACAAGGCTTGCAAAGAAAACTCCTGAAATCTTCAATTAAATGGAGAACAAAGTGTTTAAAGTCTACTTAACTAATATGAGTCGTTTTATAATTGTTTTGCTTTTTTAATAATTTTTAACAGCTAGATAAAATTCAAGAAGATTTACCAATTTTTTCTTGGCAAGATAAAAAATCCTCGATTTTGATATGAATTGAATTTCTGTTGGCTTTTTGTTTAGCAATTTGCGGAAGCTGACGTTGTCTTCCTCTTCCTCTTTCTTTTCCTCTTCCCCCCGAATCCACCGACTATCCCCCGCCTGTATCCCCGCTATCTGCCTCTCTGTCGCTCCCTGCTTTTTTGTTGTGTCTTTGTCTCTGTCTCTCATTGGAAGGCGCCAACATAATCAGTATAACAAATGAGATCCTTGTCGACAGTTGTTTGCTGCTTTTGTGTCAGTGGCGTCGTCATCATCATCATTTCAGCGGTGCTTCAGCGGGGGGAGGGGGGATCTAGGGGGATGGGAGGGGGTGGCTAAAGTGGGTGGAGGGGAGGAGGAGTGGCACTGCTGTCAACGTCTCTCTGCTTTCTGCCTGACGTTCTACATTGTTATTGTTATTATTTTTGCTGCCTTTATGCAATGTTTTGATTAATTTTTGCCGCAGCCATCTTGGCCTCCCCCCTTCCTCTTTATCCTTCCCTTCCTCTTCCCCCTCTACGTCCCCGAACCCGAACCCGCACCTCTAACCCAAAACCCCGCCCCCTCTGCCACCGCCCCTCGCCAACCAGCGTGCATTTGCTTGACTGCATTTTCCTAGCTGCCTCTGACTTTTGGGCACTTTGAAAAAATAAGGGGACCTTTAAACATGATTTAATTATAAGATTTTAAAAATTAAATGGTAGAAGTTTCAATAGGGTTTTTTTTACTTAAAGCATGATTTATTCTGCCATTGGAAACCAGATTTTAAAAGCTAAAAAATAAACTTATTATTGAAAAAATATTATTAAAAAAGGTTTCTTGTATTATACAAATATATAAAAAGGCGTTCTTGGGAACCCATAAAACAAAATAGCATCCAATCAGTTGACACTATATCCATGACTTATCAGTCACTGCATTTCGTCTCGTTTTTCAATTCATTGACTTATCTATCACTTTGATTTCACATTAAAACACTTACGGTCAGAGAAAATCGAAAGGGGAAAAGCAGGATTTCAAAAACTCGAGAAAATGATTTCGCAGATCCTTGTTCTTTTACTACTCTTCGATGCCCAGATTCCGATCCTGGAAACAAACAATTTGGAGGTGTCGGGAAAGCCAGCAAAATCTTCCTTCTGTCCCCGAAAAGCAGGGGAAAATTCGGAATTCTACGAAGAGGGAAACTTGAAGGTGATCAACGATAATAATTGGAAGCAGTTGCTGAATGGCGAATGGCTGTTCTTTCTGTGCGTGAAGTTCGAATCGGATTGCCAGGATATGGAAAGGATCTTCAATGAGTTGCTCACCATTTGCAAAGGATGTTTCCACGTGGGATTGGCTTTCAGCGATGTCTCCATTCCCTTGACGCTTCACAGGAGATTCTCCGTCCATGGCGAGGATGTTTTGTACCATGTTTTGGGTGGGCAGTTCCGTCAACTGAGCCTGGGACACAATGCGGTGTCCTTGCGCAAGTTACTGCAACTCCGCAAGTGGACGCACATCAAGCCACTGCCATTCTGGCGCCATCCCACTTCCATGTGGATCGATATCGAGGTTTTGGCCTATAAGGCAGCCGTGGAAGTCCAGAAATCGGGAGTTATTGGCAACGACTATCAGCTGGCCACCTGGTTGGTCAGCTTTCTTTTTGCCTGCATTCCGACCACGGGAATATATTTGATCTGCCGCATAGTCTACCATATATTCGGCAAGACTTCGGCTCCAAAGGATATCTCGGAAAACCACAAACTTCCTTCAGATGAAAACTGTAGCTCTGGTTGGATAAAGATTGAAGATATCATGACTGAGGATTCGGATGATAGTGGCTCGGATGATAGTGATTCGGATGATAGTGATAGCAAAGATGGTGACAGTGATGATGGCGATGCTTATTTTTCTGTTGAAGAGTTCCTTTTTCCAACGATTGATGATAATATGATGAGATATGATTAGATGAACCCGGGATATTCTTCTCAAAACTACGAATCAGAATATTGATGATGATGAACAAACTTTCCTATCCATTTTCATAACATTTCTAATGATGGAGAAATAATGAGCTTTCCAGAAGGAAGCTACTTTTTTTTGAAGGCTCAACCTTTATAATAAACTCGGTTCATTATATCATTGTGCATTACTTTTCTTACAGTGCAAGGTGAAAATGGAAAAATGTGGAGCCAGCGGGGAGATCGGGGGCGGGAGGGGAGGCGTGGCTGACTGGTGCTGATGATGGGCGGTGGAGTGGGCGTGGCTGTTTTGTTTAGTAGTTTTATGGTCTCAACTCGCGGTAAACAATGAAAAACTCTGTCGCTGTTCATTGTCTCGAGTCGAAAAAACTTGGGATAAAAGGCGAAGAAAATCCCGGGAAAAGGTTGCGATGGCAAAGACAAGCCAGAGATTCAAATATACAAACCGATTTTCTGGTCGTAGATTTAATAAAAGAAGATGGAAGTTATGAGAAAAAATAAATAATAAATACAGTTTGTAACGAACTAAATCAAAAACAGATTTTGAAAACGCAGAAGCTGCATTTTTCATTACGTTGTTTAACTCATTTAATGTATTTAAAGCTTTATTATTAAAAGCTATAGCATTTTTTTAAAAACATGAATGAATTGCACTGTACTCTAAATCAAATCAACATTTAATTATATTAAAATCCCTGTTCTGGCAAGGCCGCATATACATTTTGCTGTTATTTATGTCTTGGCCAATAAATTTCGGCATATCGCAACTCAATCAAAATGAGAATTGCAAACAAAATGCATTTGCATTATTGCACTTTTCCAATGCAGCTGCAATGCAAATGCAATCAATATAATTGATGCAACATCCGATTTTGTGGCAGCTTTCCCCCTTTTCCTTCCACATCCTCGGAACATTTCCATTGAGACGAGCCACAAAAAATAAAAGGATTTATATGTGCATGCATTTATAAATTCATTCACATAAATTCCCATTATACTTTATAATTTACAAAATTGATTTTGGTCAAATAAATGCGAATAATTTCCCGACTTTCGATGAATAAACTTGAAATGGGGGGATTCCGTTTGTTAAAATAAGTAAATTGAGTCAAAATCTGGTTGCCTATAAGTTCTTAATAACAATGTGATTCGTCTATTTTTAATGAACAAAAAAACGTTTCAACTCATAATACAATGGCATTCAAAACATAGAAAAAAAAATGTTTGAAAATTTTTGGCAATTTTGGTAAGGGGTGCCCCCATAAAGTTTTCAAAATTTGAAAAACCTGGCATGCAACTTTGTTTTAGGCCTAAAAACATGAAAAAAAAATGTTATTTCCATTGAGATAAACCAATTTTTGGCAATTTTATGAAAACTTTACCGAAAAAATAGTGAAAATGGAAAAACCGTCTTAACAAAAATTCCAAGAGGGCCCCCATAAAATTTTCCAAAACAGTTTATTTTTCAAAGTTTAAAAAACCTGGTATGCAATTTATTTATAGGCCTGAAAACATGAAAGAAAATGCTATTCCCGTTTAGATAAATCATTTTATTATTCATTTTTATTTAATGCAAATTTTACCGAATAAAAAAGATTCAAAAATCGAAAAATCGAATTTCCAAAAAAAACCCCTACAAAATGTTCGAAAAAATATATTTTCCTAACTTTGAAAAAGCTGGTAAGCAATTTTGATAGAAACATAAAAGAAAATACTTTCCCCGTTAGGGTAATATGGTGTTTGGCCATTTTATGCAAATTTTATTTAATTGCTTACTTTCAGATACCAAGTTCAAGTTTTGACCAAGAAATATTAATCGCCCCCAGCACCTCCGTTAAATACCGAATCCAATTTCTTTTGTCAACTGTCTCCCACTTTTGCCTCGAATTTTCCCCCTTTGAATCACTCCTTCAAAAAGAAAAGCTTTCACATTTTTCAGTTGCAACGGCATGTGGCAAATTAGCGCTTAATGTTAACATTTGCCCACTTTGTTTCGTTGTGTTAATGCATTTTAATTTTTCTTAACCGTGCAGAGCGGCAGCCTCAAATCCTGTGATGTCCTGCATCCTGACAGGATAACCTCCCTTCGGCCAATGAGCATTTCGCAATAATAAAGAAAAATGGTTTTCTTTTATGTTTTAAAGCACTTATTTTGAACACAAGTATCAAATGTTTTTTGAAACCAGTAAAAGTATTGTAAATCACATTTGATTGTTTGTAGCTTCAAAAATATTAAATATAATGAACTGTTTTAAATGTATTAAACAAGTATTTTAAATTGTTAACACTTTAGAAAATCTTGAGCAGACTTAACTTAATTGCAGAGTTGCATTTGAGTAAGTAGCTCATTTAAATTTCGTCTTAACCTAGTCGAAATATTCGTTTCTTATACGCTTTTTACGACTACAAATGTTGTTGTTGTTGTTGATGTTGCTGCTGCTGTTTTTTTAATTACTTTTTTTTTCCAACTCATTTTCTTTTGTGAAATGCAACCGGGTTCTGCTGACTGATGCCGAGTCCTTGCTGGTTGAGTTGAGTTGAGTCGAGTCGAGTTCCCGGATACGGCGGTTTGTCGTCCTCCCCGTCATCGTGGCTGTTGCTGTTGTTTTTGCTTGGCTGCATTTCCAGCATAAATTCAGTTTCATCATCCCGTTCCCCAACGAATCACACTGAGCAAATAGAAAAAAGATGTCGAAAAGTACAGAAACAAATTCACCAAAACTACTTCGAAAACAAGACAGGCTTTTATTTAATTTAATTACATGTGGGGATCGTTAAAAAACCTTTTTATGATTTATTTATAAAGTATAATTTCTAAAGTATTTTTCCGGGCCTTTAAATCATAACTTGCTTCACCAAATTTATTTAATAGAAAATGGCAAAATGATTTGCCCCCAAAGATATGCAACAAATTATTTTATTTTTTAAATTTCACTTATTTTCTTTTTGGATAAGTGCATCTCTCATCTCGTTTTGGCTCGTCTCCGCTGACAGACAGCTGTCATGGACGCCTACTGAACCCCTCTTTTCCCATCTTCACTCATCCCCTGCCCCCCTCCCCCTCATTTACCCAACCCCCTGGCAAAATGACATTGTGACTATGCAATTAGTATTATGAGAAATATTTTCTCATGTTGTTTTTAGCATTTTTTCCCCATTTTGCAGCTGAGGCGCCAGGACCACGCCCCCTTCCGCCTCCCCCTCTACAGAAAAAAAAACATCACGGTGTGCTTTTGTGTGGCGCTGATTATAATTTTTGTGTTTTCGTTTTTTTTCACCCTTTCTCTGTCTCTCTGGCGTGCAAAAAATGTAATTAACTTAATGATTTTCATAAGCGAGTGCCAGGTGGGCGAAAGGGGGAGGGGAGAGGTGAGAGGGGAGAGGGGGCGGAGATCGGGGATCGGGGGGATGGCGGGCTCGGTGGATGCTGCACTCATTATTAGGGCAATTAAAATGATTACAAAATGCAACAGAGAGACGAATATAAAAATATTAAATAAATAGCAGCGAGGGGGAGGCGAAATTACAAGACCTAGTTTTATGCGTAATATGCTTACCATTTCAGGTCCTCGTTTCTTCCTCACGTTTTTTATTTATAAGGCACCAGGATATTTTGAAGTCGAAGCCAGCGGGTTTCCTTTCCCTCTTGTTTTGTCTGGTTCTCCTTTTTGTTTCGGTTTTTTTTGCCTTCAAAATTTTTGTTTTGCTTTTTTTTTGTCGGCATTGACAAATCATAATTAAAAATTCCAATTAACTAGCGTCTTTGGCTGCGAAGAAACCAACCAAACAACAAGAGCGTAAAACCACCCAAAATTCTGTCGAAAACCACCCACTAACATCATCATTTCTTTCACCGCAGGGAATTCTTCTTTATTTGCGACAGCCACGCGAAATTTCATTGTTTACGCTCTGTTTTGTTGTGCATTACGAGCAGGTTTCTGGAATTTTTGGCCACGATATCCACTTGCATCATCCTCCTAATTTGCTTCACCATATCTTTCATTTCGCATAATTTTCAGAGGGAAGTAAAAATAGTATTATCATGAGTGCCTTGTCATTTAAGTTCACATGGCAATTGCTTTCAATAGTGTAAGTCAACTTTACCTTTTTGTGAAAGGGTTTGTTATTGGTTTGCCATTTGAAATAAATATTGTTGAGCCATTAACAACTGGACAACTATCTAGATCCGTCAAGCGGATCCTTGTTCAACGGCGGACATCCAAAAGCTGAGCGGACGCGACCGCGGCAAGATCAAGATAGCTTTCCAGATAATACTGCAGGACTATCTTTATTCAGACTAGTTTCGATCTCTATATACTTTTATACTTTCCGTATATACTTGTATACTTTAAAAAAAACGACTTAAAACTATTGTTGGTTAAACTTAATTTTCATCAGAGAGTCACGTTTTGTTGTAAGGGCGTTGTAAGAGGAGTCACGAATTGACACATGGAGGGGAGGTGTGGTCAAAATAGCCAAAAATTAGCGTCACAATGTTTATCGACGGCCCCATATGAATCCTTTCAAACAAAACGCTGTTTAAAATTGTGTTGCCTACTTAAGAGCGTACACTGAGTAGACGCCATTTTGTTTCTGTTTCGGCGGCATATTAAATCAAAAAGCGGTAAATAAATGGCAGCAAAGGGGAGAAGATAACGGTAAGGGGAAGCAGAAAGACAACGAGAGGCGGAAGAAGAGGAGCGCGCTAAAATAAATAATTAACAACGGTAGCAAAAGGCGAGAGCGAGAGGCAAAACAACAATGAAGTGCGCTCACTCACTCACACACACATGTAAACAGAAGCTCACAGACACACACACATGAAGAGTGAAAGACCAATCAGCGCGACAAAACAATGGTCACACATACACACAGAAAAGCAGAGAGTAAGAGAGAGGGAAACGGATGGGTGGGTGAAAAAACGAGGAGTTTTCAGGTGGAAAGCGCGTTGCCTAATGAATTCCAACAACAACGGGAAACAGGAAACAACAACAAGCGCATAACAACCCAGCATCAAATTACAAAATTAAAAATGGCGCTGAGGGAATGCCAAGAAGAATTTGTGGGAACGGGAGAGAAAAGGAAAATATGAGGATAAAAGCTATACAAACCGTAGCTAATTAACTTTCTTAAAGCAATACAAAATTAGAAAAACTACTTTTATTTTTAAGAAAACCCCAAACTAAAAAATAGCAATCTTCATAAAAAACTTTAGTTAACTTATGAGGTTTTTATGCTATTATTAAAAAGAGCCGAATTTAAAAATACTATAAACGTTCTCAACATAACTTCTAAAACAACACATAAATACAGCGCAATTCGTGGAAAATAAAACCCTCTAAATTTCATAGTTTTTGCGAGAGAAGATTTTCTCCATAATAAATGAACTAATTAAATAAAAGTCAATAAAATATGTATTTATTACATTTTTAACGTGTTCGTTTTCTAAGTGAATTTTATCACAAATTGGTTTCTACGCAAAATAAAAATAAAACTAAGCACATTTTCATTTGTTTTAAAAATTGAAAATCTAATAGAATTTTAAAATATAAGTAGTATAATTTCCAAACTTTCTTTTTAAATCTCGCGTACTTGAAACTAAATATTTTAGCTGGTTTGAAAATCATTAACAACTCCGAAAACAATGAAACATTTATGTGATAATTTCGCGTAATTTGAATGAGCGTGTCAACGTCGCGCTGTCAGTTGTTTTCAGCTCGTTATCCTCGTTATCCTTGTCATCCTGGTCAACCCTCACTCACACAGACACGAACGGCACTCTCTCACACACAGCGACACCCACACAAGGACATCTGGTCTCGCTTATGATTGGCTTGTGTGCAAAAGGAAGCAAATGAAATAAAAGGCGGCACACAAAAGCGACGGCAGGTGGCGCAAAAGGGGGCGGGGGGTGGTGAAGTGCCACGCCTATTCTTCATAAATAATAAATAAATATAATTTCGAGCGCAAGCGCAGCGCAAAAAAAACGATGCGAAAAAGGCGAAACAAAAACAAAATACAATGCCAGGCAAATGAGAAAATTACATCCCTTCATTTGTTTAACACACACACACATACGCAAGGGGGGGACTGTAATGGGAGGAGGAAGAAGAAGAAGAGACAGTCATTGTTTTCCCCTTGCCCCTTTCCACTCCACCTTCATCTTCATCATCAGCTGTGGTGGCAACCTCATTTTCTTATGCGCCCTTTATGCATTTCCTTCCTTTTTCCCACTCCTCCGCCTTCATCTCTGCGTTGGTGTGTGTGTGTGTGTGTGTGTGCGGGGTGTTGCCTTATTGTCATTGTCCTGCTGCCGACGTCGGCGGCGCTGCCAACGCCGCTGTCGGCAGAACTAAGTGATTTGAATTTTATTATTTACAGGTACATTTTCATATACAAAACAATACAAGGGAAGGCAGAACAGTGGGCAAAGCTGGAAAATGATAGCATTTAATTTCGAAAAATGCTTAAGAATCGAATTAGCAATCCATATTATTTAAAAATAAAATATAACAAGATATTTAAGATCTTCTATTGTTCTAAAACAAATTGGTATTAAAATGGTTTTGACCTCAAACTCTTAATACGAATATTTCAGATATTATTATTTATTTTTTATTAAATATGTATTATTATTTATTTATTATTTTTTAGAATATCATAATCAGTAAAATCTCTTTACCAAAATTGAAACACGTAGAGTACCATCTATATTTATATTTTATTTTACTTAATTTTTTTTCTAGTTTCAGCCTACTGTAATCAGAACAACAACGCTTATAAGGTTTTTGTGCTTGTGCCGTAATTTAACGAAGTCAAAACGAGAAGACAATAAACAACAACAAGCCATGGGGAAAGGAGAGCCGAGGGAGAAAGCTTTAGCTTTAGCTGGGACAAGTGAGAGAGCGAGTGAGCGAGATTACCGTTCGGAGGCTGCGCAGCGTGGGCAAGGCAAGAGCGGGAAAGCAATAGTCAGAAATAGAGGGAGAGCCAGCCTAGATTTAATTGCAAAATAAATAATAAATAACTACATTTTAATAACGTTAAGTAAAATAAATAAAAATAAGGACATAAATGAATTTTTGGTTTTTAAGAACACGTAAAAACTCTTCCCATAGCAACAAGTAAGCCCTTAAAAAATACAATTAGCTGTGTTTTGAACTGTGTCTGTGAGACCCTTAATTATAAAGCGAGTCGCAGGCGCACCCTCACACACATACACTAATACACGTACACGTATATATTAGCCAGAGTCCTTTGGCAGCTGCATAAAAGTCACAGGATGCAGCCTGCATTTCCACAGTCGCTGGCCAAACGCACAGCGAAAAGCATCTCTTCGAAAAATAAATAGGAACTATTCTTGTTCCGAAAACTTTTTTTTAGTGGCGCCAACTAGTGGCGATTTGAAATGTAACTTTCAAAAATCACTTTTTTTCTTTTGTGTGTTGTGAGTGAATAAAAAAATACATATTGAGAAAATAATGATATAAAAAATATAATTTCTAACAAGTAAACATGTTGAAAGTAATTTTCGAAACCCAAAAATGCTAACCATACTTATAAAATCAAAGAAAACTAATTTTTTTTAAAAACAAACTAATACAAAAACACAATACAAAGTAAAATATAAATAAAAGCAAAATAAATCATTTTTTTTGTGAACAACTCAACAAATTATTAGCCAAAAATAATAACAAAAAATAGACAGCGAAAAAACTATTTAAGAAATCCTTGAATCATTAAGTTACAAATATTATGGCTGGTCCATTTATATCGCCACTGCCCGGTGATCTGCTCACGGAGTATATGTTCGGCCGGAGGCGACAGCGCCGGAATCGAACGACCTTCACGCCCCAGCAACTCCAGGAACTGGAGGCCCTCTTCCAGAAAACTCACTACCCAGATGTATTCCTTCGCGAGGAGGTCGCCCTGCGGATCAGTCTCAGTGAGGCGCGCGTTCAGGTGAATTCCTCTAAAAAGCAGGCAAAGTATCCAGCCAGTTTATGCCAGACCCATTGGAATCGAAAAATTAGTATCTTAGAGGATTTTGGGAGAACTAAAAATAGTAGCATACTTTTTTGGGTCAAAGTAATTCACGATAGTTGAAACAGATTTGAACATTTTCCATGGTTTTATTTGATTGTTTTCGTATATTTCTAAATATTTTTTGTTTTATAGTTTTTGGCGTAAATTAACAGCTTCGACTGCTAAAAAAAAATTATTCTTCCCATTGTATTTGTTTTCATTTTGTTATTATTAGGTAAAAACTCAACAAAACTAGCTTTCAAACAAATACATAAAATTATATTCGTCTTAAAAATTGTTGATTCTAAAGATGGTTCATAACTTGTAATTAATTATTTTGTTAATTGGAAGTTCGTGTTTATTTCAACTATGTATTTTAAGAAATACAGCTTTAAAAAATGTTTATTTCAAACTTTTTAAAACATGATTAGAACATCGAATATTTCTCAGGAAATATGTTGTTATATATTTATCATAAGAACCTGTTGTTAATTAAGGGAAACAAAATGTGTTCTATGACCCGCAGGTGTGGTTCCAGAATCGCCGGGCCAAGTGGCGCAAGCAGGCGCGACTGCAGTTGCTGCAGGACGCCTGGCGGATGCGCTGCCTCAGCCTGGGCACGCCCCCCCGTTATGGGCGGCGGATCGGGACAGGGCGGATCTGGGGCTCCGGGCGTTCCGGCCCGACCGCCCAGCCAAACGCCCGAGAACCTCTCGTCCGGCGGCAAGGATTCCGACATGTCGGAGGTGAACAATGGCGCCACTTCCGGTAGCTTCACCATGATGCATCCGGCATTCCAGCAGCAGCAGCAGCAACAACAACAACAGCAGCAGCAGCAGGGACACCAGCAGGTGCAGCAGGATCAGGACAAGCTATCGAAGACGTATACGGAACTCAAGCTCTACAAGGCACCCACTCACGGCATGGATCTGGGCGGAATGGCCGCCCTTTCCGGACACTCCGACGAGGGATCCGATGGCTCCGATTCCGAGGAGATCGATCTCACCTCCGGCGCCTGCATCGATTTCTCGCAGAGCAGCAAGCTCCAGCAGCAGCAACAGCAACAACAGCAGCAGCAGCAGCAGGCCAATCAGGCAGCAGCTGAAGCAAATGGTGTCCTTTAGACAAGGATAATGGCAAGCGAGAGGGCGGGGGTTATGAATGCGACAAAGGATAAGGAAACTGGATACCCGTATGGTGTTCGCTCGAACATTTTGAACATTTTTAAAGAATTCCTTTTTTTGCATAACCTAATAACCAAATAAAATAGGAACAAATATAGGAAAGCTCTCATCCAATTTTGTTAAAGATTTAAAAAAAATATATCAAAAGTCGACGAGTCGTATTCAAACAACCTACAAAACTTTAAAAATCGAAATTCAAATTTCGAGCGAACACTATACTCATAAATATGGTGGTGTATATAAAGGAAATTTAATGTGCATTTTATTTAATCATTTACATCTGTATAAGGTTTTTTGTTTAGCAATAAAAAAACAATGTAAAAAATACACGAATTTTTCTTTAATATATAAAGTATTAAAAACTAAAAATCAAAATGAAAAAGGCGCGACTGCAGATTTGACCTTAGAATTTATTTTGAACACTTAAATTATAGTTTGAGTTATTACATTTATGTAATTATTTTTTAAGCTTTTTATTCGATTTTTTTGTACAATCGATAGTGGAAGTGTTTTGAAATTGTCCCAAATCAGCAGAGAAAAGAATCTGCAAAATGTTGATTATAAGAAAATATCTGTCTGTAGCAAGTGCGAAATTGAAGGATACTTACAGCTTGAGCCCAACCCGCGTACTTTCCATGAATCTTTTGAAAATGGTGCGAAACCTCATCGTATATCTTTTTGGAGACGTTCTTTTGACCGTTCAGATGCGGCAGGTAGTACTTCTGAGCGATTCTGTATATATGAATGTCAACGGGAACGGATTCCAGATGGCCCAGGGACATAAGGCAAATGCAATCGGCCACTTTGTAACCGATTCCGGGGAGTTGCGTCAATTCCTCTCGTGCCCTTTCGAATGGCAAGCTCTTAAGCTCTAAGAACCAGTTTTGGCCACCTCGTTTTTGGATCTCCTGCAGAGTTTGTGCTATGAACTTGGCCCGATATCCGAATTTAGCAATACGTAGTTGGGCGTTAAGGTCGTCGGATGAGATATCTTGAAATCGTTTAACAGTTGGAAATGTAAACTCATCGCAGCCGTTAAAATGGCCAATCTTGGTGCCAAAAGTACCACAAAACCACTGGATCATTGATGATATCCTACGAAATAGATAAAATAATGAGTGAACTGCAAGGTGTAACTTTAAAAATGTCTGATTTTTACCTCTTGATATTGTTGTTTTGACTGCAAAGGAAGCTGAAAATGTTCTCAAAGGGTTCCTGCGAAAGGACGCGAACGGGTTTGCTTAAAAACTTTACAAAGTTTTCATCCCTGCTTAACCAATCTTTCTGGTTATGTTTTAGGTCAAAGTCCACGCGTAGATAGTCTGATATTAAGGATGTGTAGTCCACAGGGATCAATGGACTGCTTCCGTATGCCTCGAAATTTATGCAGGACTTTTCTTGTTCGAGCACCCAGTAAATGTTGAAAGCGACTCCGCAATACTTTGTCTTATTAGCATTACATATTGAACGCCAACTAAGAAGTTGAGTAAAGATTAATACAAGTAAGTAGTTTGGTTTTCAGCTACCTACCGAAAACTCTGTCCTCCAAGCAGAGTTCTTTCCAAATCGCACTCTTCAAGGGATAGATTTATTTTTCCCCGCTGCTGTAATATAGCTTTCATTATGAAATTTGAATAGAACCGCATAAATCCTAATCAGATATCAACTAAACGCGCAATTAAGCGCCAACTTCTGTGGGTTGCTCTCAAGTTTAAATTGAGAATGCGGAATAAACAAAAACACAGCTGTTTAGCAACGTGTGCAGCATTTGGGGTGTTCCCCTTAATTTAGGAATTTCTAAACAGCTGTTTCCTTCAATGTTATTACCGCCTATCGCCAGTGTTGGGTAAGGAACTCGCTTTAAAAAATAATTTAGTTAATTTTTAATTTTAAAAAAAATGGATGAGCATTTGTTTTAAAGCAATATAAAGTGTTATCATCACTGGTAATAAGATATACCTTTGAACAGAATACGGAATCCCCCTACTATTTTGCAACAGCTGATTCGCCGGCTTTGTTTGTTTGCTATCGAGCAATCGATATTGTTTTTAATTACGTTTTGTTTTGTGGATATTTTGTGTTAATTTGCACTTTCAGCAAGCAGTAGTTAGGAGACCCAACAAAATGTTCCGTGGTATACTTATTTTCCTCCTGCTGCTGCTCCTCGTGCTGTACTACTTCTGGCATTCGAACGACACGTCCGGCGGCAGCAACACGGATGTCCTGCCCGTAGTCCTGTGGCATGGAATGGGCGACACCTGCTGCGTACCCTTCAGCCTGGGCGCCATAACATCCCTGATCGTGGAGCAGACGAAGGGCGGCTATGTGCGCTCCCTGGAGATAGGGGGTAATCCCGTAATGGACTGGGAGAGCGGCTTCTTCATCCATCCAAACGAGCAGGTCGACTACGTCTGCAAGCAGCTCCTGAAGGACGAGCGCCTGGCCAAGGGCTACAACGCCATTGGATTCTCCCAGGGTGGCCAGTTCCTAAGGGCGGTGGCCCAACGCTGTCCCTCGCCGCCGATGAGGACCCTGATCACCCTGGGCGGCCAGCATCAGGGCATCTTCGGGCTGCCCATGTGTCCCACCCTCAGCAGCAGCGCCTGCGACTACATCTCCCGACTGCTGAACAGTGCCGCCTACTCGCTGTGAGTACTGGTACTCGTTGAATGTCCTTCAGGTTCCCAACAACATTTTTCTTACCGAGATTAATAGTTGGATAAAGGGAGTTCCGGAGGTTCCTTCTTCATGTTCATATTTGTAGTGAATTGAATTCCGATATTCGAGCAAGAAAAAATAACAAACACAAATTGGCAAAATATGTTCCAGAATCGAATATCAGAAAGCAAGAAAAAAAAAACAAACCGAAACGGAGCTTACTTCAGCAAGTTTTGGGAGCTCGATTGCCCAGTCAAGAGTTTGTTACTCCAGTAATGTACCCACAAATATTTGGATATAAAATGCATTTCCCTCTCTTTCTAAACAGTGTTTTCTCTTTCTGTTTTATTTACCCGCAGAGAGGTGCAAGACAACTTGGTGCAGGCAACTTACTGGCACGATCCACTGATGGAGAACCATTACCGACAGGGCAGCACATTCCTGGCGGACATTAACAACGAGGTCTACCTCAAGGTGGACTACAAGGAGAACCTACACAAGCTGAAGAAGTGAGTACAGAATACCTTGAAATATCAGCAAGCAAACAATCTCAACACCTCATTCTTTGCATGTAGTTAATTGTGAACAATTTCAATTGCAGATTTGTAATGGTCAAGTTTCTGAACGACACGATTGTCCAGCCAAAGGACTCCCAGTGGTTCCAGTTCTACACCTCCGGACAGGACAAAGTCATCCAGCCCCTCAATGAGAGCAGAGTCTATCAAAATGTTCGTGAATATACAGGGCACATATTTCCATCTTGGCACCTAATTAATTATGCGATTTCTCTTCTACAGTTGGGCTTGGATAAGATGCACAGGGAGGGAAAACTAGTCTTCCTTGGGGTTGAAGGGGATCACCTGGCCATATCGAAGGCGTGGTTCATCAAGAACATAGTGCCTCTCCTACTCGAGAAATAAAAACCAATGATATAGAAACCAAAGTGTGATAGAGAACATTTGACAAAGAAGTGATTTTACCCTCGAGCACAGAGAAATCCTTCAGATTTAATCTCGTTACCATAATGTAACCATATTTTGATACGATATCAACTTTTATACAAGTTTAATTAGGTATTTAATAAATTCAGTTGGGACATACAAAATGTGTTGGTTTTTCTTTGCTTCATCTTCATCTTCCCGCTTCTCACTGTTTAACTAATTAACTTAAACGTTAGGATTACGTCTCTTTTAGATGTCTTAAGTAGTTGTGCCCGATATTTCTCTGAAATATTCATTGCAAGGCAACCGCGTGTTCCGACTAAAGTGATTCCATACACATAACCGTATCGTAATTACTTCGTATATATATATATATATAGATGTGTGTGTGTGTGTGTGGTGTTTGTTAGGTATATATAACGCTATGTACATGAGGCAAATAACAAAAGCAGCTTACAGACAACCATAGACAGATATAAGTTTACACATAGAATTTGTTTGGATAGGATTCAATTTTCACAGGCGATTGGGCGGAGGAAACAGCTCGGAAGGATGGGAAAGTAGAGGAGGATTGGGAATTGGGTGTGTGGAGTGTAGAGTATCGAGAGTGGAGCCAAGCCGCATGGCAAGCACATCATAACTTGGACTTTGGATTGGTGTTGCGGGCGAAGAAGATCTCCGGATCCTTGTGCGGACGCTGGATCTCGCGATAATTGTTGACTATCTTTTTGGACTCATCTTTGGGACACGATTGCAAGTTACGAAACACCTGGACCTGCAAGCGAACAAGAAGTTTTAGATTTAAACATTTCACACATGAAGTAGTCTTCAAACAACGAAAAGGGAAACCCATTTAAAAACGATTTTTATATGTTTTAAAATGAATTTTCTTCGGGATTTGAAGGCCTCCTAAATGGGATTCGAACTCACCTGGCCACGCGACACATAAATGGGTGTGCGGTAGATGATCCAGGTGACACTTTCGAAGTACGGCGCCGTTGTCAGCGAGCCCTTGTACGTGTAGTAATGTTTGCTCAGTTCCTGCAGTCCAATCCACGATAGGCAATCTGAAGATCAGAGAGAAATAGTATAAAATTAATAACAAATCCAACAGTGAGATCCCCTTCATACGCACCGGAATCCAGCGATGCACTCGTGTGGATCTTCTGAACGATGCGGATGCCCTCGGTGATCTTCTTGAACTCCGGACAGTCCTTCTCCCCACAGGCCTGGATGAAGAAGGCGACGACGGCCAGGCCGTCGGGCTTGTTCTTCGCCTCCGTGAAGTCCTTGTACTTGGCGTTGTAGTGGACGGCATGGGCCTCCATCGAGTACTTCATGCCCTCCAGCGTGTGCTCGCATCCGGACTCGTCGCAGTCCGACCAGTGGAAGTGCAGCTGCTCGAAGACGTACATATTGGTGTCCAGGGCACCGCCGATAATGTATGGCTGTTGCTTTCGCTTGCTGAAAGTGACCATCGCCGAGGTGCCTGTGTTCTGTACCCGGGCCACGCCCACCGGCTCCCAGTGGCCGTGGTACTCCAGCGGATCCACATCGTCGATGTGCTCGATGGCACGGTTGCTTATCTCGATGGGGGACTGTACGGGCATTGCTCTCTTCGCCTCTCGCTGATTTCCACTCCCTTTGGGTAATAATTATGCTAAAAGAAAGGCAACGGAATTAGCTAGTAAAGTTCTCTGATTTGTGAACCCATTGATAGCTACCTTGTTTCAGTTTTGGACTCCTAATCCTAGCTCCTAGCACCGCTACCTAGCACCCTTTCTATTCCGTTTCGAACTGAATCCGAGTCTGAGTCTGAACCTTGATCTGTATCCGAATCCTTCGCCTCCGACGACTGCTGCCTATGTTATGTGCGGCGCGTTCAGGTATTTCTTCTTCCGGAGCTTGTAGACACGCCCGCGATCGTCGGCGCTGGCGTCCAAGTGCTCGGCTGGTGACAGCAGCGCGGCTCGCGGCGGCGGCGGCGATTGCGACGTCGTGGTGGCGACTGCTCCGCTGGGCGCTCGCGTCTCGGAAAAGTTCTCTATGCCGGCGCCTCCAACGACCGACGCCTGCTCCTCCTCTTCAGATCCGCGGATTGACTAAATCCGATTCGAGCTGCACCTGCAAGAAATATAGGAAACGCCACATCAGTATTGGTTGCCAGCGAAAGGTGAAACCTTACTTCATTTATCTGGAAACTATATACTATATATAGTTATGTATGTGAATCAAGAGCTTTAACTTAATTACTGTAAATAATAGTTATACATGTAATATTCCAAGACATATTATAATTCATTGAATTAAAGATGATTTGAAGCACAAACAATTTGGTAACATATATTTTTTTTTTATTATTTTTTCAAAGAGAGTACATACTCATAAAATCTTCATGCAGTATGGAATTTAAAAACTATTATTAAGGCTTATTGTTTTGGGAATTTATTAACACTTTACCTAAAGTATTATTCAAAATCCTTAACTTTGTTAACTGGCTCTCATAATAACATGTATTTAATGATTATTAAATGGCTCTTTCAACTTGGTAAGTTCTTCTGCGAAAACCCTGTTGCAGAACTAAAATCTTAACGTGTTGCACCCAGTTGCAAATATATAGTAAATATTTCTATTTTTCTATTTATAGTATAGTATTTACCCCCTTGATATATCTGGTAATATCGAGTTTCTGAAAGCGGTAATTTCCTGCCTCGAGAGGGAAATGGGAGTCGGCAATCCAGGGCCATGGAATCAATTAAATGCTTAGCAATTCGCGTGTCAGGGGGATTCACTCCCCCCCTCCCCCATTTTCCAACCCCCCTGGAAAATTGACATGGTGGCCAATGCATTTTCCCCCACACCCATCGACATGAGATTGGCCATTTGTTTAATTAAAGTGCGTTCGCGAACAGAATAGATGTCTTTATTTAGGAGGAACCTCCTATTTTTTACCCGCCAGCTTAAATAATTGAAGCCACTAAATTCCCCAACCGTTGCCATCTTGTTTGCACAGTTTTCCTCGTTATAAACCCATTTTCATCTATTGATTTTCGCTTTATTTCCACTTTTAATGAAGCACAATTGAAGCGGGCGGCGGCGATTGGAAAAGGTTGGCGCAATTAATTATTGATTGGCAGGGAAATTCTCGCAATTGGCGCAACAAAAACTGTTGTAACATAAAACTTCAAGGAAAATAATGGGGTTATATTCAGGGGATCGATAATAAAGGTTTTCAAGAAGATAATAAATCAAGTTACATATGAAAATGGATGTAGAAAATATATTAACACTTGGAGACTTCACTTTAGTTCCACTTTAATAATTAAAAAAAAAAAAAGAATATCACTTATTGACGTCTTTAAAAACACACAAGCTGTCTTGTTTATAGGATTGCATAAATGTGTATAAACAAAAAGTCATTTTCCAGGCAGGTGTTGAAAGGTAATTAAGATAAGCACATGGAAACCTGGCACATAATGCAAGAAACCCGCACATTAAATAATGTTTTACAGATTTTGGGTCATTACTTCTTAAGTTATCGACCCCAAATAGGTTAATTTGAAACTCACTTTACGATTTTCAACGACTCGAAAGCCAGACAAGAGGGCAATAAAACAAATTATTTCCCTATCGATTTATAAACTACTTTGCGCCAGATTAACGCGACTAATGTCAAATATTTGGCGACAATAAACCGAAATATGATTTTAATTGGCAGCTTTATAATCCGACAACCGGCGCACTCAGAGATATTGAGACGTGTGTGTATATATATATATATATTTAGCTGTATAACTGTATAGTTATGGTCGCAGACGTACAGGTGCAAGTGTCAAGAAGACGTGTGAGGAGCTTATCGCCGAAAACCGATAGGAACTCGGTCTATATATTTACGACAGACATAATGGGGCGAGGCTCGTACAGCGCGAATCGATCATAACGAAAGCATTTCCAGATAACTCAACTCCTCCGATCCCCGATCCGATCCAAGGCTGAACAACTAGAGAGTTTCGGCCTCGATTCGATCCACTAAAATAATGGTAACCAGAAACTTCCAGAACGACTTGACTCAGCTTAACTTGAAATCGAAAATGCATTGGTCATTGGCCTTTTCGCCATGAAGAAATGCGCGATATATATACACCTGATAGGTTATCTGATATCTGATTATTATGCTTCACACTTTGCACGCAACTCCATTGACATATATATCACATACATCTTTGTACTGATTTTTTTCTTCTCACGTGATTCTTTATTCAGTGGTGTCAAGATCAATCTTTTGTGTGCAAAGAAACAGTTTTCAATCAAAGAATTCTTATATCTTATCTTGTGTTTTTAAAACAGTTTTTGCTATTTTTACTCAGATTACTATACGTTCTTAATTAGTAATTAATATTGTATTTAATTGATCTTACTGCATACAATTTTTTGGTTATTTAGAGGATTTGCAAATGTATTTTCATAGTTTAATGTTGCTTGTTGAGATCTTTTTAGAAGATATTTTATAAATTAAACCATCTTGCTTTTTCCAGTTTTTACCGACTTTTCTGTTTGATATATACGAGCACCTGATGTCCTTATCTTATCCACGAGATATATACGATGTTTTTGTATTTCTCTGACATCCATTTCCATTTATCTTGTATTTGCAAGATACTGAATACGACACAGTGTCTGCCAAGCGACTTTGCCTGCTTTTCTTCTCCATTTAATATACTATTTCCATTTCTTTTTATGGTGCTCCTTTACAAATTTCTTATCAGTTGCATTTGATAACTATTTGGGTTCCTTATTTCCCTTCTTAGCATTCCTTTATCCTTTTTAGAGTCTCCCTTTTGATTACCTCCTTGTTTTGAGAACTATCGTAATAGTTTCGACCTGAAAATGTACCGAGATTAGAAGTGGTTTATAGTAGTCGGGAGATATCTCTGCGTTTCTTACCTTCCCGAATCGGGTTCCAAAGTCTCGATTTGTCTGCCGCTGCAATGAGTGCTCACTGGTTCCTTATCGCACTTAACGTTTTTACTATCTGCATAAAATTACACAACTAATGGTGGGTAAACACACTCGGAAAATCGTATTTATAGACCCATTTCGGTATTCGTTATCATTATGATGGAATTTGCATAGAGTGGAAAGCATTTTTTTAGTAGTGGTTTTCGGCCATCGATAAGGTGGACTGGGGATTGGGATTGATTCGATGGGTGGAAAATTAACGGAGCCGAATTCGAGTGCTGGATTGATTCAAGTGGCTCAAACGCGTCACCAATGGCCTTCGAGGGGCTGCGATCTGGGTGCGGGATTGTGGGCGTGGCCGGAGGGACAGTTCGCTGTTCCCACCCAGATAAAAACCAAACGAAACATGACAATCGGTCATGTTTCCACTATCGAGTGACTTTTTTGATTTCCGATTCCAATCGAATCAAGTCTTGCAAATTAATTTCTCTTCTATTTTTTTTTTTTTTTTTTTTTTTGGGTTTTTTTTTTTTTGTGCGTTCAAAGGGTATGTTTGAACTTGATAATAAATGATATGGTGTCATAAGCCAAATCAAAATTCCCACCTCATTTGAAGTGGTTTATTTTTTTTTTATTGACTCGTTAACGTCAAGACAGTAACAAATTGACTTTCCACACAGCTATGATTTATAACAATATTATAAGTTAAAATTTAAAATTCCAGAATCTGTCACAGATTATCATCACTAAACACTTAATATAAGGGTTTTTAACTATTCATAATTCAACTGAAATACTCCCCACAAATGTAATATTTGAAAGGGAAACCCCCTTTTCACATTGGTTTAATGAAATTTTCGTGTAGCATTCGTTATAAATTCCTCTTATCGAGATCATGTTGAATTGAAACGTCAGCAATTCCACTTAGTTGATATCGAATTCGGGCTTATCGCAACAGATGAACGACTTGTACGTCCGAATCGGATATATGTATGTACATATATCTTTTGTGGGGTGGGCGTGTGGAATCAGCGGAATTTATGCGGTCGCAAGTGACCGTGAAATGGGCATGTATGTATGTATGTATATATGCAGATACACATACATACACATGTTTAGTAAGCCGGTCAGACCGAAATACTCCGCCATAAATAAATGTAGTTAAGTAATTGCATTGACCGATGGCCCCAGCGAGCAAATAAGTCAACAAAACGCAGAAGTACTCAACACAAACACTCGGAATTAAACTCGCACTTTTGGCAAAAAGAAAAACCTTGGGTAAACCGAAAAATTCCCACAAGAATTTAAGTAAAATAGTATTAAAGAAGTAGGAAATTTAACCAAAGATTCTCTAAATTAATCATCAGAACAAACATTAAATTCAGCAATTCATTAGAAACTGAGACATATGATTAATTGAAGGATCCTGAATCTGCGGTATTCCAGGTGGTAGTTCTTAAAGTGCTGGAAAGCGGAATAGAAGTTTTTAAAGTGCTGGAAAACGGAATATAAGTTCCTATGTCTCCGATTGTCGGACAGTTCCCCATGTTACCTATGACCTCATCCATCCATCAAACGCGTTATCCAACTGGCTGCCCAACTAGCATTATATATGGGCAAGTCAACGTTGACGAGGCGACAGAAGGAGCAACAGGAGCCAGCTATCGACCAAATAACAAATATCCTAACGACTCAAGTCCCCTGGAAATCTAAGGTTGAGGCATATTAAGGGATCCAAGTGCAAAACACTGAAGTACCAGTACGTTTGAATTAGGCTCCAATTAAATATGATTTTATGAAACAAAAAACATAGGTTTATAGTTCATTTAAAGTTTTCTAACACTTTTATGGTAATATAAAGCTGAGTTAATAACGATCTATTTTTGGCCTTTAAAAATATGATGCGATTTCGAAGTGGCGCCTCAATTTGCAATTAGTTATTTCTATTAACACACTGGCTTGGAGAGAATATAAATAAGCCATTAACAAACAAATAATACCATCGCGAGCCGTACATCTGTACATATTAATTGAATTATTTGATCATTTCTAGGAAAAATCAAAATACAAATTCAATTATTGAACTCTTACAAATCTCTCAAAAAAAAGGTTAGCAAATCAAATGGCCGGAATTTAGGTTAATATGTGGGACCCTTTTTTTAATGGATTGTTTACGTTTACGCATGTTTCACATGGCCAACAGATGGCGCTATCTTCGTAATCTATGCTTTCTTTTGTTTTCTATTTCCGTGCTCATTGGCGCTTGTCACGCGACATTTATTGGATGTACCCTTAATTTACAGGGTATTTAAGGTTACTCACTGCATCAGCTGATTTGTTGCTGGGTTTTTTGCGATAGAAGTAGGAAAAGAAACCGCAAGAGAAGCAAAAAATGAAGCAAATCAATAAAATATTTTTTTGCCCCAAGTGCAGGGTCACACACACACTACACACACACTTAAAGTTGACCTTCACACGGACGCACAAGGGGGAGAGAAAGAGCGGAAGAAAGAGTGTGAAATTCACGTGAACTAGAAGTTTTTATGTGGGAGAGGGAGGGATTGTAAAATTATAATTAACGGAATTGCAAAGACAATATGGGCAAAAATAATGTTATATTGCCAGTGTCTCGCGCTCTCTCTCTCTCTCTCTCTCGCCGCTTTATCTGATTTATTGCTCTCTTCTCTGCTCATTCATTTGCATTTTGTTACTTTTATTTTTGTATTTTTGGGACAAGCGGCCGGCGTTGTTGTTGTTTCCTTTTAAGTGTTTGTTTTTTTCCGTTGGCGGAGACAGACATTTTTAATAACTAACACACATACACACTCGCACTCCTAATTTGCTCATGTGGTGTGTGTTTGTCGAGTGCGAAGAAGAGGAAGAGCGGAGTTTTTGGAAGTTTTTGTGTCATCTTATTTAGCTGGCAATATTTACCTGTTGATTTACTTAAGCTCGTTTGTCCTCAGCCGCCTGCGATTTTTCTCCCGTCGACCAAAATTAATTAGCAAACAATCGGCGGCATTTATTTAGGCTCGCACTTTCGCATTTGCCGCATACACCAACACACATTTACACACGCACTGCTCAAAAACAAGAACAAAAACCATGTACGAACAGTAAACACGATATTTAAAGCGAATTCTGCAACTACAGAACGTGAATCCAATGCGCGCAGCGTGAATTGAGTTTTGTAACTAAAAAAGTCATGGTTCACTTCTCGCTGATTTCGCTTGCGTTTGTACCGGTTCCGATATTCATGCGTGCGATAATTCACGAACAAGTCGGAGTTCGTCATTATCGTCGTTTTTTGGTATTGTTATACAGACGATAATTAAAAAAACGTATTTAAATAGTATTTAAACTTGAATTTACTTTCTCTAGCTCCAAGATCTCTGCAGCGTTGCTTTAACTTTAAAGTGTTTGCATTAAAAATTAATATTAATGACGTGTATTCGATATTTCGCAAAAAACACTAACGCGTTCGGCAATGTACTAAAGAACTGGTTCCAGAACTTATAACCGTCTTTGGGATTTTCAAATATGGTTCTAAAAAGGACCTAACAAAAATGTTTACAAAATTATGCAATAAGTCTACATAGAAGATAGTTAGGAAAATAAAATCTTTAATCACACCATATTGTATGCAATAAATATTCGTATCGTAGTTGTTATATATGTATAAAATCAACATGGGTTCCCATCATTCGCTTGAGGTAAACGATTCTCGTAACAGATTTGGTAATTTACATGGTTATGTACAGTATTTGTATAAATAATCGTAGTTAATATGCAAATATATATAATCACTAGGGCGAACTGTATTATTTTGTCTTGGAAACCATGAATTAAATACCTTTTTTTTTTGGGCTATAAACGTTGATTTTTATGTTTTGTCTAATAAGCAATGGAAATTTAATTCACGTTTGATTGTTAATTTAATAAGTAACGTTTTTTTCCTGGTAAATATTGCAAAACTATTCATTTTAAATTTGAAGCCCTAAGAATGTGATTTTTAAAGTCGAATTTGAGACTTATCAGACACATGCCTAATTTAAAATATAGAACTATTAAAACTAACTAAAAAAAGTGAAGTGAATAAGGGGTTCATAGTTTCCAAGGCAAATATGTACAGATTTCACTGAATTTTCCGGATATTAACCAACCGCCACTTTGCTCGACAAGTTGTTTCAGCAACTCCACTTTAATCGGATGCTAGCTGGCTCGATTTTGGAGGCGGGAGCACCTGGGACACGGATCGAGGTGGCTGCGACAGCGACTCCTGGTCTTCCAGCAGCCGTGATGGAAGCAGGCTCCGCACCGATCGCACCTTTGCACCCTTCGCTGCCACGGATAGATGAGCTCGCCGCCCTTGCAGTGCTCACACAGGAAGGCACGACCCGTACACAGCTGGAAAATGGAAGATAATCCATAAGTAATCGAGCGATAAACTCCTATTTCATCACTAACCACACAGTTGTGGACATGCTGCTCGCTGAGAGCGATCACCTCCTTGATGGAGCGATTCATGCTGGTGTTCTGAACGTCCACGAAATCGCACATGGACCACATATCCGGATCCTGGGTAATGTGAGCCGGAATAGCATTGAAGAACGATTGTTCTCTGAAAGAACACAAAAGGTAATACAATTAAGCTTTGGTTATACTATCAATTGAATTGTTCCCTTGCCTCGTTGCAAATCGACAGTTGGCTATGAAGCCCTTGACCGCCTGGAGCTGCAGCCTCTTGCGCCTGGCCCGCGCCAGCTCCTTGTGCCTGTACAGCTGGCCATTCAGGTCGGGAACGTGGAAGAGCGGAAAGGCGTACATCTGCTCGATGAGGCGGTAGGCAAAGGAGCAAACCGGATAGCAGCGAAAGTCCCAGGAGCGCAGGATCTTGGCGGGAATGGCGGATATCTGGTTGCGATGGCACCCGGTGCACAGATACTTTCCCAAATAACTGCAATAGCGAAAGTGCTGCTGCAAATGCTTCGCCACTCGCATTCCACAGCCGGCACATCGATTGTTTTGCTTGAGCAGCACCTTGGTGCGATTCTCTGCGGGATGTTCGGTGAATATGATCTGCTGGCGCGGCGGTGCCCAGCTGGCGGTGCCCCTGGTCAGGCTGGCCGCCTCGTGATCCTCGTGCTTCGGTTTCGGCATCGGCAGCAGTTGCTGCGGTGCCTCCTGCTCGGACACCAGCCACTTGAGGTGACCCAATCGCGGCAATTGCTGCTCGCTGAAGCGAGAAATCAGCTGGAGACCCACCGCTTCCGCACTGTGGTTCTGCACGCCGCCGGGAATCTGCTCCACGTAGGGCATCAGGTTCGGTTCCGAGGGATTCGTGCTGGCTGCTCCACTCGGTGGCTTCGCCAAGCGTCTGCTCCACTTGACATGCTCGATGGCCGTGATGCAGGCCTCCGAGATCCTGAAGTGGGCATTCTCCTTCTCCAGTTGCGTATTGTTGTGCGTTTGCCGCGACATTTGCAGGAACGAGGCGAGGGATTGCTGGTCCATCTTGTCGCTGCCCGGCGTCATGCTCACCGAACTGGAGGCCGTGGTGGATGTGGTGCTTCCGCCACCTCCGCCGGATCCCTGGATATCCCACGGAGCGGAGGAAACGCAGGCCGAGGAGGTGGCTGCCTCGTCCAGCATGCTGACGCCCTCGAAAAGCGTTTGCTGCTTCTTCAGCTTGCGTCCATTTACGGGCAGAAAGGTGTCCAGCATGCCGCCATCGCCGGAGGCGTTCAGATCCTCGCCCACTCCCCGCTGGAACCAACTGGTGTACAGCGGCGGCGAGCCAAAGAAGCTGCCCAGATAGCTGCCCACCGATGTGGCGGCGTTGGTCTTCGGCGTCTCCTGCCTCTTCCCCTCCTGGTGCATCTCCTGCGGCATCTCAGGGGGCGTCTGGTCCGTCCAGATCTTGATGTCATCACAGTTGATCAGCTGAATGCGTCTGGGACTGTCGCTGGAGGAGCACGAGCTGGTGGACGGGGCATCCAGGTAGTCCTGCCTCGTCGGCCGGCGGCTCCTCGAGCTGCTGAACGTTTGACAGCGCCGCCGCGATGAGGTGCGCTCCTCCAGCTCCTCGTCCTCCTGGCCGAGATTCGGCAGGCTCTTCAATCGCCGGATGAAGCTGCGCTTCTGCAGTCGCTCCTCCGGCACCGCCTGCAGCTTGGGCGAGATGCTGAAGTTGGGCTGCGAGCAGGTGCGTCGGTGGCGCAGCTGATGCCTGACCTCCAGTTGGCCGAGCAGCCCGCTCTGGTTGAGCTGTACGGCGGTGAGGCAAACGAACAAGGCGGTGGCCTCACTGGACCGCCGCAGGAAGGCCTCCTCGCTGGGATAGTAGAGCTCCATCAGCTCCGGATCGGAGACGAGCGTTTGCAGGCACTGCGACAGGCAGCGGGCGCGCAGGCAGCGGGTCGTCCACTCGCCGAGGAACTCCTCAACTCCGGCGACCTTTGGGGTGCTGCCTCGCGCGGATTCCGGGCGATAAGGCGGATAAGGCTTGGACGGCGGCTGCTGGTTTCCCGCACTCGCCAGCAGAAACTCAAAGTCGTCCGCCAATCGCTGAAGTTCCACGGGCTGCAACTGATAAAAACGGAGAGTGATGCGTTGCATAAATACAATTCGATTGCAAAACAATGGAAGAAGTCTACGACGCGAGGGCGTTGAATAGCTGCTACCCTCTTAAACGTATTTATTTATTTTATTAAGAGAAACTATATTTGTAGGGTATGTATGGGAAAATAGAATAATAATAAATAAGTCGCAGAAAACTATTAAATATATAAGGTTGGTTTCTTATTGTTTATATCTTTAGAAATACAGAAACAGAAATATTGTACTAGGTATGAAAATTGAGATAAAAAATCTGTTTTGTTTGACCAGAAGTTCTCCAGAAATCAATTTATTATTAAAGTACAGGGTATGCAAATTGAGATGTGGTGACTTTTTATGGCTTTGTATTGCAAAGAGTGTGATTCTTGGGAAACTCCGTTGTGACTCGTTTGGCTTTTATCAACATAACTTTTGTCTTTATATGGCATACATAAATACGTGCTCAGACATAAGGAATAATATTGCTGGGTACTTGTGTGGAATATTTATTCCACAAAGCCGAGTAACTTGATAATTAAATGCGACAGTTTCATATTAATTTTTTATTTTATAACAAATTCTACAAAGAAAATAAATTATTTATTCGAGCAGAGGATATATCAACCTATAATCAAATGTCCCCCAAAATCGAAATACCCTACATACCGTTGAATATTCTGGGGTTTTTTGTATTATCTCATCGCTTACCAGTCCATGTTGCAGAATCCGGGTGCAACTTTGGGCCAAGAACTGGACTCCATCTGTCGACTTGGCCCGGAACCAGAAATTCGTGGATCTTCGCAATTCTGCGAGCAGGGAATTCCTCGCCAACTGTTGTTGTTGTTGGCGCTGCTTAAGCTGCTGCGGATGCTCAACTGCGTCGCTTGCTGCTGCGTCCACAGCGCCCTCTGCGACGTCTACTGCAAAAGTAGGCGGGGGCGTGGCCATTTGCTGCAGTCACTGTCAAAGGGGCGGAGGGCGGTACGGTGGCATGTTCGCGGTGCGATTTAAATATAAGATTCTTCGCTTGTTTTGATTGTTTTTAATGGGTTTTTTTTTGCGATTCCTGTCGGTGTGACCGTGGCTGGGGAAACTAGTCGGCTTGATTTGTATTCGATACTATCGGTTGTATCAGAAAAACGTCTTGCTTGCACCAAAAAGCCATTTCACAACCTGGCCACACTGATCAGGAAGAGTTTTCGCACAAAACAGGTAGCAAAATATATACATTTTCCTATATTATCCCTTGTAAACACTCTTCAATTCCGCGCGCAGGCAATGGATCTCGATTGGCAGAACAGCCTAACCGAGCTGAAGGACCGCGGTCAGTATCTGCTGCACTCGGAGAAGTGGGCCGACTGCCATTTTCTGGTGGGATCAGGATCCTCGCCAAACCAGCGGCTCATCGCCGGCCACAAGCTGCTCCTGGCGATGGCATCGCCCGTGTTCGAGCGGATGTTCTACGGCAACCTGCCGGACAAGACGGACCCCATCGTCATACCGGACGTGCAGCCGGAGGCCTTCGAGGCGATGCTGGAGTACATCTACACGGACCGCATCACCATCGGATCCTTCGACAAGGCCTGCGAGCTGTGCTACGTGGCCAAGAAGTACATGCTGCCGCACGTGGTCACCCGCTGCACGCACTTCCTCTGGTCGGATCTCAGTCCGAAGAACGCGTGTCGGGCGTACGAGTTCGCCAAGCTCTTCGACGAGCCGCGTCTCATGCAGAGCAGCATGGACCTGATTGCGTCCAATACGCGCGAGGTGCTGTCCGATCCCAGCTTCCTGGACATCGAGGTCTCCACACTGATGGCCATTCTCGACCAGAATTGCCTGAACATCGACTCCGAGCTGGATCTGTTCAACTGCCTGCTGAAGTTCGCCAGCGAGCGGGGAATCCTCAATGAATCCGGGCAGGAAGACGGCAACGGTGGCGGCCAGGTCCTGGCCAAGGACTCACCCGACAACGCCGGCGGTCTTGTGCTGGTCGAGGAGATCAAAATGGAGCCCGATGTGGCGGCCATGGTTCAGCATATGCAACAGGATGACGAGGGCGACGGTTTCGAGACAGACGCCGACATGGCTTCCACTTCGGGAGCGGCCAATGCAGCTGCCGCTGCTGCTGCTGCTGCTGTTCCACCGACTGCTGTTTCGCCGCCTTTGGACGTGGCCTCCGCATCGGCCTCCGACGACTTGGTGATCATCGACAGCGATGCCTCGGCGGATGCCGCCGCTGCCGCGAATATGATCAATATTATGGACGCCCAGCGCACCATACTCGATGGTGCCATGCTGCGGCAGGCGGTGAAGAAGATCCGTTTCCTCACCATGACGCCGCAGCAGTTCGCCGAGGGTCCGGCGCGTTCCAAGCTGCTGCAGCAGCACGAGGCGCTCTCCATTCTGATCAAGATCTCGAGTCCCTCGCTGAACGACTGCCACATGCCGGAGGGCTTCTGCACGTCGCGCAGCACGCGCAACTTCTACGAATCCGGCCATCGTCACCCGCAGCGTGATCTGTCCTCCTCGTATCGCAACGTGGTTGCTCCGGCGGGCGGAGTGTGCTTCACCGGACCGGGTCCATCGATTCGCAGCGGCGGTCCTCCCGGCAGCAATGGTGGCCTCATGATGGGCAATGTCCCCCGCTTCGGACCGATGAACGCACAATTTAGCTTCGCGGGCGAGGAGCTGGGCGTCCCACCGCCGGATGCCGCCGCTCCAGCCACTCTGCGTTGTTTTGGCGAGGGCTATGAGATCGGACCAGCTGTGCCGGCGCCAGCGAACGAGGAGGAGGCCGGCGAACGTGTCGGCTCGGCGCCAGCTGCAGCTGGTGCACCGGTGGCCGGTGGAGCTCCGGGCGGCTCGGCGGCTGGCAACTCGCACAACGACATGGTGCGCGCCTACTGCATGCGATCGCTGACGCGCCAGTTCGACATCCACAACACCAGTGTCACGGATGCGGGCGTTACCTTTCAGGTGGACAGCAACATCTGGATTCTGGGCGTTCAGGTGCCGACGCGCGTCCTCTGCGGGGAGTTGATGACCTCCGCGGGATTCACGGGACGCTACACGGAGGTGCTGTACGCGCACATCCAGGACATGCACGGCTCACGGATCACGTACACCCATTGCACGGCGCGCGTGCGCTACGATTCGCTGCTGGACATTACGTTCGATCGGCCCGTGTACATCTACCGGAGTCAGATATACAAGATCTACGTGGTGTTCAACAAGACCGGATGGTATCCCATGTACTCGTGCGTGCCGGACGCCAACTGTCATCGCGTTAAGTTCATGTTCAATGTCGGCAATCCCACGGAGTCCGTTCGCGACGGCCTCATCTACGCCATCATCTTCTCCACGCTCCAGGATCACGGTCGCCACCTGGTCGACTAAATGCGCAGCAATAATTTAGCTTGTACTTTCGATGTGATAGGGGAAATTGATTGATCTGTACGCCGAATTCCTTCCCATTTATATTTTTTTATAAGCTGGGAACTGATTTGCATTGTTTTTTTTTTTTTTACATCGAATGACATTTTCTAAATTGGCATAATACATCGAGACATTTCATCATCAAAACATTGTATTTTCAGAGTTCGGCAATGGAGCGTTTCCATTAGTAAATAGATTTTTTACGAGTTTATTATTCGATGAGCTGTAGCCAACTATGCATTTATTTTTTCTCATGCTTTTTTAGCTGCTTGGCATTTGGAACACCATCGCATACATATAATATTATTCCTTCCAATCGTATTTGCTTTGATTTAAGGGTTTTGTAGATCAACAAGGTAATATTTTAAGACTTGCGCAAGACAAATTGGTATACTTCAATAAAGTACATTTAATAAGTTTATTAAAATAACCTCAGCTTTGTTCATATGTCTTTTTGGCGGGTACTGTGTTTTTTTCTCTAAGTTGTCTTATAACTTTTTTGATTAAAGTCCGATTTTCGGAAACATTTCCAGATTCCAGAACTTATAAAGGTATAACATTCCCAATTTTTATCCGATTTATGATTGGTGTAACTTGTTGAATTTGTTTCACAAATATTTAATTATTTTATTATCGATTTTTTTGTCATTATTTTTAAAACTTACAAAAATTTGAATTTTAGAAAAATGACTTTTAATGCCATAACAGATTTAATTTAAATCGATTTTGAAGTGGCATACCTCAAAGAATTTGTATTTTTATTGCCCAGCAAACTGTATCCTTTTTTCGGTTCGTTTTTTAAAGAGCTTTCATTTCCAATTTCCAATTATAATGTTCGAATAAATACTTTGCACCTTGATATGTACAATAAATAAAATTAACTTTATTGCGATTCATATACAAAAGAGACCAAACAACAAACAAGTTAATAATACAGAAAGAGAAACGAAAAGACGGAGAGATGGTTAACAAGCAAGAAGGTTAAGTTTTTTTTTTACAGTGCAGGCAAGATTCAGATAGAGAAAGGAGGAGTATTTTGAGGGAGCTTCGATCCTTGCACACATACAGTGCAAACTCGCATTGGCGAACAAGAAAAAACAACGGATGATCACTGCAGAGGAAAGAGACGGATTTTAAACAACAACTCAAAGTGTGCAGCAGAGAAATGTGTTTTTAATTCGAGCGTTCACACAATCGAGTCCCCACTGTATGGTGCTAGCGGGCATGTATGTACAGGGCGGTCGGGCTTCCCTATTTGCCGTAGTTGGCGCAGCTTCCGCTGGCGTACTCCGGATCCTCGCAGGTCAGCGTGTGCTCATCGAAGACCTTGTCCTCGCCGCAGCTAATCAGCCGGGGATGTCCCTCCACGCAGGTGATCAGCCGGTGGCAGTCGCCGGAGACGGGGAACCGGGGGAAGGGCCAGAAGCGGGCGGCCACCGAGTTCGGGTCCACCTTGGTGGGGCACTTGAAGCCGACAACAGCTGTGGGAAAACGGATAAAAAAATATATATTTAATAGAGGATTCCTTATAAAACTAGTAAGAAAAAAATATAAAAAAAATATATAATACAGAATTAAAAACTGTAATGAAATTTGTAATAACATAAAAGTTCTCATCTTCAAAAATAAATATCTAAAATTACATATTTAATATAGAGAATTCAAAACTGTAAATATCCTTATAAAACTAGTAGGAACATAAAAGTACCCATCCATAAAACATAAAAGTACTCATCTTCAAAAAAATATATATTTTAAAGTACAAAGATATTTATTAGCGGATTTAAAACTGAAAATATCCTTAAAAATTTGAAAGTTCATAAAAGTTCTCATCTTCAATAGATTAAAAGTTATTTTGCGGTTTTGAAATCCTCATAAAATGATTCCCTAAAGTATAGTTTGAAAAGCAGAACAAGGATTTAAGGAATATGATAATTATTTAATCAATATTTTCATAATTTTAAAATGGTTTTTCAATGGTCAAAAACCATTTCTATAGATTTATGGATTTATAGATGTTGATCTACAACCGTTTACTTTAGTTTAAACCTTTTTTTGGGGTGTATTTAATCCTCTGGAGATAAATCCTCTAAAGCTGGGAACTCACCCTCGGGATTGCAGTGGTCCAGCAGCTGATCGGGCCAGTTGCATCCGTGGATCCTCTCGTCGTAGGCCAGACCGGCATCGCAATCCTGCTCGTGGGGCTCCCCGTGGACGCACTTGATGTACGTGGTGGAGCAGTCCTTGGAGACGGCATACAGACCGAACTGGTACTCGCAGGCCGGCGTGGAAATGGGAGTGGCTATGGGTAGAGAGGGATCCCTCTTAGCAAAGAGTAGAAACAGAGCAAGCAGCTCCACTCACGATCCCACTGGCGACCCTTGCAGTCCACCGCCCAGTTGTAGTTGCAGTGGTTGTGCACGGCCCCCTTTCCATCGAACAGGAGTCCGTTCTCACAGGTCTCCAGGGTGAGGGTTCCGTTGGTGCAGAGGAAGAACTGGTCGCAGTTCTCCGTGTGGGCGTACGCCTGCACTCCGTACTTCTCCGGGCACTCCGGGGATCCCACGGCCAGAGCATGTCCTGAAAATAAGGGATTTAATAAATCGAAAATTGATTAAAAGTCATATCTAGTCTAAGAACTTAATAGGATTGTTTTTCTTTCCAAAACAATGCTATTATAATTATAAATATAGTTATGAAAGAAGGCATTTTCATTTGCTAAGAAATGGAATTATAATTATAATAATATAAATATATATTAACACAAACAGGGAAAATAGAATAAATTTGAAAATCAATAAATAACAATTATACCTATTAAACAAGTTTTTTTTTTATTGATTTTGAATAGGAAATAAGAGTTATATAACAAAAGCTTACAGTTATGAATATTGATCATTTATAATATAAGGCTCAAATTAAGATAACTTTTTCTTGTTTAATTGACATTTCTCTCTAAATTACCTAATAATTTGAATTGTCTCAAGCTATTTTAGAATTGCTTTGCATATTTATGGATTCAGTAATCGGAACAATAAAGTGTATATATTACATTTGTTTTTTTGTTTTTGTGGAGTGTTAACAGATATTCCCAGCATTGTCAAACCCGAATCGCAGTGGCGTCCACTTCCTTCCTGTCTATTTGCCTGGCAGCCCCCCCTTTCACCCGCAGCCCCTGCTTTCCACCTGCCCAACTGGTTTCGGAGTCTCGAAGAGTCGAAGTTTTGAAGTTTTGATGCAAGTGCAAGTGACGCCACAGAAAACACGACACTTTCGCGCATCTTCGCGTCTAGCGGCTTTGGAAAGAGTGTGATGTAATTCCGAGATGCCGATGCCGATGCCGATGCCATCGAGATCGGGCAACAGGTTGATTGTTCGGTTGGTCGATGGTTAATGGTTAATGGTTAATGGTCTGCCTACTATTTTCTCGAAGCCCACAGCCGAAAATTAAACAACGACTGCAGACGCATATGCATACTATATATTCAAAACTAAAGATTTCCGGTAATTTGTTTTAAGAAAACAAGATTTCAATTAGTTTTAGATAAAAATGTTAACGATCCTTTAAAATATGGTATATTTTACAGTATAATAAAAACCATCCAAATAATCCAAAAATCTATTTTGAGCTTTTATAATATCTTAAATATCTATATATATTGAAATAATGTAAACATGACTAGAACACCTGCGCTAATTGAATACAAAATAGTTACATTTTAATAGATCTTATCTCTCCATATTATAGATTGTATAGGTTCTAATATTATGACTTGGTTAAATTTGATATTTCGAAAATATGCCAGAAAAAACTCTTAAAGGTCATTAGTATCTTATCATTATCGCCATCTCTTCAAACAAGATTTCGATTTAGGATCGTTCTTGTGACGTAAGTAACTGGCGATAGGTAGCGTGTGGCATATAATGCGATCCTATCTGAGGCGATTTGATCTATCAACCTTTTCCGTTGGTTGAAACTGGTTGCCTTGGTTATAACCCAGAACTAGATCGTATAATGTGAACGCTTTCGTACTTAATTGTCAACTGGTTTGACGGGCCCAACTTCTACTTTGGCTCTGGGTTTGGCATTTGTTTTATTTAGTTCATTAACTTGCCGGATCGGATCGAATCAAATAAGCAGATATATGTGTATATATAGTGTGTGTCTGATATATGGCGCCCAGCACCAAGATCGCCGAGCAACCCAAGTGAGTCAGTGGTTGAAACAAAAGCAAAAGTGATCCGAGCACATGATCTGCATGTCAAATCAGCTAAAGCAGTATATAGCCGAGCAGAGCTGTATATACTATATAGTATCTGCAGATCGGGTTAAGTGGAGCAGGGCGGGCTGCTAATCCGTTAGCCTTCGTCTGAGAAAACCAGTAATTAAATTCGATTTAACTCGATTTTCGAGGTGAGAACAAAAGAGCTAACGGTCGCCGGATTTGAAGGGGCTGTGTTTGTACACAACTATATATCACTATATATCGCATTTGGTCACTCCACGCGATTGCAGTGGAATTTTTGAAAGTAAAAGCTTCCATTTTCGAGGCACACACACGCAAAGTAATCGAAAGGTTGCGCTAATTTTGTAAGCGGGTAAATGCTTATTGTTGCGCCAAGGCCCTAAAATAATAACAATAACGGTATAGATAATACTTGGATCACTTACCACAGGCAATCCATGCCAGGATCAGGACACTGCACACTTGGAAACGCTGCATATTTTCTGTATTCAAATATATATATTCAACAATTATTTACAAATGTATTATGATAACGGTAATGCAAAATGAATAGGCACACACACGCACCGCAAAAAAATATTCAAATCAGGCGCAAAAAATCGAGGAAAAAAAATACGTTGAAACTTCCGCTCCAAGAGGTCGGTACGTTTTAACGGTTACGCGTTCCAAACTCAACTGAAAAGATTTATACCGCGCTCCAAGAAGAAGAAGAAGAAGAGGCCGAGCTGCGACTGCGCAGCGCTGACTTCGGACGGCAAAAAACAGAAGAAACGTGGTCGAAAACCGACTTGGCCAAACCAAACCGAACCGATCCGAAACCGAAATCGAAAAAAAAAAAAAAAAAACAAATAACTTCACAAACGATACCAAAAGTTTTGCAAAACTTAAAATTTGGTTTTCGACTTTGTGTGTTTGTTTTTGTTGTTGTTTTTTCCTCTTTGCCTTTGATATTTTTTGGGGGCGTGGATGGGCTGGCTGTGTTGTCACAAGCACCAATTTGTTGTTGCAATTTGGCGCGTGGTTGGTGTGAATGCAAAACGGGATTTGGATTGCCCAGTGCTGCCCATTAAGCCATTTTCCCCGACAAATTATTAATTTAAACAAGAAAGGAAGCTAGCTTCGGCAAGCCGAAGCTTATATACCCTTGCAGTTACTAAATATGTCGAACAAAATACATAAAAGCTAAAGAGCATCGAAGCTATGACGATTTTTCTATTAATTTTCCATATTGTTCATATGACAGCTATATGATATAGTCGTCTGATTTTAATGAAATTTAATTTGTAACTCAAGACTCATTAGAAAACTCTATATTCCAAAAATCATTATTGCCTGATGAAAAACAACGAGGTTATAATTATATTTCTGTTATTTCTATATAGATTTTTCGATCTTTCCCATGGCAGCTATATGATATAGTTGTCCGATTTTTATGAAATTTTTTTCTCAACTTAAGAGTATTTAAAAAACTTTATGTTCCAAAAATCATACTCGTGGCATGAAAAACAACGACATTATAATTTTTTTCCATTATTTATATATATATTTTTTGATCTCTCCTATGGCAGCTATATATTAGAGTTATCCGATTTTGATAAAATTTAATCCGCAATTCAATATCAGTTAGAAAACGCCATCTGGAAGGAATCAAGTCGATCTGATCAAAAACAACGGAGTAAGAATTTTTAATTTCATTCTCTCGTATGGGAGCTATCCGATATAGTCGCCCGATCCGGCTCGTTCCGACATATATACTGCGTGCAATAGCTACACAACTTTTGGGAAAGTTTCAGCGAGATAGCTTTAAAACTGAGAGACTAGTTTACATAGAAACCGACAGGAGGACAGACAGACAGACGGACAGACGGACAGACGGACAGACGGACAGAAGGACAGACGGACAGACGGACAGACGGACAGACGTACATACATATTTCGATTCAGATGGTGATGCTGATCAAGAATATATATACTTTATGGGGTCTGAGGTGTCTCCTTCACTGCGTTGCAAACTTCTGACTGAAATTATAATACCCTTTTGCTCTGCAAGGGTATAAAAATAGAGATTTTTTAACAAGAGATCTAATTATTTGTAAACAAGATTTCTTAAAGCTTTTAGGAAATCAAAGGATACACCCATATTTCCCAATCAAACGTATGCAAAGAATTTGAAATAATATTTAAAAAGAAATCTTTGAGCCAAACAATTTCTTTAACTTATTGCTCAGCTATAGCTGATGTTTAAATCCAAAAGATAGCCGCCAACACTGTTTGTCTGAGGAGGAAATTGAGCCTCTCTGGCAACATGTGTGATTGAAAGTAAAAGGCAAAGCTCGCGCAGACCATAAGCTTCATTCATGATTGGTGTCCCGTTTGCCGATTGCCGTTGCATTGTTAACTATTGCAAAACTTTTGCCGTTGCCTTTGCTTTGCTTTTCTGCTGCCGCTGATGCGATTGCATAATATCTCTTGCCTGCTTTTTATTTTTGTTTTTATTTACATGTGCGGTTGCTGATCTTTTCCTTTTTTTTTTTGTTTTTGTTTTTTTTGTTTTTTCTTTTTTCTTTTCGGTTTTCTTTGGCCACTCGGGTAATTAACTCTTTTGTGTCTGCTGGCTTGACAAAGGGCCCCCGCCCACCGAAAACCGCCCACCTTTCGACATTATCCGATAGTTCAGTTTCCCAGGGTTGCGTGCGGAGTGAAAGGTTTTGATTGATTGCTCGATCACTCGAATATTCACCATTAGTATTCGAATATTCATCATTATTATTTCCAAACGAGATGCACACTAATTTTGTATAGACTCGAAATCAAGTTTTAATTAAAAACGAAATGGAAATTGCTGAAATGGAGCTGGCTCATTGAGAGGTTTTGCTTACAGTCATGGATTTAAAGTCGATTGGGTGATGGCTTAAATAAATTGGGCGAAACATAATTGGGGCAAATATCGCAGGTTTTGGATAAATTGCACTCAAAGTAATTAGGTAATATTAATGAAATATAAACTAAAGAGTTCATAGGAGTATTCAATAAAAAGGTGTACAAAATATAGAGAAAATATCTAACAGAAAAGTAGGAGGCAAAGAAATGATTGTGAAATTGAAAGGAAAGTTGAAAATAGAGAGCGATAAGCAGAATAGTTTTAAGGTTTAAAGGTCAAATAAGAAGGATAATATGCAAGTCAAAATATAGTTTAAATTAGAAAATTAAGAAAGCAATAGAGACAGAAGTCATAGTTTCATGACTTTTGTAAAATAAAGTTTTTTTTAGAAAAAAGAATGTATGTTAAAAATATTTTATAATGCTTCAGTACATGTTACAGAATAAAAACTTATACCTTTTAATTGGTAAATTGATAGTGAAGTAAAAGATTTGGAAGTACAATATTTGAAAATATTACAAAATTATGATAGTTTATAGTTCAAGAGGAATTAAAATAGAAGACCTGAGTACTAAATAAATGGAAAAGAAAAAGGAAAAAGTAAGGTAAAGTATGGAACTTCAAGAGGATAGCTGAAAAACAATACAGAATACAGAATACAGAATAGATATAGATAAAAGTCAGAGGAGTGGTAAAGGATAGATCAATTTGGCAAGTATAGTTTATAAAAAATTCAGTTTATTCTTTTGTATAATAATAAGGCGAAAGTCTGAAAATGGGAAATATATACACAACAATTTCGTAGAATTCGGTTGGGCACAGATATAAAGATAGGAAAGAAATAGTGAAAGAAAGTCAGTTCAAAGAGGAAAGATAGCACAGAGAGGAAGAAAACAGTAAAGATATAGAAGGATATAGACAGAGAGTAAACAGGATATTGAAGTTTAACGGCTACACATACGTTCTATAGGAAATGGGCTAGAACTACTAACTTTAAGTGACTAAGACGCGAATCCGTGTTTTGTGTTGTGTTGTTTTGTTTTGTGTTATTTTGTCATGTGTAGTTTTTCTCAGTGTGATTGTGTGTGTGCGTGTGTGTGTTTGCATGATTGTGCGCGTGTGGATGTGATGGGGAGAGCTAAACCGGAAGTGGCTTAGTCCTTCTTGTCGTCGGCATCCTTGTACCAATCCTCGCAGCCGGGAACATTTTCGGGGGCATCGCACATCTCGGTGGCATCGTTGTAGACTTCGCCCAACTGGCATCCCAAGTCCCGGGGATCCTCGCCGTTGAGGCACACGTAGAACTTCTGGCAATCGGTGGGATGGGGGTACTTCGGGTGGGTCACCACCTGGCCGCGATCGTCTGTCTTTGGCTGATCCTTGGGGCAAACGAAGCCGGTCTCGGAGGTTCCTAATCGAAAATAACAAAAAAAAACATATTATAAATCAACTGCCAACTAAATTATTTTCGAACGGAATTTCAAGAGAAATGGAAAACCAACTAGAACGGTGTCCAAAAGTATGCTATACTTTTCAATACGTGTTTAAAATCCACTGTAGCATACTTTTTGGCACTCTTTTTGGGGTTTTTAAATCTCTGGAGTTTTGATTTGGAACTTACTCTGCTCAGGGTTGCATCCCTCACGCTTGGCAGTATCGGGCCACACACAAGTGCCCGAGTACTCATCGAAGTGGAGGCCCACGGTGCACTTGGTCTCCAGGGCATCGCCTTCGATGCAGTTGTAGAAGATGTTGCACACGGCGGGATCGGGATGCGCGAAGAATCCGTTCTTGCGGGGACAGTACTTGCTCGACTTGGGCTCCTCTGCAAGGGGAAATACAATTTGTTAGTTATTTACAATCCATACTGGATGGAAAATGTATTAAAGATCAAGATAAACAGAAATCTTTACAGATTTAAGCAAAGGGAAACCTCTAGAAGTTTCAAATCACTCGCAATCGTATTATAAATAACTATGATTTTTGATAGGATATTACTTATTTGTGAAAATAAATTCAAATAAAATTTAAAACTACTTTAAAGCTTGTACTTACTATACAGATACAGAAAAAACAGAATGTAAAAATGAGAGCTCTGCTTAGTATGCATACTAAATGCGATCTGATATTCATGTTGCCAAGTTGACTTAGCCTTGACATAGTTTTAAAGCTCGCCAGACGTTGCATAAACTGGTTTGGTCCCGAAGGGTCAGGAATAATGTTGGCTAATAATGATTACGTGAATACAGATAAAAAAAAAAAGCAGATGCATATTCATGCGATTTTTGCAGGTCATGTTTTGGGGTTTCCTTGTATAAATTAATATCCACTCTTTTCGATATCTTTTTTGCAATGAGTTTTGTTTGTATTTAATTTCTTATTTTTTAGTGGGTTTACTTACGGAGCTCCGTGCGGTCCTCGCAGTCGACGTTGAAGGGCTGGTCGCACTTGTTCAGCTTGCGGTTGAGGGGATCGAAGACGAGTCCATCGGGACAGAGCTTCGCCTTGGCGATGCCCTCGTCGCAGACGTAGAACTTGTCGCACTGCACCTCATCGGCGAACTGGCCATTTGGCTTGGGGCACTCGAAGTTGGCGGCAGAAACGGCTGGAAAACAAAAGAGGTGCAAAGAAAATGGTAACAGAAGCGCGTGATTCGACTCGTTTTCCCACTTTCACTTTCCTGCTGCCCCTCAATTCAAGTCAATTCAAGTCGATGCAAGTCAAGTCAAGTTAAGTCAAGTCAGACACGAAAGTGTAACGAGATCGAGCACTCGATTTATCGATCGATGGCAATTCCGCATTTGCGGTTTCCTGTATTGAAAATGGCTTTTGCTCTTTCAAGGAACAGGTTACTGGAGTAGGGAACCAAATCGGGGAGTAATGGCTAAATCGAATCAGAATATGTGAGAGTTGGATAATGGTTGAGCAGGTACTTAATGGCAAAGTGGTAAAGGAAGTGATAATATAGATTTATTACAAGTGAGTAGGTAACAAAGGTACAAAATTTCAAGGAAAAAATAGATCTAAAAGTCTAAAACGAATAATGAAATATGTTAGATTAAGAAGCCGGAAAAGAAAATGCTTTTCAGTAAGAAGTTTTAAAAACCCTTTCAGGTGATTTAAAATCTCTACAAATTTAAATACGGTTGTATTTCCAATTATTATTCCATTAATGATATCTTTTACGTGATCCTACAGTTTGAAGTTTTATGCTTTCTATGATGTTTTAGGGATTTCCCTGCTCAGTTGTGACATGACAACGATGTCCAGTTGGAGTTCAATGCACTCCACTGGCAATCGGTTGGCCAGAAAGATGAGCGCTGCGTTTTATGGCCCAGAAGAGCAGCTCTTTTCACAGTCACGACTTGGCAACAAGCTGCAGGAGTTGCATAACCAGCTATCCAGTTTTTCCAGACGGAAAAACCAGCCGGTTCGCCATCTCGTTTTCAAAACGGATCCGACATCTCGCGACTTGATTTTTAAGAGCTGGAACGCAATCTTGCGAGACGACTGGCTAAATGTCATTAGCTAGTTGGCCAAAAAAAAAAAAAATAATAAAAACCAGAGATACAAAAATCCAAGAAAAAAAACAAAAACAGAGAAACAAACTCTTGATATGCAAAATACACAGATAATCTTGATTTTGGTGTCATTGTCAAAGTAATTAGCAACAAGTTGCGACTTCTACTTCGGTTGGCAGAAATCACTTAAAGTCACAGCAAGTCCAATGGATTTTCAAATCCACTTTTTGTGGATATAATTTTTTTGTTTTTCACACTCACTTGTTGCCACACAAAGCGTCACAGCAATGGCACATAGAAATAACTTCATTTTTGAGTTAATGCTGGATTGGAAAACCAAAAAAAAAATATAATAGGTGCTAGTGATGATCCTGGGAACTGGAAACTGGAAAACCTGGAGCAAGTTATCGCGACCCAAGCGTTGCGATGGTTAAACTAAACTAACAACGGATCGCCAAAGAGGCGCACTTTTCAAGACTTTTTTACCGGCTCCAATCGACGTCGGCGTCGACGCTGGCAGCGACGTTGGCGGCGGCGGAGCGATGCCAATGGGCGGGGCCGCCGCCGCCCCCGCCACTGCCACTTCCACCGAGCCAGGTCGAAACCGAACGGGCCGCAGCTCCGAAGGCGGCAAAGAAAGGCGAGCCGGAGATGTAATGGCGCAAAAAACAAGAAAGTAAACTCGATTGGAATCGTTAAAACCGAATAGATAATACCCTTGCTGGTAGTTAGGAGCTTAATATAAATAAAAATAAATATTAGCAACTGATTTTCATGAGATAACTAAATATGTGAGCACTTCTAAGTAAAGTTGAACTGAAATAATAAAGTGTCGTATAAATAGTAGGTAATGCATTGCTTGATCAAAAGCGCCATCTATTGCTCATTTTCTCAAGCTTAACGTACTTTTTAGGTTTTGTTGAATTTTGAAAGAAATAATTATGATTTATTTATTTAAAAACATCAGCATTTAAATTTACTATTAGCCCTGGAAAAATAACATATATTAAATGAGTTAAATTTTGTAGCTTAAAATGCGTTGTGTGCACATTTAAATAGAAAGGATTTTATTTATAAAAAAATATTATTATTTTAGAATTTAAAAGGATTTAGAGTACAATTCGGTTAGTATAATTCCAGAAAACAACCAACCACACCTTCTAGCACACCTGTTTTTTAGCTTTTCCGGGTCTTGATCGATCAAATGAGAGCTTCACTGCTTAAGTTATTCACGATCATTTTGCGAATGTATCCTGTTTGGATAGAGTATTACCAATTGGGTGCCCGTTCCCTGCGATCAGTGTGTCGATGTGGCCGAAAAAAGCGACACGAAATTGAACATAAACAAATTCATATGCGGCAACGGTCCCCGGGGCCGAAATGTGAGCTGAGTTGAGTTGGGTTGAATCGAGTTGATTTGGCTGCTCGGCGAGTTGATGGAGTTGATGGGCCGCATGCAAATGGCTTACACCGATAAAAGGCCAGCGCACAAAAGACCAAAACAAATTAAGCCAGAAATGAGATAATTTCGGGGACCGGCGAGAGGTGCAGCCCGCCATTCGTTGAGAGGTTCAATTAAAAAAGTCAACAAATTGCAGATAACATGTTCAAGGACTTCAAGGATTCGCCATGGTCGTAGAAATATGATATAGTATAGTACAAATTGTATTTATTTCAGCCAACTTTACAAAACAATCACTACATTACAATTACAATTGGATAAAAAACACATAAAAACACATAAATCATTGCACATTGCTTACTGAATTTACAAACCAAAAATAAGCAAATTATAATAATTTTTACATTTCCTTTTTAGTTTTCGTAACTCGCAAAACTATTTCACTTATCAGTTCAAGACTAACAATTGAATGCTAAATTATAATTTATAATTATAGTGTTTTTATTTGCAACTCAAGTAACTGTAAGTATTATATGCATTTAAAACAGCTTAAATCCCACAGGTATTAAATGTGCTCTTGGCTGGGGATAAGTATCTGAGAAACGGCCAGGTAATTGTTCGTTTGATCTTTGGGTTTATTCGTTTTAATTACCTTCTTTGCAATTATGGAACCCCACCCAACCAGCGATTCCACGATGACTACGCCCATGGGCGTCCCACTCGGGAAGGAAAACTGTGTCACATCCCGCGGCTGGGGAATCGAAAAGATGGAAGCACTGGTGGCACCGGTAATATATGTACATAATATATGCATAAATATGCTAAACACACCACGCAATGACCCAAAAGCCGCTGTCCTTGGGAGATGATGCTATACGATCCGACTCGATACGATATTATACGATCCGTTCCGATCGGAGATGATCGGCCAAAACCAGACTGAAAAACCAGGCTGACAAAAAAAAAAAAACTAGTTTAGGTCCGCGGCGTGGCGGCTAATTAAAAATACACTTTTACTCTCGCCCGGATCGTCTAGAGTCTAGAGTCTAGAGTTTGGTTCTTGGAAGCTCACTTTAAATGGCTGAATCTGAAATTCAATTGGCAAATTAATTTGTAAACTAACCACGATTTAATCTCACCTGTGCGCATGCGTGTGTGCGACTGGTTTGGTTTGCAATTAGCAAGAAAAATACAACAAAAATAAGCAGAGGGAAAAATAAGAAGAAAAAAATTAAAACATTATAAATGCCGCTCATCGGTTTGGCAACTCCCATATGCAAGATCTTGGAATCGGCGCCGATTTGTCAGCCTGGAGCAAAAAGCAGTTAAAGATTTGGCAATTCAAGGTTTTTACTGCAACATGGGATCGGATCGGATCGTATCGGATCGATTCCAGTCCGGTTTTATCAATGCGGTTACGAAATGAGACACAAAACCCAACTCCATCTGCATGGAATTACAGTTTTTTCTTTTTTCTTTTTTGTTTTTATTAAATTTTTAATTTACCTTTTGGTCATCAAATGGTGGCATTTAAATGCAGATGCGCCAAAATCGAGGCAAAAATAAACTTCAAAGGAATCGTTTGCCCTTTGCGACAGGTTCTTTGGCATTTTGAGGTCGGATCGGAAAAGCAATTTACCGGTAATTGCGAACAAATACAACGGAAAATGGCTCACGTACTGCGATTTACAGTTAAGTCACCTGCACACCTTCGGTCGCATGATGCAGCATAAAGTAAAAGAATAAATTATAGAAAAACGAATCACTCGATGGCGCTTTCTATTTTCAAGGCAGGTTCTTTGGATTTCACTTGCCACAAAACGCGGATTGAATGTAATTAGCAGAGTTGGGGGTATAGCTAGATATAAAAAAGTTCGTAATTAACAAAACAACATACAAATCCCAACAAGATTTTGTTACTTATTTATTCAATATGTTTTTTCTTATCACATTAAATGCCGTTCAAACATTATACTAACTCAGCTTAAATGTTATGCACTTCTCTAGTAAATAAACAATAAGTGTTAATTAATACTTTCCCGCCACCTCATTTCTGCAAGTGGTGATTATTTCAAAATATGAATGACCGATAAACCAAAATTTAAGAATTAATCGGAACACAAATGGGTTCTAATTAGATTTATCGTTTTAGCTCATTGGGTGAAAGCAATAAGTATACAAGTCAAGGTAAAGCAAACCTAATAATGTTTAAGCAAGGCAAGATCTAAGTAAGTTAGCTAATTTCAATATAATTATAAATTTAATATAATAAATTATCAAATAAAGTAAAATGTAACTGTTATTAACTTTGTACTGTTGAGCGCAGCAGTGCTGCCAGATCGATAAGTGTATGTTAAGTAAGCTGTCACGACAGCTGTTGCCTGTAATCGCCATAAGGCAGAAAAAAGCTTAGTTTCTGATAAACACACATTGTTTTAAACAACTAGTAAAATTCATGGTCTAAGATACTTATTTGTTTGTTACTTTATGTGCTTTATAACGAAGCCCTCGCCCCTTTTGTGGCTTCCGTGACAATAACTGTGACATGTAACGGGTACTTGACGATGTACCATCTCTAGCTGCCATAGTTAGTCAAAACATTAAAGTCGCATTTTTACCTGGTTGAAAAATGTTGATTTAAGTACTTAAAACACAGCGGAGCAACGTGTTAAGAACGGAAAGAGGTGTGTACTAGAGTAGTTGAAGTTCCACACTGGGAATTGGTTAAACACAGGGAAAAAAAGTGCAGAAAAAAAAGACGTCACACAGCCCACTTTCAATCACTAGATTATTGATTTTTTTTTTTGCAAAGAAAGTAAGGTGGATTGTGGATTACTAAGCGATTTACTCGGTTACTGGGAAATGTGCACTTAACGACACGAAACCATATGTGGGTGCTGGAAAACAGAACACTATAGAACGCACCCACTTCTTGTGCTTTTTGCTGGCCAATTGGTGACATCATCATAAGCAGGGGAGATCTACCAATATTGGTAACCATTAATCATACAATTCCCCCTCCGCAGAGAACCGAAACCAGCGAGAGATCATCCCCAGACCAGACCCACCTGCAGTTCCACAACCACTCGCTCGAAACGCCTGAACCCCAGAAGGTAATCCCCCCGAGAAATGGATCGCAAGGCTGAGCTGGAACGCAAGAAGGCCAAGTTGGCCGCTCTGCGCGAGGAGAAGGATCGCCGTCGACGCGAGAAGGAGATCAAGGATATGGAGGAGGCAGCCGGTCGCATTGGTGGCGGTGCAGGCATCGATAAGGATCAACGCAAGTGGGTTATTAAGTGCATCTGCTCTTTAAAATGTGACTCATCACACGAAATTTAATGCCCATTACAGGGATCTCGATGAAATGCTGTCATCCCTGGGCGTGGCTCCCGTTTCCGAGGTCCTGTCGTCACTCTCTTCGGTGAATTCGATGACCTCCGACAACTCCAATACACAGACTCCCGATGCCAGCCTCCAAGCCACCGTAAATGGCCAAAGGTGAGTCAATAAGCCATCAAAAGGATTGCATATAATAGAGGTTAACTGAAGTTGTAGAATATGTTTAATAACTGCAAGAAGTAGAGTTTTAAATTGTTGAACTGGCACTAATTTTAAACTGTTCAATGCACCTTTAGCGGCGGAAAGAAACAGCCCTTGAACCTGAGCGTCTACAATGTGCAGTCGACGAGCATTCCGCCAAAGGAGACGCTGGTCTACACGAAACAAACCCAGACGACGAGCACTGGCGGCGGCAACGGCGATGGTGCGTATTGAACACCCGGAATGCGATCCCCGAAACAAAAAAAGGGGACCGGGATCTTGGGCTCTACTGTATAACCACTATCCATAGTTTGACTCCATCTTTTCGCTACTGTTGCCGTTCTTGTTCTTGGTCTCTCGTTGTTAACTGTGTTTGGCTTCCCTGCGTCCTCCCTTCCGTCCAATTTCCGTGCCCGTCCGCCGAAGGAACTCCATATCCGTAGCTCCATCAGTCCCATCTCTTTCTGTCTGGCGCAAGTTCATAACGCTGCATGCTGAGCCCACATATATTTCCGCCCCTCCCCGAACAATAAAACACCCTTTCCCTCCCAGCAGAGAAAACAAAGATACAAAATACAGAAAACAGAAAACCATAATCCATAGTGAAATAAAATAACAAATACAGTTCTTTCTTGCCACTCCTCGCCTCTGTCAGGATATATGGAGGACTGGTGGCGTCCACGTAAAGGTACTAATCTTAATTTTAAGCAAATCCCACACTCGATCATATCAGCACACGAACGATTAACGATACGGGAAACTGTGTACTCTTATCTCTCGTTTTGTGAAACGCTCGTACGATTTTTGTCAAAATTCCCTGTTAAATTGTGCAGGCAGAAGGATATCTGAATTTGGTGGATCAACTAATCGATTCGATTGCTTTAATTACGACAGCTTCCTTTTGCTTTGCTTCATCTCGATTTGGTTACAAATTCCCAAGAACGTAATTTTGTACCAGTAGATCGAACATATTTTAAGAGCTTTCTCTTGATTTGCCCTTTCGCATTATTTGTTTGTCCTCTGGTGCTGCTTATTCAACCCCTTTTTAAAAGTCCTTACCCTTTTTTACCAAAAAATAAGTTAATATTTAATTTTTCTGCTTCAAATCGCTTTTATATTATTGCAATTTACAAGCACAACAACTACAAAATTCAACTTGCAATGTGATGAGGACTTTATCTCTTAATATTTGTTTTTGTATTCAACAAATTTCTTCATCATTTGCATAGAAACAATGTGTGATCTCCTCTTTCGAACCCCCTTTTATTAATTACCCATTTTTGTTACTGTTTTGATCGATATATGTCCCGATTTCTGTAAAAGGTTGATGGTAGCACTACGTCCCCGAAATCATGACCACTATTACACTTTCCGATTTTGTTTCGATTCATTTACGCTGCAGTCTCGAATCATTTCTCGCATATCCTCCTCCGTCCAGCATTCCATATATTCCATATACCATTACCATATACCATATACCATATCCATAGATCGTTAGTGTTTACACCTTTTGAGCGCATTTAATAATTTGTCTATTTACTTTCTCTCTCTTCCCCCCTTATCTGTTTTTGGCACGCACGCAAAAAAAACTGCAGCTCATGCTACGGATTATTATGGTGAGTAGTCCTTGTCGTATGCGTAATCTTGTACCTAGAACTTTTCAGCCCTCGTAGCGGTCTGTGTACCACCCGTAAAAAGTAAAGAGAGTATCGTATGCCTACTTTATAACCTGTAACCTGTAACCGTATATATCTACCTTGAATCTGATACCTATTTCTCTATTTACTCGCATTATGTATTTGTGTAGTTTGCTCTCTATCTTTTCCTGCTCATCCCCGCAAAAAAAAAAAAAAAAAACCACCTATGCTATTGCTAAGAATTTTTCTGACTTGCTTAGATTATGCCTGATATCGTAATTCTATCTTAGATACGTTTATGTTTATGTCCTAGCTTCTCGTAGTTGCTTCTTCGATCTTCGTTTCCGATTCGTTTGTTTCCCCGACCGGGATTATATATATATATATCTATATATACATTTTATATGATTTATACCTGATTTGTTTCAATTAGCTCGATAGCAACATCGCAAGAGATTCAGTTTGTATCAGATTAAATAGAATTTGTGTGTAAAGCGATTGTATCGAAATGAAAATCAACAGAAAATTTGTAATCTCCACCCAATTTATAAGTTTTTAATTCGTTTAAGTAGTTTTCGTACTCACTTTAAGTTTTACACAATTTTTTCTATCAGTTTTTTTCTTTTTAATTTATGTATATCATAAGTATTTACGGGTTTCCATAAAACAGCTGTAAGAATTTTTTTTCAGTTCCTTTGATATATATATTTTTTTCGTTTTTAGCATAACCAATCTATTACATATATATTTCTACTCGATTTCTTTATCCAGCAGTTATTTTAAGTCTATGATAACCAGTAAGCAACAAATATTTAACCCAAAAACACACACACACACACACTTAAACAACGAAACTCCATTATGAAAGCACGAAATCGAGTTTTTTTTAATCTATATATCGTTTGTATGATTAACTATCAGATATCTTAGTTGAACATTCCTAAGCTGTATTATAAACTCTTTCTCCTCCCCTCGCCACTTTTTGTGTTCCATCATAAAAGCCAGGCTTGTGTGCTAATAGTAATTATACATTTACCCAATATAATCATATTTATACATATTCGTGTGATAATTTCGACAAGCAACAAAAGTTAAGCACACTAAAAACTCAACATATCTCACTTTTTACCGTATGCATTTTGTTTAAAACATTAACGATCGATTGATGTATCGATTTTAATGGGCGGTATGCTAAAGCCAAACTCATAATTTTTTTTTCGTTTTGATTTGAAAAGTCACAAAAAAAAAAAAAAAAAAAAAAAACTACCAGCAATGTTTGTAAAATATATTTATTTCTTTATATTTCTTCAAGATGAATACAATCTTAATCCGGGTTTAGAGTGGGAGGATGAATTCACAGGTAGGTACAGGCCAGCCGCCCGAACCAAAATATTGAACAGTGACGGAATCGACATGAAGCAAAATAGGAACGATCCAATTCTCACTTTGCACGCGAAACGAAATCAGAGTTAATTAAAGAAAAGGAAAGCACAGGAAGCGCGTTGAAAATCGATCAGTGTTGAATAGTGAATTGATCCGCAACTCACACACGCGCTCACAACACTAAAAGTAACGGACCCGTGCCTCTGCCTCACTTTCTCTATCTCTCTTTGTCTCGCTCCTTCATCTCTGCTTGTGTACATTGTGTACAGCCTACATTTGCATGACTGCTAATGCTAATTATCCTGCCCTCCTGCCCCGCCCCTTTCCCCCCTTTGTGTGTCGTGTTTGCTAATCCCTAACAGTCATCCTAAACCCTCGAGTTAAGTCATAATAACTCTGTCCTAATCACTAACCTCTGTCATACAACTAAAGAAAAAAGAACAGCAGCAGCGACAGGATGCTAGGCTTATGCTCCATTTCACTCACTCGCGATGATGTTCGGCCTCGGCTCGCTCTCTGTCCCCCTTTCTCTCTTTCTTAGCTATCGATCCCGATTCCGATACCCTCTTCAATTACAGCACTGTAACAGAAAACGAAAACGTTCAATCGGCTGATAACTTTACCAAGTTTAATATATGTGTAATATACTTCTAGCATAAAACTAAATAATTTTAAGTGAAAGCAATTATAAAATGGGTGGAGAAAAATGCAAATTTAAAAAAGATAAGATGTACAATAGAGATAACATTGATAAGAGTTAATCGAAACAGAAACAGATCTTAAAACGAAAGCAGGGAAATTGTAAATTTTTAATTTTCAGTAATTGGCTTTGTATATTAACTAGGTAAAAAAATGAAAAATCACAACAAGCGCACACATTCGCAAACTCACCTGTCCATGACCTAACCACTGTATATATCGATAACAAACTACAGTCTGATATATGCACCTGTGTGAGTGCCTTTAACAGTGTTTAACAGTTTATTAACAGCCATGCACCTGCCGCCACATCTCCCCCCTCTCTCTCTCTCTCTCTTTCTCCCCGTTATACGCACGCACAAACACGCCCACACTCCAAAGAAGAAGAACCATGTGAGGAGACTCCAATGTGCTGCAACTCTCCCACTCTCTTTCTAATGCTTTCCCTGTCACTTTCTAAGCTTCATCCACCACCCACTCCACCCAGAATCATTACCGTAATCCCAACCCATCCAAAACTCCCGCCTCCAGGAACCCTAAACCATAAGAACAAAGCCAAAAGTCTCAGAAAATTGCAGTTTCTTGCCAAAGCAAAACGAAGACGAAGAAGAACGCCAAATGAAATCCAAAAAAAAAAAAAAAAAATCAGATCAAAATCGAATCAATTAAGAGCCGAAAGTAGAATTGTTCCTGTTCTGTCGATTGTCATGTTCCTCTAGCTGTGTTAGTTTTATACCTTAAACAGTGCTTGCATTTGATGCCCAAGGAGACGACGAAGAGAGCTCACTGCAGAATCTGGACAACGGGTTCACCTCGAAGCTGCCGCCAGGATATCTCACCCACGGCCTGCCCACCGTCAAGGATGTCGCCCCGGCCATCACGCCCCTCGAGATCAAGAAAGAGACCGAAGTGAAGAAAGAGGGTAAGTACTAATTCAATATGATATTGTCTATAAGAAGGGTGTGGGTTTAAATGTTTTCGCAATTCAATATTCAAAACAATAAATATTAAGAAAATTTTTTATATTTTTGATATCGGTAACATAAGTTATTATGTTAAGAATCTAATCTTTAGATTTTATTCTTCACTTTATAAGATAGCAATTAAGATCTTTTAATCATCTTTCGTTTAAACCAATTTTCCAGTCAACGAACTGTCGGAGGAGCAGAAGCAGATGATCATCCTGTCGGAGGACTTCCAGCGGTTCGTGGTGCGCGCCGGCCGCGTCATCGAGCGTGCGCTCTCCGAGAACGTGGACATCTACACGGACTACATTGGTGGCGGCGACAGCGAGGAGGCGAACGACGAGCGATCCCACGCCCGACTCTCGCTCAATCGGGTGTTCTACGACGAGCGCTGGTCGAAGAACCGCTGCATCACCAGCATGGACTGGTCCACCTACTTCCCGGAACTCGTGGTGGCCTCCTATCACAACAATGAGGACAGTCCAAACGAACCGGATGGCGTGGTGATGGTGTGGAACACCAAGTTCAAGAAGACCACGCCCGAGGACGTCTTCCACTGTCAGAGCGCCGTGATGTCCACGTGCTTTGCCAAATTCAATCCGAATCTGATCCTCGGCGGCACCTATTCGGGCCAAATTGTGCTGTGGGACAATCGCGTCCAGAAGCGCACGCCCATCCAGCGCACACCGCTCAGCGCTGCGGCGCACACGCATCCCGTCTACTGCCTCCAGATGGTGGGCACCCAGAATGCGCACAACGTTATCTCGATTTCGTCGGACGGAAAGCTGTGCTCGTGGTCGCTGGACATGCTGTCGCAGCCGCAGGACACGCTGGAGCTGCAGCAGCGCCAGTCGAAGGCCATTGCCATTACCTCGATGGCCTTCCCGGCCAACGAGATCAACAGCTTGGTGATGGGCAGCGAAGATGGCTACGTCTACTCAGCATCGCGTCACGGCCTTCGCTCCGGCGTAAATGAGGTCTACGAAAGGCATTTGGGACCCATCACCGGCATATCCACGCACTACAACCAACTGTCGCCGGACTTTGGCCACCTCTTCCTCACCTCGTCGATCGACTGGACCATCAAACTGTGGTCGCTCAAGGTACGAACATTGATTAGATATATTATAGATTTAATATATGTATGATTAACATTTTTATATGCCTTCCAGGACACAAAGCCACTTTACTCGTTTGAGGACAACTCTGACTACGTGATGGATGTCGCCTGGTCGCCGGTGCATCCGGCGCTCTTTGCCGCCGTCGATGGCAGCGGTCGGCTGGACCTGTGGAACCTCAACCAGGACACGGAGGTGCCAACGGCCTCGATCGTTGTGGCAGGAGCACCGGCTTTGAATCGCGTCTCCTGGACGCCATCGGGATTGCACGTTTGCATCGGCGATGAGGCGGGCAAGCTGTATGTTTACGACGTGGCCGAGAATCTGGCGCAGCCATCCCGGGACGAGTGGTCGCGGTTCAATTCGCATCTGAACGAGATCAAGATGAACCAGAGCGACGAGGTCTAGGACGTTAGTAGAGTTAGCCGGTAGTTGATAGTCGATAGTCGATACCAATCCTGCGATTCTTCAAAAAGGGATCCCAGACGGAGCGTCCTTGAATGAAATTTAATTTGTATTTTTGTATCTTTTGTGATCCCGCTGCTCCTTAGTTTGTGTATAGCCCAGAGACCAAAACTCATCCGCAGTCCAAATGCTCAGAATTTCGCTTGACCACATTCTCTCTCTCTCTCTCGTGAATTATCTCCAACTGCAACATTCTCTGTATTAGAAAGTTTCTTCAATGAAACTCGACAGAATATAGATATATATATATACAATATATTCGAAGGGCAGTGGAAGAAGAACTAGAAGTTGGTCTCCCCGCATGTTTAATTGGTACATATATTTATTGCTTTGTTACTAGATATTGGTTTCATTCCATTGCAATTTCCCCAGATCCATTTTCACTGTCAATTGATTGGTATTGTAAATGGATTTGCAAGGGGAAAGTCTTCTATTTTATTTTCAAATTTGTGAAACTAAAAAGAATGAAAGAAAAAAGGTTTACTCGACTGTCTGGCAGGCTGAGAGCAACACATAAATAAATTAAACGCTACATATTATATACATACACCGTATTAAGCATAAACCTGAGAAGAAGAAAGACAGAGACTAAAAAAAGAAAGTCGGACGGACAGGAGAAAGGGGCTCAGGAATGAGGATGCGAGAAACTGAAACTGAAGATGAAGCTAAATCCACTCAACTGAAAGAGCCCAAATGTAAATGTATTAAAGCGAAGCCTATTTAACGAGATTAAATAAACATAATATCTATATACAAATTCTACATGGAGTATTTAATTGGAACTTGGAACTAATAGATCCTTCTGATCTGATGTTTGAAAATTGCAAAGCTCTTTCTTTTCCAAGCAAATTATTATTTGAATCCATTTCAGGCAAACAAATTGCATTTTCACTACAATTAAAGTGTTTGTACGTCAAAGTATTTTGGTGTGGTAAACGCTATATCTCAGTGACAGCGATCGGATGAGCAGGTTTTAATTAATTAATTCAAAAAATGTGCCGAGTGGTTCAGTTGCTTTGGAATTCAAGTGCAGCCCCATTAGAAGCGGTATTAAAAGCTCCCTTGCGAAAGTCGCGCTCACAAAAGCTTTTACACAGAGAAAAATAGGTAAAACAGGTGAGTTCTTTAATCGTTACAGCCTGGTTGGTTGATCTGGATTGACAGTTATTCGGAATACCCAGTCATGATATTTATCGTTAAAGGACATAAAAAAATCTTTATAAAATATTAAAAAACTGCCAATTCTATTATATGATCTAATTTGATTGTAAACGCATTTTTGATATTTTAAAACACTATATATATCAGGTTTAAAATAATGGTAAAATTATTCCATAACAAGAGTATTTCTTTTTGTGTAGAACTTGTGCTCTTTAGAGAGCGGAATTTGAAGAGCACGAAAAACGGAGACCCCACTGCAATGCCTCCCATTTACAATTATTCACCAAGAAAAGGCGGAGACAACAAGACGTCGCAAGAATAGTAGACGAATAAAACCCAAAGAAATACGTTGATTGCTTCGTTTTCAATCGACGAGCCCAGAAGATTTTAGAATTGCAAAGAGTTCTTCAAGAAACGAAATGGATTACCAGGTGAGTGGATGATAACCAGGTGAATTAGCATGGAACTATTGCATATATTGCACTTATTGATTTGCCACCGCGATGCGTCATCCGGTACACAGAAAGAAATGTAAAGGAGATATGATTTGATGACCAACCTGATCAGTTTACAGCATGTTTTGTATCAGATACCAATGCTTTTAAAAATTAAGTCATTCAAAATATAAAAGAAACGTTTGTTTAATTAACATTGAACTGTTTTTTTTATCTGTGTACAGCCCATTCCCACGGTGAAGAGTGTCACACCCTTTGACGCCTCGCAGGATGCGCAGGTTCTGCGGGCGGCGATGAAGGGCTTCGGCACCGACGAGCAGGAGATCATCGACATCCTGGCCGGCAGGAGCAACCAGCAGAGGCAGGCCATCAAGGCCATATACGAATCGGAGTTCGAGCGGGATCTGGTTGAGGATCTGAAGGACGAGTTGGGTGGCAAGTTCGAGGATGTGATCGTGGGCCTGATGATGCCGCCGGTGGAATACCTCTGCAAGCAACTCCACTCCGCCATGGCGGGAATCGGCACCGAGGAGGCGACGCTCGTGGAGATCCTGTGCACGAAGAGCAACGAGGAGATGGCCGAGATCGTGGCCACCTACGAGGAGCGCTATCAGCGTCCCTTGGCCGAGCAAATGTGCAGCGAGACCTCGGGATTCTTTCGCCGTCTGCTCACTCTGATTGTGACTGGAGTTCGAGATGGATTGAATTCGCCAGTGAATGCCGAAGAGGCCAAGGAGCAGGCTGCCCAACTCTACTCCGCCGGCGAGGCCAAGCTGGGAACGGATGAGGAGGTCTTCAACCGGATCATGTCGCATGCCAGTTTCCCTCAACTGCGGCTTGTGTTCGATGAGTACAAGGAGCTATCCGGACAGACCATCGAACAGGCCATCAAGCACGAGATGTCCGACGAGCTGCACGAGGCCATGATGGCCATAGGTTGGTACTTCTAGAAATCACTTTTCAAATATTAAATGCAAATACAAAGAAATCATATATCTAGTAGATAAATAATCAGACTTATGATGAGCAACCATTGTTATCTATTCTTATTTTTATCTTGTGAGAAAGATATTGCTCTTCATTGTGTTTGTTTTTTGTTTACTCTTTTTAGTTTAAAATGAATTTCTAAGCTTTGCGAAATTAGCTAAACTTTTCATGAATCTTTAATGCAAATTTAAGCTACCTGTTAGTTTTGTAAATGAACTTAAAACCTACAACATGTATTTGATTAACTACAAGTGAATACTTACAATAAGTTGTTACCAATAATGATAATAAACACCTATTATATTCTCAATCTTTCAGTGGAGTGCGTCCAGTCGCCGGCGGCCTTCTTCGCCAATCGTCTGTACAAGGCGATGAATGGAGCGGGAACCGACGATGCCACCCTCATCCGGATCATCGTTAGTCGCTCGGAGATCGATCTGGAGACCATCAAGCAGGAGTTCGAGAGGATCTACAATCGCACACTGCACAGCGCCGTGGTGGTAAGTGAATCTAGCGAGGATCGCGAGTGCTTTGCACCTGGCTAACGCTTCCCTTTCCCATTTTTCTTACTCGTATTCGGTATTTGTTGCGGTGTTTGTGTTTTCCTAGGACGTAAGTATTGGCCACGTATTTTCGTCATTGGTGTAACGGTTGCAATCCCAATTTCAGTTACTCCTCGATCTCAAATGCTCCTTTTACACTACAGTTTTTTCATAAATATTTTCAAAAACTGACACATTGGTTTCTATAGCACTATTTTTTAAGAACTCAAAAACTTCACTATTGGCTTGTTAAGTTTTAAGTAATTATAGACATAAGTATGCAGTAGAGTAATTGTAGTGTAGATTGGGCACAAAATCATCCCAACTTCGAACTAATAACGTGTTTAATTTGTTTTGCAGGCGGAAACCTCTGGCGACTACAAAAGGGCTTTGATTGCCCTGCTTGGAACCGCTTAAATTGTGGGGACTTTGGCAGCTGGTCCGCCCATTATTCTAACCGTATTAATATAGCCTTACTCGTAGTGTGCCTTTTATGAAAATCACGTTTAATGTCTGCGCATGCGCACACTGGTTGGCAATAAATAAACGCACATAGCAGCATAGTTAAAAAGAACCTACGTAAAGAATAGCTTGTGCAGCTCCTTGGTCTTTACGGGCAGAAAGCTTTGCATTTCATCGGGGTTGGTCCAAAAGGCCACGGAGTTCTGGAGATCTGTGCAGGGCGCCTCACGGTGTATATACTCCTTCAGGATGTAGTCGTTCTCGATCTCGTGGTGGAAGCGAGTGTCGTGCATGCGGATGAGTACGTTGTCCACTCGCAGGAAATGTCGCAGAAGTACAAAGAAACCAGAGGGCATTACGCGCTGTCAAAGGGAAAAGAATATCTTTGGCAAAGCCTTTGCTACCAATTTATAGATCTGCACTTACAATACGCACGCTCATCACAGAAATGCCGTGGTCGTGCAGTTCATCCTCAAAAAGGGTCAGATCGTGGTAGAAGATGATGTTCTCACGCTGCATCAGTTTGAACTTGTTCAGAGTCTGTTCCGTGCTCTCCGATCGCACCTTGTCGTTCATGGTTCCTTGATAAGTGGACGTGAACGTCCAGTCGAAGGGCTTAAACTTCTCCTCCCGCGTTTGCTCGGATCTGGTAAACAAAAGGCAATAATGAGATGCAAATGATGTTTAAGGTGTATATAAATTATATCCGATATGTATTACCCACCGCGTTTCGCGCCATTCTTGGGCGCAGGCCACCTCCAGTGGCTGCTTGCCGTTGTCCACCAGGGCCAGAGCGTCCATGGGCCGGAACTCGAGGACGGCGCCGTTCTTGTGCTTCAGCAGCAGCCGGTTCTTGTGGAAGACCATGTCGGGCAGGTGGGGCAGCTCCAGGGACTGCTGGTAGTGGCAGAGGTCGCAGACTTCGGGGGCGTCCTTCGGGCAGCATTCGGCAGTGCCCAGTTTGCAGCTGCTCTTTAAGATGTGCGACTTCTCATAGCTGATGCGCCAGTCGTGGAACTGGATCTCCTCCCTGTCCACCGGCAACCGGGGCACAAAGCACTGCTGGCGAGGATTGGAGTGAGTGTTTGGTTGTTTCAACTGAAAGTTATCATCAAATACCTCGTTCGCCATCACTCGGATTTACCACAATGTGCTGGAACAACTTTTAGAAACTTAAATCGGGCTCAAAACTTATCATTTATTCCGCGAATTCCGCTGCAGATTGCACTTTGTTATTATGTTAGCGATGGTAAGCGGCCGATGGTGTTATCGATAAACGCTGAAGCTCAAGGACACAAGCTAATATTGCCTTTCAAATAAAAACTTTATATAAATTTTTCAGTATAAATTCAACTGCTTTCTTAAAAGTAAAAAAATTAAATGACTGTAATTTTGACAGTTTTTGCTAATGCTTTTCAGTTTCACAAATAAGATTACCACACGAAAGAAACAACTTGAAACAACCATACAGAAAATCACTTCCTACAAAAACTTTAACAAAACAATACAGACTTTGTCAAAGCCACAAAACTTTACCATTTAATTTAATATACATTGTACATAAAAAAAGAGCACATCTATGTAATATTATGTGAAAACAAACTATTGTATCTAAGCATCCATCCTCAAAAATAAACTAAACAACTTAAGGCCCTTGTTGCTATACATATGTATGTACATAGGTCAGATCTTTAAGTTCAGCGCGAATTTATAACATTCGTTTAACTGTAAATAATAATAACTTTCGCTCTTGCTGGCTGATAATTAAAACTGCTGGAAACCATAATTAAAACGTGAAAATATAAGTCATTAATAATAATAGGTGGGACACCTACTTAGCCGCATCTGGCAACCCTGGCTGTTTGGTTTTGTTTTTATTTCAAATTGTTATTGTTTTTGTCAGTTGTTCCGGTTTTCTAATGTGGATATTTTGTGGATTTTGAGCTGGCAGTCAAGGAACCGGAAGCACGATGAATGTCCTTAGGCGTCTGGACCGTCTCCTCCCATCGACCGCCCGTCGATGCGGTGCTCTTGCCACGTGCCGCTGGAGGCCGCAAACCAGGAGCTCCAGTTCCTCCGGCACTCCCATCTCCACCGTAGATCCGGCCGAAGTGCGCGGTGTGGCCCAGATCCTGCGCAAGCAGAAGGGCAACCTGGGCCAGCCCACCTGCGTCTCTCATCCACATCTCATCCAGCCAGACGAACTGGTTCCCGGCGTGGAACAAAACGAATTCAAGGAGCGAAGGTCCCAGTTGATGCAAAACATACGAGCCTATGTGCGCAGCTTTGGCGGCGAGTTCAACGGCCACTCCAGTCCCAATCACATGGTCGGATGATCACCGAAGATCATCTCCAGCAAACCAACTAAATCTTATTCTTTACAGCTCGTTCTAGGTGCCGCTTCCAAGAAGTACATGAGTGGCAAGATTCCCTATGTTTTCCGGCAGAACTCAGACTTTTACTACCTCACTGGCTGCCTGGAACCCGACGCCGTGCTCTTGCTGACCATCGATGAGCAACAGAACGTGCAATCCGAGTTGTTTATGCGCCCCAAGGATCCGCACGCCGAACTTTGGGACGGTCCACGCACTGGACCCGAATTGGCTGTCCCACTCTTTGGCGTCACAGAAGCCCATCCCCTCACACAACTGGATGCAGTGCTGACCAAGAGGGTTGGCGCTTTGAAGCCACACATTTGGTTCGACGCAAAGAACTCGGATCTTCCTTCTCTCACCGAGAACATGCAGAGATTGAGTGGCTCGGAACAGCGTCCTCTGCTGCCCGCCTACACATTTCTGGAGGCCAGTCGACTCCTCAAATCCCGAGCGGAAATGCAGCTGATGCGACGCACTTGCGACATAGCTTCTCGCTCCTTTAACGAGGTGATGGCCGAATCGCGACCAGGACAATCGGAACACCACCTATTCGCAGCCATTGATTACAAGTGCCGCATGCGCAACGCCAGCTACTTGGCTTACCCACCTGTGGTGGCTGCAGGAAAGAATGCCACCGTAATCCATTACGTGAGCAACAGTCAGTTGGTTGGAGCACAGGATCTGGTGCTCATGGACGCCGGCTGTGAGTACGGTGGTTACACCAGCGATATAACGCGCACTTGGCCAGCAAGTGGACACTTTACGGAGCCACAGCGCACGCTCTACGAGATGGTGCATCAGCTGCAGGGCGAGATCATTGCCACTGTGATGAAACCGGGCGGTGAAACCCTGGATCAACTATTCGAAACCACCTGCTACAAGTTGGGAAAGTACCTGCAGGAAATCGGACTGGTTTCCAAGTCGGTTAGTGACTATAAAGAGCTGGCCGGCCAGGGCTATCGCTTCTGTCCGCATCATGTGTCCCACTACTTGGGCATGGACGTCCACGATACGCCGCATGTGCCGCGCAACACGCGCCTTGTGCCCGGAATGGTTTTCACCGTGGAACCGGGCATTTATATTGGCCAGGATTGCGGCGATGTGCCGCCCGAATTCCGCGGCATTGGCATCCGCATCGAGGACGACCTGCTAATCAACGAACACGGCCAGGTGGAGGTGCTCACTGAAGCCTGCGTCAAGGATCCGCGCGCTCTGCAGGAACTGTGCCAAAAGGAGAGGGACTCCGGAGCCTCCGCATCGCTGGGTTGAGTTCATCGAGCGAGGGGGGATCACTAAATTCCTAGTCATTTGTAGATGCGTCCATCCCCAGAAACATCCCCATTTAACATTTCACCATTTGTAGACTAAAGTAAAGGCAGCTGGTGTATTTATGAATGCAGACATGGCAAATACATTTGCAACTCGATTCGCCCGCTGTTTGTTTCTTCTTTTTCACAAATCAGAGCTTGGCGAAGACGGGCTTCTCGTCCTTCGTTAACTGGGCGCCCACCGCTTGGGCAAAATCCTCCGATTGCAGATTGAGTTTATTAATCAGGCGCTGTAAAAAATTGATAAAAGTTCAGTAAAAAGAGGCTTGAAAGAAATAATTAAACATACAATGTGATCCAATCCCTGCTGGTTGGTGTGCTCGAGCGAGTAGGTCAAACTCTCCTTGGTTGTCTGCACGGCAATCGGGCTTTTGCTGGCAATAACTTCGGCCAAAGCGACAGCACCGCTAACCAGGGACTCCTTGTCGGGAAAGAGGCGACTCACGAGTCCCGAAGAGTGTGCCTCTGCTGCCTCGAAGCGTCTTCCCGTGAAGCAAAGCTCCCGGGCGAGCGACTGACTGCCCACCGCCTTCGGCAAACGCTGCAGAGTGCCCACATCGGCGGCCATTCCGATGTCCACCTCCTTCACCTGGAAGAAGGCATCCTCAGTGCAGTAGCGAATGTCGGCGGCGGTGATCAAGTCCACACCGGCGCCAATGCAAGCCTTGTGGACCGCCATGATCACCGGTTTTCGGCAGAGTTCCAAGCTGCTGATCGAATCCTGATACAGCTTGATTGTGCGTTCCAAAATGACTCCTTTGCGGGCATAGTCATCGGTTTCGGAGAGCGAAGAGCCCAGGTTCATCATGTCGTTGAGATCAATGCCGGCGGTGAAGTGCTTTCCAGCGGCAGACAAAACTATGGCACGGCAATCCGGGTTGACCGCCAGTCCGTCAATGCATTCCTTAATTTCCCTAGAAATTTATTGGAAACGGAGGTCAGCAAGAGATTCCGAGGGCATTGGAGTGGTTAAATACTAAACCCACAGCCACATCTGCCTGTTGATGGCATTCAACTGGTTGGGGCGATGGAGTTCCACATGGAAGACGAACGGTTTGGGTGAACTAATAACCAGGGTCTTGAATTGACCCGAGTGTTCAGTTGCCGCATGGGCGGACAAGTTCCTTTTAGGCTGCATCTGCATGGCGCGAATGGCTAAAAGAAATTGATTTTAAATGGCCCAAAACAGCAAAGAAGGCAAAGGTTCAATTATCGGACTTTGAACCGATCGCAGATTTTGAACCCGGTGGGCGGGATTTTAACTTTGCCAGTTCCAATTACCTACCAGTGGATTTGGGCGCCAGTTTCATCAGCGTATTAAGCCGGGAAAACGACATAATTGTAATAATTTAAAAAATTTCTTTAGTTAAATTCGCTCGTTGCGGCAGCTCAACTTTTTCTGTTTTGTTTTTCTTTTGTTGGAGGTGATGCCACTTGATTGAAAGATTTAAAGTGCAGAGTATATTTACCGCTAAAGTTGGATCAAATTAATACAGATTTGTATTTGTATTTGTTTCGTTTAGTGTTGCCACTTAAATTATGAATTTAATATCTTTACTGTAATCTCACCATTAAAAAAGAAAATAAACGCACACAAATAGGTATTACATTTAATGAAACCTCGACCCCTCACATGATACGTTTTTAAAACAAAATAAATTATAAGAAACTAATGCAACGGCACCCCACTTTTAGCCGTGATGACTTGATATTGTGGTTACTTTTTATGGTCGAAAGGAACTCCTGCATCTGCATTCTGTAATTAGGAATTCAATATAATTATTTGGAATATAATTAATAAAATCGGTCTTACCTGATATGAAACTGTGTTTATTACACATTTATAAAGCGCTGGATCCCATTCTCATGTTTTTGATTTTAAGTTAACTGTGTGCATTGTTGTTTAACACAAATTTTATATTTTATTGCAGCACTTACCTAATCTAAACCTGTGTATACCGTTGAGTAAAATATCAGCATTCGGGAATAGCGCTGCCATTTAACTATACTAACATCTCAATATTATGCGTTCATTTCTTCTCTAGTTGTGTATATCGTAATGTAAAAGTCCTTGTCTTTAATAAAAATATCACGTGAAATTTTTGTAGAACGAGCACTGTATTTTGCCATGTTTTCAATTTGAATTTTACTTAACAACTGAATGGAATGGAAACCCAAGTTTGACACTATAGACATTTTGAATCCATGGATCACGTGATTGCGGAATTTGAGACAAATTTTTATATACTTAAAAACGAGGCTGGCTTGGTGAAATCGAAACAGTCAAAAGAAAATCAAAAAATATATGAAACCTCAACTAGTTTGCACAGATTTGTCTAAGTTTCTAACTATTTTGCTCACTTTTGAATTCGGTTTCTGCTAAAAAGTGTTATCAAAAATTCAAGTCACAGCGGTTGTTTCGCGAACGTCTTACAACACTACGCAGGGACGCATACCGATAACATCCTTTGAGCGCGCGACTGTCGACAAACGTTCACTTGTCACCGAAATTTTTCGGAATCAGCCTTTTTGCCTGAATTTTCTAGAAGGAGTGCGAACAGCGGTAGTGAAAATGATTTATTGTGTGCTGTGCCGTAGTGCCGAGGACGATGATCTCGCCCTGGGAACCATCCACAAGGAGGGCTCCTTTATGGTGCACCGCAATTGCTTGGTGAGTGAATCGAAGTTCGGGTTTCTCACTCCCAGCCGGCTGCTATCTAACACCCAAATTTAAATCGACACATTTTCCACAGTATTTGAGCTCGAATCTCGTCCAGCGCGGCAGCGAGGACGCCGGCATACTGCGCTTCCTCAGGGATGACATCCTCGCGGAGGTTTGTCGCACTCGCTCTCTAAATTGCTACTACTGTCATCGCCCGGGCGCGAATATCGGTTGCTGCAAGTCGGGCTGTCGCCGCACCTTCCACACCAAGTGCGGCGTAGACAATCTTGCGCAGAATCAGTTCCGCGACACTTACAAATCCTACTGCCACCAGCACGTTCGCTCGTATCGGTGGCGTCCGTCCTCGGATGAGAATTGCGTGATCTGCGCCGAACTGGTGATTGCCGAGGGAAGCCGCTTCTGTGCGGTCAGGGTGCTGCAGTCGCCGTGCTGCCGCAATGGCTGGTACCATCGCAAGTGTCTGCAGAAATATGCCAATAGTGCAGGCTACTTCTTCAAATGCCCGCTGTGCAACAATTCGACAACCTTCCATGATGTGGCCCTGTGGGGCATCTCCGTACCAAATCAGTAAGTCCAAATCCCCATTTTGCAGTCACACCAATTAACGAGCTTCTTAACTTGCAGGGACGCCAGCTGGGAAACCGAACCGAACGCCTTCGTCGAGCATATCATTCTCGAAGACAGCTGCACGGCCCTCCGTTGCCTTGGCCTCTCCGGCAGAATTTCCAGTAGCTCCAATCTGCTGTACTGCAACCTATGCGGCTCCAATCCGGTGCACGCCTTCTGCACTGTTATGCCCGAAGGCAGATACGTGTGTATTGTCTGCGCGGTGATCACGCCAACCAATCACCGATCAAACGAATCCGACGAGGAGTCGAGCAGCTCCGATTATAGCGTAGTTTCCGAAGGACGCCAGGCCACTCGTCCAACCGAGGATGTTAACAACACAACCGATCTCTTCCATTCGAAGCTGCAGGCTGCCGAAAGCGATGACAGCGATACCGAGGATGACGAGGATGTCTTTCAGCGGGCCATTGAGAGCAAGGAGAACCAATCGCAAACAGTTCCGGTCGAGGAGAAGCCCACCACATCGGCGGCTGCGGAGGTCACGGCTGCGGCCTCGCCAAAGACTGAGTCGAGCCCATGTACACCACCAATTCTGCGCCGTGGAACTCGCCGTACGCAGTTCATTTCCTCAGCCAGCACTGACAATAACTCGCCAGCACCTAGACGCCAAACACGCAGATCTTCAAGACAGGGGGCGGTGAACAACCAGGAGAACAATGAGCCCGCCAAGGAGGCAACCAGCAACAGCCCGGCTAACAATCCGTTCGGGCGAGTTCCTAGGCGCTCGAGATTCACAGTACCGCCAACATGGTACACTTCGCCGACTCCAAGGGGTTCAGGAAACGGTGCAAACACGGAGAACAGGGAGGCCAACAAGGAAATAGACAAGGAGCCTGAGGCGAAGAAGCGCCACGTGTCGCCCTCGACATTGTCGCAGCCAGGAAGGAGGCGCTACTTGAGCTCCATGACTCCGGGGTCGGCTAACTCTCGTTCTGGCGGGAACAACAACTCGGAGGGCCGTATGACCTTGCGCCGCAGCACCATGCATAGTACAAATCGCGGCAATCTGGACGTGTCCTGCGTGGCCAATAGAACACGCAACCGACTGTCAGCCCACCTGGCCAGCGCCCACAAGGATTAGGAGATCGCTATAAGTGTAGTTTTAATATTATGTACAGCAAAAACCGACTAGGCTGCGCTTCCAAGTGCGTGCGCTTGAATCGCAGCCGTCCTAAACTATTATTAACACGTCAAGCATGTCATCACAATTCACATCTGCCATTGTACATCTAATTCATTAAAACCCCGATCTCCTTACTAAAACAACTAACCACTTTTGAATCACTCTAATATTGTCTTAATAATCAACTAACAACTCTTAAAGAAGCTTAATATTTTTTTAAAAATCATCTTGTTGAATAGAAGTACCACATTAGAAATGAAGTTTTATCCATAAATCTGTTGTACATATCCTTCAACTTCTACAAACTTTAAATATTGTAGACTAAACTTTCATTCCTTTAAAATATTTGATAAGTATTACCTTTATAGGCCAAACCAAGATCTCCTGACTAGTATAACTAATACATTTTAGGTTCTTTATTGAAATATAAGAATTATACAATCTCTTTATTTTTTTTCCACTTTTCGTTATTGAAGAGTGAATTTAAAATTTATTTATAACATATTGTTCGTTTTTTCAACGAGAAGTAGTTTAAACTTTTAACTTTTAAACTTTAACTTGCATCTACCGTTTTATTTCAGTAACAATTATATTTCGCCGAAATTTTGAAATATGTTGAAAATAAAGTTTTTTTTATACACAGTTTTACATATTTACAAATTTGTTTAAGTGTAACTGGTTTTGTTTAAATTAAAACCTAAGACAATAATAATCATTGATATTGATTATAAATAATTGAACACCAAATTCAAAAGAATATTGGCTCCCAGTCGATAACATCCGTTGCTACGTGGCGATAGTACGCGATGTTTGCAGCATTCATCGATCACTTTACCATGACACCATCGATGAATTATCGATAACGCGGAGTGCATATCGAATTTAGTTCCAGCTCTAGTTTATGTTGTGTATGTGTGGGTGCGTTAGTAATAGTTTATCCAGAATATGAATTAAGCAGAATTAATCCGAAACGCCGACGCCCAGAAATCCGTTCAGAGTGTCCATTGCCCGTCCTGGAAAAACTCCAAACTCTGGAAATACTGGAATTTTTCAAATCCCAATAAAAATCCGAGATAAATTCAACAGTCAGCCTTTGTGTGTGTGTTGGCTATCGTGTGTGTGTGTTGAGTGTGAAAGACTGTGAGAGCGAGACAAACGATTGCGAGGGAGTCGAGCTTTGCCAATTTGCCAGTTAATTTTCGGCATTTAATCGCAGTTTTATCCCCGAAAAACCAGACGGAAGTTTATTCTGATTCCAACGAATATGCTGTTCGTTTTCTCACCAAACCACTGTTGATAAGAAGCTAAGGAGACAGGAAACTAGTGAAAACAACAGAAGCAGCCGAAAAAAACTTAATCGAAAGAAATTAAATAACAAGGCGGCAACAACACTTACATAAATTAAACCCGCAAATGCAACAACACTTATAACAATAGCTTATCACACAGCAACAACAACAAGTACATCTGAAACAACAACAAATCAGCAGCCAGAAAGAACAACAGTTTATCTCAAATATTCTGCCGGCAGCACGAGTGCGAGGGAGACAGAGCATTGTGAGAGAGCAGAGAGAGAGAGAGAGAGAGGGAGAAAGGAAGTGTGCGTGTCTGTTTATGTGTGTGTGAGTGTGGGATCAGGCTGCGAAAAAAACAACAAAAGCATATTTTGCATTGTTCGACGCGCCTAACTGTAAAAATATAGGTACTTGTAAAAAAAAAAAAAATTACGAGAACCAAAAAAAATGGCACGCGGCTTCGATCATCTGTTCAAGTTACTAATAATCGGCGATAGCGGTGAGTTTCCCAGGTGCTTCAAAATAAAAATAGCATCGTTTGCCAGGTGAAAATTACACTTGTCCCAATTTGCGGCCAAAAATTCTTTTATTCATATACTTTTATAATAAATTTATACGATTGTAACTGAAGCATACTCATTATCTCCAGCTCATATGTAAAGTATTCAAAGAATTCAAAATGTTTCAGCCGACATGGCGGATGAGTAATTTTTTTTTTTTTTAGAAATTTATTTAAATTTCTGAATCATGAATAAATTTTTAAAACATAATTATGTTTTGCAGATTTTTTCTTCTTTTTTTATTTGTTAAAAATAAATTGTGAAAATCAATTACAAAACTCTGGAGGTCAATCTTAACCTCAAAGATAACTGAAATTGGCTATCTTAGGCTTGGATTAAAATTTTCAAAAAATTGATTTAAACTCAATAAGCAATTTTCGTTTAATGTTATTTATTTTTTCATTTAAGTACGAGTTAGCAACACTTATTTTTACTATAGTCTAAAATTAAATTCGTAGGCTTTTAGAAAACAGCGATGTAAATAAAAGCTTTGTTGATACACCTGTGTTTATTTGAATAATTTAACAAAAAATTGTTTAAATATTTTGAAAAAATTTGACAATTTAAGCCAGCATTATTTCAACTTAGATGTTAGAATTTCTGCCAAAAAAGAAAGGGATTCCGGTCCGCAGATCAGCTGGCTGTTCCGGAAAAAACCAGGCGATTCCAGCCAAAGTCGACAGACTAATTCTGACGCATTGCCAGGATATAGAGTTCGATATCCGAGAAGGCCAGCTGCTGCGGTAACCAGAGCGGGAGAATATCCCCAGCCCCAGAAAAACATATGAATGCACATTAAACACGCCACATAAAACGCTCATCCATACATATACATATGAGTTATAGTAATCCGATCCCCGTTCTCAATTTAATTCCATGTACCCCGCAGGCGTGGGCAAGTCGTCGCTGCTCATCCGATTCTCGGACGACACATTCTCGGGCAGTTACATCACCACGATCGGCGTCGACTTCAAGATCCGCACCGTGGACATTGAGGGGATGCGCGTGAAACTGCAGATCTGGGACACCGCCGGCCAGGAGCGATTCCGGACGATCACGAGCACCTACTACCGCGGCACCCACGGCGTCATCGTCGTCTACGACGTCACGAACGGCGAGTCCTTTGCGAACGTCCGCCGCTGGCTGGAGGAGATCCAGAACAACTGTGACGTGGTCAAGAAAGTATTAGGTGAGGCGCAGCGATCGGGGATCGGTTTATTGGGGGGTGCTCCCACCTCCCACAATTCACATTTTATGGGAGCACTCCTATCGCGACTAGGTGAAACATGTAACAGCACTCCAGCCTATCTGGGCTGGGCTTTTGATTTATTTTTTTCAAATTGATAACACACACGTATTTGCTTATCACTATATTTCAAACAGTTTTGTAGGAATTAACTATTACATTGCTTTTTATGATTATAATCACAGTTGCAGTGGCTTCTGCTTTAACCAACAACATGCATTTCCGGGTTTGTTTTAAAAACAAAATGATCTCGTTAAGAAACCCTTAAGCAAGCTTCGCACTATTGAATCATTTTATAGATTGAGTTCCCTTTCCATAAATAAACAGCGTATCAATTTTCGCTGCTCAACCGCTTGTATTTATTTGCTTTTTTGCTCTCATATAAACCTTTGGGTGTTTATTGCAATCAATTTTTGAATAGCTGTAAGCCCACCTTGAAGAATATCCCCACTAATGCTTATTTTATTTTGAACAGTCGGCAACAAGAACGATGATCCGGACAGGAAGGTGGTGATCACGGAGGACGCGCAGCGGTTCGCGAAACAAATGGACATCGAACTGTACGAGACATCCGCCAAAGACAACATCAACGTGGAGAACATGTTCTTGTCGATCACGCGGCAGGTGCTCGACCACAAGCTGCGCACCTCACCCAACGAGCAGCAGAAGGACACGCTGCACCTGAAGCCGAATCCCAAGGGCACCAAGGGCGGGAAGTGCTGCAGGTGAAAGCGGCTCCGGCGAGGGAGATGGCACTGCAACTGGACGGGGATCGGAGCCGGAATTAGGACCAGGACCTGGATCAAGTCCGGGTGCGGATGGATACGTTGTGGGGGCGCGTAGTTTGTAGGGTTCTTGGCGTACGATACGGCACATACACTCACTCACATAGATATATAGCTCACACCAACCAACCAACCAACCCACAACACAACACCACACCACACCACACAACAACACCCCGAAACCCAAAAAAAAAAGATAACCCAACACACCCGAAATCCACTAAAGACAACAATTTTTTTGTTTTGTTTTTTTTTTCCTCCTGTGTTTTTATTCGGATTAATGCCAGGTAGCCGTAAATTAAAGTGTAAAAGTGTAAAGCGCAATTAAATGTATTTAGCAATTTATATACATATTAATATATACATAAACAAAATTAAACAAATCGCATATTTATATACAAGAATATATTTATATTTCAAACAGAAAATTGTATTTACAATTACGAAAGAGACGGCAAAAAGTAAATAATATTTCTCGAAAGCTAAAAGTACGAAAACTGTATACATATAGGTGTATACTAGATACTAATGTTTGGCTTCCGATCGCGATTCATCACTCCAAACTATCAACTAGAAATTACAAAATTGAGAAGAGTTAAAAAACTTGTTTAATTTATTAATGGTTTGCTATTGTTTTCATTTAACAGCAATTCACTTTATGTAAATGACGTGATGAATCCAAAGTTCAATTGCAAACTAGATTTATTAAATCATTATGAAATTTTGAATCTCAATTAATTTGGTTGGAATAAATAGTCATGAACATTTATTTTACTCTAGGAAACTGCCTTACTCTGTAAAAAATTGATTTGATATTACTGCCATTCCATTCTTGGATTCACTAAACCCTTTTGGTCCCTTAATTTTAATTCACTCCCAAAATTAACTTACAAAGTGTATTATTTAGGCGGTTACAATAAAAAAAACATTTTTATTTTTATGGGATCGTTGATCTAAAACTATCAATAAAACGCATCACTTTTAATGATCCTGGACAACCAGAAATCCAACATGCAATAATTGTGAAACAAGGATTGATCTTTTCAAAAACAAATAACTTATTTAAAACGAAAACAGGAAACACTATTACTATATGAAAAGATATAGTAATATTCAAATAGAACTTCTGGTTTGGTGTCCCCCAACAATTTATGAAAATAATTGCATACTTTCCGGATTGTCGAAAAATGTAATAGAAAAACTTTGATTAAACATTTTCTTTTCACAAAAGAATTGTAGGCATCTAGTTCTGAGTACATAATTTGAACAATTTAAGCTATACCCGAACTTAAATAAATATATATTGAGTTTAAACACCAAAAAATAAAGAACTAACTATTGGTTTTGCTGCAAAAGGCTTTCAGAAAGTGCGGCAACTCATAGAGAAAGACTATGCATGAGTAAAAACAAGTATATTTCATACCAACCAAAAAGAAAACTATATATTTATGTATGTGTATATATTTATCGATTTAAATAAAGAAGACAAATTGATTTTCTACAATCTTTTGAAGTAATCAATATTATAAAGCAAAGTATGCAAAAGTTCGCACTTCTATACACTGGAAAAATATCATATATTTTTTAATTAAAAGTGGCATACCTCTAAAAGTTTTTAGCTTAATTCCCTAACTAACTGCATCATTAGTTTATTTTAATTTTTGTTATTAAAATATCTAACCAGCTGCATCTTTAGTTTATTTTCAATTGTTTGGTCGATGTTTTGTCATTTTTTATGACCCCTGACCTTTTAAAATGACCAAAAATTGGGTTTTCTGAAAATTGACCAAAACCTTGCACCTCGAGGTCCATAACTTTTTTGTTTACCATCAGATTTCGAAGTGGCACATCTCCTTAGATTCATGGTTTAGTTTTCGAAGTAACTGCACTCAAAATATAATTTTCAGAATTTTTAACTGTGCATAGAAATTACAAAAAACTGCAATTGTAATTTTACTACCAAGTTTAAGCACTCCCCTAGTAAAATGGCGCAATCTTTATTAATATTTACTTTTATTACTTATTGTTTTCAACACATTTGTTGTTGTTCGATTCAGTTAGAGAGAGAACGCGGTTAGTGGCAACGACTAGTAGGGAAACGGGTGAACAGAAGGTCTGGTGCTTCGATTGGGGCAGGGTCGAAAGGTGAGTGGAATGGACTGGCAGGCAGTGCGGCTGCGGCACAACTCCTCCGGCGGCGAAGGACTCCTCCCTCCTCAGTGGTACTTGGCCACCGGGAAGGTGCGTGTCTGGCGGCAGGACACCAGGGCATCGCCGGACTGTCCTTGTGGACAGCGGCAGACAGCCAGGTGGGCCTTGGGTTCGCAACTGGCGCCAGTGGCGCACTTGCCGATGCAGGGATCGATGCACTGGTAGTTGATGCACGCCCGGTGGTCAGGACACTCATTATTGCTCAGGCACTCGCCCTGTGAATTAAAAAAATGATATTTAATTAGTTAGTAAGGTAGTACCCATGGAATAATGGCTTCTTTAAAAATAGCTACATAATTAGAAAGCTATATAACCATATTCATATGATCCTCTACAATCTTATATTTCAAATATATATATTTTCGAACTATACAAAAATTAACATCTACGATTTTTTTCTAGCCTTAAAATCAAGTTTTCAATTTTGTGAATAAATACTATGGCTAAGAGAAAGAATACTTTAATAATTTCAAGTTAAAATATATTAAGTCATGGTAGTCTAATCTTCTAACTTGTATTTTGTTATTTTTATATTTTCCTACTTTTTCCTACCTTTAAACATGAAGAATAATATCAAATATATAATATCTTAATATTGTTTAAATATAATCTATTGTTTTAATATAATCTTTTAATTCCAATATAATTTTTCGTTACATCTGCACTTTTTTTAATTATGGATGTAGAATAATATTTTTTTGACTTTTGTATAGTATAATCGTTTCACTTCTTATTGTTTTCTTTTTCATAATACTTATATATAAAATGGTACCCTCAATAGAAAATCCCCGCATAAAAGAGACTATATAGCACACAATTTTTCCGCAGTGCACTGGTTACCAGCTACTTACCCGGGTGCAGTGGCTCAGCGGATTGCCGGTGTGTCCGGGAAGGCAATTGCAGACGGGTCGCTCGCGACCGGTGTTGTCGTGTCCCGGGACGCAGATGGCGTTCGTGCCGCACGGATTGGGATCGCAGAGGTCCTCCTTGGTGAAGGGACGGCAGCGGACGAAGGGATCGCCGGTCATGTCGCGGGGACAACTGCACACGGGCGTCAGGCCGCGCAGGTTGCAATCGGCTCCAATGCCGCAGGCTCCCTCGCAGGTGTTCTTGCAGATGCCGTAGAAGCAGGCGGGTCGTCCCGCCGGACAGTCCACGTCGCCGTAGCACTCCGGCCGGCATTCCGTGTACGGACTACCGATGTATCCCTTGGGGCACTCGCACACCGCCCGATGGCCGCTGACCGTCCGACAGGTGGCGCCAGTGCCGCACTGACCGCACGCCGGCACGCACTTGAAGTTGCTGCACATGTCCCGGCTGTTGCAGTCCGCATCCTGGTCGCACTCGTGGCGACACCCGCTCAGCGGATTGCCCACGTAGCCGTGGTGGCACGAACACGTCGGCACCCCGTTGATGATCTCGCACTTGGTGTTCACGCCACACGGACTCGGGTGGCACTGCTCCTCTGAAATGAGGGGAAACGCAATTTCTAATGTAAATACAGCCCATTTAAAATTATAATAAATTTATCATATATCATTAACATATATCATTAGCATAGATCATTAACAATTTATTCTTTGGAAATCAATTTTTGTACCGAGAAAAATCATTTGCATTTCTAAATAATTTGAGTTTCCATAAATTATTAAAACATTTTTAGGCATAAGGAAAAATGCATTAACAATTAATGTACTATTTTTTAAAATAACTAGCCACATTCCTCTACAGAAACTGCTTAATTAAAAAACATGCCTAGAATTTGTAAATATGTAATCATTATGCTTAATAAAATAATCTTAAAAAATTAATTACTTTTGTGCTTTCAAGAATAAGATTTATTTCTTGTGTAAAATATATTTTGTTTTGCAGAGATAATCAATGAGAAATTGTTTTCGCAAACATCCTGTAAAAGTCCTTTTGAAATACCATTTTCCCCATGAATTCTCGTATTTATTAAAAATGGCTTGTCACTCAAAATCAATTTGAGTTTCTGGCTGAATGTTGGCATTTAATAATTGAATTTCCTCGCTGGCCGCTCATTTGGGATTCGAGTTCCTTCTCTGCGGCATTTTCCACAGCGTTCTTCGATTTCTGCATCTTAACGGCCCTTCGATATTTATATTCCCATTCCCATTCCGATTCCGATTCCCATTCCGATTCGGTTGCATCCTTTTCAATGTTGCCTCATATCTGTCGCCCTCCTGCGTGCAATTCCCACTGAAATGCAATATTTATTTGCATTTCCAATTAGCAACTGACTTGAAAACAATAATTGTAAACGAACAGCGAAGTGGGTGGAGCATCTTCCTTGATTTCCTCTCTGATTTTCGTTTACGTTTCTGAGGAGCGGAAGTATCCAGGCAGATGAAGTCCCTTGGGTCTGCTAAAGGATGAAACCATGCAGAAAATATTCCTCCAAGAATGCAAGTTAAGTTTGCAATTCGAAGGCTTTAAGTTGCTGTTTTATACAGATATTCGATTGAAAAAGGAAATATTTCCCGCAACTTATTTGTGTCTTAAGACATTTGGCGAATCGATTTATGAAAATAAGCTTTAGATTTCATTACAAAACATTTTCGCAGGGCGGTAAAGTTGGTAGTCCTTGCAAATTATGTCAAAAGGAAATGTAAGAGAAAAGGCCTGATAATGGCGAAACTTTTGCCATCGAAAAGGAAAACAACGGAAAATAATTTCTCGGCTTGCTCACCATCGTCATCGTCATCATCAAAAACAACAACTAAAATAACAACAATAACACCATGAAAAAGAAATGTCGAAGAACAACAATTGGCATTAAAAAAATAAAGAAAAAGAAAAAAAAGGAAAAGGAAAAAAAAATATAAGTGAAAACCAAAAATATGCGCATAAATGAGCGCTGGCTATTTGAATATGATTTTCTATTTGTCCGCTTTGAGTGCTTGGCCCCCAATTATTGGCCCGACTGGAGGTATTATTTTTGTTGTTGTTGTTTTTCTTTTTATTCTGATAGAAACTCTGGCCGGAACATAAGTCATATGACCCGGCATAAATCAAAAATTGGGCAACAACTGCGACAGCGGATGTTGACAGGGGTTGAACGAGGTGAAAGGTCGCCGGGAAATTAACCTTGACTCGACTTTTTATGGGCCACCGTCATGGGGTTCCACTAAATCAGGACTAACACTTTGAGCTGGACATTACATTTGAAGCATTTCAAGCATTGGGTTTCTTAAAAAAAAATATAAAGTACTGATCATTGAATTGGCAGATGAAATGAAATTGATTCAATTATAATCTTTCTAACTAGTTTTTCTTTTAAACAAAGTCACCAAAAAATGGTAAACTTATGTTTACGAATTCTTTGCTAGATATTTTATATTTCCGGATTGTTCAATTAAATTATTTATCAGGAACTTTTGACTTCTGAGCTTCAAATATATTATTATTTAAACTTTGATTTTCTTTTACAAAATTCAGGGAATATATAAATATCATTTTATATTGAAATTGCTTTACCTGTATTATTGTTTATATTTATATTCTATAACTATTCTAAACAAAGTTTTAAATTATTTCAATATAAGTATTCCCCATATATAAGATCATTTTTCCAGGTGTGCCTCCTGATCAAATTAACTTATCTGCGAGCCAAGTTCCCAGTGTCCCATTCGGTTGACCGACTTTGAGTGGACTGCTACCTGAACTCAGTTGGGGAGCTGGCCTGTTCATAACCATAATCGGATGTCGACTCGACGCCCCGGGGCAACCTTTCCGTCGGTTCTCCATCGGATGGATGGCTGGCTGGCTGGCTGGATGGATGGATGGATAGTCGTTGGCCTTGGCAAAACGCCCACTCGCCCACACGCCTGCGTCCTTGATCTTGACAATTGTGAATTGCGAATTACGAATTGTGAGTTGCGAAACGAAATGCCCCGCTAATTACCATAAAATTACAAAGGCCCCAACAGCGATTCTGGCCGAGAATGTTGGGCGTATATATACATATATATATATATATATATATTCATTTGCTGGCTGGTTGTTGTGTTTATGGTTTGTTATTATTATTGATGTTATTATCATTGAGCGCGAAATATTATGCAAGCAAATCCCACATGCTTTTGGGGCCCAGCCCCCTGTTTTTTCCGATATATTTGGCCAATACCAGTTTAATTTGCAATGCTTTTAATGCTTACATGAAAAAAAAAACAACAGAGGTTCGTCAGTGGGTTGGACTAAAAATATAAACTACAATGTTGGCTGATTATTCTGATGTTCTGTCAATCATATCATTTGATTTCCGGATTGTTTTTAATGTTGTTTACAAATAGCTAACTGATTTGTCTGTCAAAATAATATAGGATTAGCCTAAGAGATATTTGCATTACTAATGCAAACATGTTTTTTATATCCTTTTTCAGTTCCTTCTTATTATTTTTAACAAGCATTTCATCAGCATAAAACGTTGTAAACAAACTTGGCGCATTGGACTTAAACCTGTTTGCTTCGATTTCAGCTGACCTCTAAAAAAGTCAGGTTTTCAAGGCTTTTTGGGCATTGTTATGACTTATAAGACCCTTTGCTGTATATATTTTATATTTATATATATTGTGTTTGTGGGAATGCCATAGAAGCTCAGAAATTAATGAAATGATTCAATTTAAATTAATAGAATTTATAGATTATATTTGAAGAAAAATTAAGATTGCAATAATATTTAAAGGCTTATAATAGACAGAATTTAAATGTAAATATTTGTTAGTTACAGAATTAGGCCTTTAAAAACCTATAAAACTTTTTGGCTTTAATTGAATTAACATTTATGAATCTTTGGGCAAAAAATCGAGGCATTTTTTGAACCCGATAAATATGTAAGCCGCAACCGATTCTTATGGCACCTTTTAAGGGGGAAACCCGTGGCAAACACCGTGGAAAACACTGTGGAAAAGCCCGTGGGCGGCACTCACCTGGATCGTTGAGGTGGCAGGCGTGGTATGGGTCGCCATTGTAGCCCGCGGGGCAGCTGCACACTGCAACGTGGTTGCGGGCCTGTAAAATACAAAAAGAAAAAAAACACAAGAGGGGTAAAGGGAATGTAGCAGAATTCTGGCGGTTGAAATTCACATGCAGATAAAAAAAGAAAGATCCATGTTGGCCAAATGCTGGTAGGTAAAAACTATGTTTCCATTGTTTTCATATTTGCCATTAAAAAAATCATCAAGACATCTCAGCGAATTGTATTAAATCATTACAATTATATTCGTCAGAATTTATAAATGTAAAAATTGAGAGCGGAAATTTAACAACAACAACAAATTCGTGTACAAATAAAAACAGGATGTAAATCAGATGATGGCTTTTATTATGGACTAATCATTTAGTTATTTTATTAGAAAATTTATTTTTTATATTTAGTATGTTCGTTTTAAAATTTTCAGCGGGTAAAAATTTGAACATAAAAATATAAATATAAAAACATAAAGTGTTGTAACTTTTGTGTGTTTATTTTGAATAATCTATTTCATTTATTTTCTATGAAAATGTTAACGATTGCCCTATTTTTTTGATTATTCTTTTTTTTCTTCTTTTTAGCCAATTAAAATGTATCTTTTTTTTCTCCGTGCAACTTTGGAGTGGAGCACTTACGTCACAATTGGAGCCAATGCCGCAGGCACCCACGCAAGGATTAACGCAGCGATTGTCCTTGCACTGCAGGTCGCCGCGGCAGTCGACGTTGTCGAGGCACTCGCCGCGATTGCAGTGGGTGAGCGGATTACCGCTGAATCCCGGCGGGCAGGAGCAGACCGGCCGTCCGCCGGCGGCCTCCTGGCAAACGGCATTCACGCCGCACGGATTGCCGCTGCATCCGTAGGATTGCGCTACATTCGAAAAAAGTACGAAAAAGAGATGCAAATTGTGAGGTGAGGCGGTGCAGCGATGATTTGTGGTTCATTGCTCTTAACTACTAAACTAAACTAAACTATATAGAGTCTACTATCTGGATTCGGGTTAGAGGAGCGGGGTTAAACTAATTCGAGGGTGTCTTTAGTGTCAGTGGGTCGCGGTGCTCTTTTATGTACAATACATCTCAAGTGCTGAAGTGCTGGAGTTTGAGTACGGTAGCTTTGAGTACGAAAGTTGTGTAAATACCACGTGTGTAGACCGGATCTCTATAGACGACCCGCTGCAGGGATCGGCCATCGCCATATGTGTAGTACGTACGATATGTGCAGTTCACACAGCGCTTCTCGAGCTTTTTACCTATCGAAATTTGGGGCAAGGACGCAATGCCCGCTGCCACAAGGGCCCAAATGAGGAGATGCTGCTGCAAGTGGAAGGAAAGAGCTCTAATTAGTGGTAGTTCAAGTTTATTCAAGAAAGCAGTTTAGGTTTTAGTTTGTTCAATTGGGAACAAAAGATAGTACTATAATAACTTAATTCCTTTATCGCAATTAATTATACACAGTTAACAAAAAATATAAATGAAATATGCTCTATTTCAGAAAGTTATAATATATTAAACGAATTGAATAACAATAAGGAGGAATAAATATAATTACCTATTACATCACGTACAACAGTGCGTATGAGTAATACGTATACTTAACCTAGGAAAATCTAGTTTATTTTTAATCTAGAGAATTTTAAGCCCCCTTTTTAGTGCTTATTTGTTAAATGATTTATTTAAAAAAAAATGTGAATATGTACCCTTGAGCTAACCAAAAACTGTCATTCAGAAAATATGTCCATTAAATCTTATCTCCCAAAATGTTCAATGCAAAAACAAATTTGGATACCTAAAATTTGAATGAAAAAATGCTAAGATAATTATGGCCAAAACAAACAACTCAATCGGTCAGAAGCAAGAAGCAAGCCCCTTTTGCCGGTTTATGTGTCATCGCGGCGATTTGACAACAAATAATCTGAAATCTGAAAAACCCCAATAACAATTGAGGCGGTGGCAAACATTAGTTTGGAGTGGCTAATGGGATTCTGCTGCCTGAAAGTAACTCGATGCCATATTCGGTTCACTCGGGGAGCGACGAGATGAGATAACGATCGATGATGATATGGCTTCATGTTCAAGGTGCCGATGATGATGATCTCAATGATGATGCTGATAATGATGATCGTTGTTTGCGGATGACACATAAAGAGATAAACTCGTTGTCCGCTTCTTTGGAAGTTCAATTCGAGCAAAAAAATGATTCAATTCGGAATACAATAAGAATATGCAAATGGATCGGATCGGCTGCCTTATTGAATTACTCCGACCGACCGATATGGCAGTTCAGATTCGCATTAACTAAGTTGTCGATCATCACTTATAAGGTCCGGACTTGATCCACCGAGGGAGGAAATTGCGATAGGAAATTGGATTTCTTAATTTGTATACTTAGTTATGGATTTCGTAATCAGATTACATTGTTCAAAGGGCCAGTTTTGGTTCGTGATATATTCATAAATCTATGAATAGAATTTTAAATTCGTCGTGATGTTCTAAACATTATTATTGAATGAAAAAAGATACCTGTTACCTATTCTCCTGATACAAAATCGTTAATCAAAAAAAGCGTTTGCTTGGTTTGCTTTCCATAAAATCACTAGAAGTTTCTTTTGTTCAAAAATAATTTCACTACCTCAAAATCGAATAACCGTTTTTGTCAAGTTAATTATTTCGCGTGGGTTGCATTTAAATCCGCGTGGCGAATTCCTTTTCACTCTACTAGGAATGGGTAAATAATAATATAAAAAAATAACAAGTGGAGCTAAGTGCTAGATATTAATTGGTTTTCTACCTTTGTTGTGTAAGCAAATAAATAATGGGTCTGTTATTTACCTGCACAGCTTAAAATGTTTTGAGTGATTGATCTTCTCCCATAAAGAATGAAAAGACAAAAGTCAAAGCGAAACCACTTAGAAAAAAATAAACTTATCGTGGGCTTAGCAAACTTTATGTGGGATAAAGGCATATTCTTTTTTTAGATTTTAATTGACGAAACAAAGATCTGAAAGGGTTACTTATTTTTATAATTAAATTTACCAATAGTTTATATTCAAAGAGTATTCGACAACAAATTTTATTGTTATTTGAGAACACGACATTGTAAAAAGCAAACCGGAAGTAAATATTACGGCCAAAACTCAAGTTCTCAATTAACCGATGGGCTATCCTTTGGTTGTTGTGTATTTTTTTGTTATGTTTGCTTTGGTTTTTACAACCTTTTAAGTACTTCAATATTCCATTCACGCAGCAATACCTGAATGCATTTTTATGTATTGTCTTTGTGCGTAATTTCATTGAGAAGCAAGAAATCAAGAAATCAAAACGAAACAAGAAAAACACTGTAAACTTGACCAAGTTCAAATTTGTGTTATTTCTATAAAATATTTCTGAATTCTTTAATATAGTTTTCTAATACATATATTTACAAAAAAAAAAATAAAGCTTGGGAATAGTTTTGTTTACTTGGCTGGATTTTCCCACTGCAACTCACCATTTTGGGTTTAAAGTTCTTGGAAGCACACACACACTCGCACTTCAGACGCAAGTAAATAGTCAACGTAAAATAAAAAACAAAAAAAAAATTGTTAATTCGATTATATGGTTCCGTTTTTCACTTGGTATTGTGCGATTTCAACTGAGTCGACTTCTAGGTGAGCTTGGGCTATTTATAAGACAGCGGCTCTTAACTCGACTGAGAAACAGCTGAGCGACGTTGGCGTCATCTCTCAGCTGCTCACCTTCCCCTCTCTCCTCTCCCGCAAAACTCAATCCCCCTATCTCCTCTTCCACAAAACTCACTCCCCCCTCTCTCCACTGCCTAAAAACTCAGTCCCCCCTCTCCATCTCTCTCTCTTCCTTCCCCTCACACAGAAAACAAATTACAGTTTTTTTTGATGATACATTTTAGTTCAACATACAACCGATAAAAACTAAAATTATGACAGGCAACTTAGTTTTATAGGTTTTCCCGCAATATTTATTTTGAGTTGAGAATTAATTGTTTGATTAATTGAAATAAGTAGCTAAAGCCTGAAACTAATTAAATTTAATGATTAGTTTGAAATGAAGACTCGAATGATAAATGTAAATTAATAAATCTTATTTAGATTTACATAGACTAAAATGTTTTTGCCTCGATTTATTTCAGTTCTCAAATATCTTATAAGCTTTATAAACATTTATATCGTTTGTGCTTCTAGCTCAATAAAATAACATAAATAATTTTTAGAAGTGAATAGAAATATATTTTTTTGTTTAAAAAATATTCCCTTATTAGCTTAAAAACTATTCCTAAATTTTTTTCTATGCACCGGGTGCTGTGGCGAATATTCTGCCAGCATTCTGTTGACAAGGCTTGTTGTTGACTTTGCTTTACTTTCAGTTAAAAACATTTCAGTCCAAATCACATCAGAGATTGAGTCAGCCGCTCGTTGGCTCATTCATACGTTTGTTTGGGCATCGGGCTATTTATAATCGCGTACTTGACGACTTGCTTCGTTTTAGCCAAGCTTTTTAGCCGGCTTTGATAGCCAATTTCTGCGTGGGCCGCTGCATCCGAGTGTTGTGGGATGAACTTGCCAGAGAATCTCACTACGAACGAACACCTATGAGCCACTATAAACCACTTTGGATTGAAGGAACGTAGAAATTCCCCACTTGGCACTATTTTCATAACGAGGATATAAACAGTTGGCCAAAAACAGGGATCTTGAATCAAGCATTCCGAAGATAAAGGTTTTCTAAAAATATGAAGGCAACAAATCACTTTAGAAAAAAAACAATAAATAACTCTCATTCACAGCGGATCTCAATTATATAATACAGGTTAGAATATAGCCATATTTGTATAAGGTTTATTTTGTTTCAATTTTTGTTGGTATAGGAATCTTGGCAAGATCGTATTACAAACTTAATTAACTACATGTATTTGCATATTTTTCTTAATTTAAAGGCTGACGGAAATTGAAAATAAAATCGCTCATTTCCGTCGGCCCAGCCAAAGTATTTATCTTCCTCTAAAATTGCAAAGAAAAAATGGAGAAACGCGATGAACAGCAAGTTGACCATTTATTTTAATCTGCTTTAATAAACAGGCATAATGTCACGTCGTCTAAGAAAATAATGAAAAAATGACTCTAAAATGTAGCACCCTATATAAAAATACACAGAGTAATCATACAAATTTTAAATTTAAATATATAAACACTGCATTTAGTAGAAGTGTTAATAATCTTCTTCAATTGCAAAGAAGCCGGATTATAAACGAATAAAACTGCACTGGAATCGAATTAATTAAATCGAATCTTGGCATTTTAATGCGTGGGCATCGATCAGAATAAATAATCGAGATGGTTTGACCTATAGCCATAAGATATTCAATTCCTATTTGGGCGGCAATTTGCAGTGGACTTCTACTTCTGATTCGATATTCAAATGAAATGCGTTGAATTGAATCGCATTAGTGCCGCGTGGAATCGATATGCGAATTTAATAGATTAAGCTGACAATTGCAATGGTTCGCAGGATGAGGGAATAAACTGATGGCCAAAACCAATTGACGTATGCCAATTGGCCGTAATTGAATGAGAATTCACCTGTCGACCCCTGCTTTTCCAAGTCCACCCGGTTGGGAAGCCAATTTAATTATACCGTCTTGGCGTACAAATCTTTTGGCTTACTTGGCTCTTTTTTTTGTTGGTTTTTATTTTCTGTGTTTTTGTTTTTTGTTTTTTTTTTTTTTTTGCAGGGAACGAAGGTCGCGACAGGTTGAACTGATGGATCAGGTTTGCCTGCCCTCCCAAGACTTCAGTATCCCAAGATGGACACTTTTCCTCCTCTCCTAGTCCTTCTCTTTATCCTTAGCCTCATCCTTGTTGTTCATAATTTATACCGCCCAATATCAATCATATTCAATCATGGCAACGGGCTGCGTGTGAGGTCTAGTCCTCCTTGGACGGGTCATTCCCAAACAGATTGCCATTGACAAATGTTTTATAATCAATTTGGCATTATTAATTTGAATACACGCCACCTGCGAGCATTCATTCCCCCCTTCCCCTTTTTACCCCCAAAATTCTGCACACCTTTTCGATTGGAAACCGAACCGAAATGGGCTTATTTGCGGTGAGTCGAACAGGTTTTGCAGAAGCGTTTCGGTTTCGTCCGCTTTTTAAATACATACCATATTTTCAGGGGCAGGGGCACAAACGAAAACCAAGGAAAGTTCAGTGGGATTGCTGGGTAAACTATTTATCAAGGATTTAAGTCCAAAAAAATATGATCTGGTGGATAAAATGCTGGAAGGCATTTACTATTATTCAGAATATATTTTCAAAACATTTCATTACATTACACTTTTATTAATTATTTAATGGTTAAAAATGATATTTAAACACATTTTTATTTCCGTTAAAATGTCTTCCAATTTATTTAATATTTATTTTATATTTAGAGCTTAGAATCTTTGATGAGCTGAGTACTTTTGAACACCTGGATTTCTGGAGATTAAAATCTGAGTCCCCATATTTGGCAAGTCGATCAAGCCATATTTGGAGGTCGATATCTCGTCAAATAAAAGTTATAAAATTGAGACTCAATAATCGTCATAATCATATAATCGCCTTATTTAAGATGGTACAAAAATGGGAAATGCTATTTAGCTTCTGTGGGAATTAGTTTCGTTTAAATAAATATTAAAAGTTCTTAAAATTCTCGTCGTATTTTGTAGCTGTGTATCTTTCAAATTGTGATCGACTTTTAATATAATTTATTTATAACATATAATATAATTTTCAATTGGAATAAATATTTATTACGAATTTCTAAGAATTGGTTGATTTCCCCTAAGTTTGGTGTATTACCCTTCAAAGGTTTTCTATATTTTATAGCCATGGTATAAGGGCAATTGACTGCCCAGATGCGCCTGGCCACAATTTAGCAGCCTTTGGGAAAACTATCGCCCCTTTTCCGGTGGTGCGAACTTTTTCGGACTAATTTGCGGCAATTTGCATAATTTGCGGCTGGCTGAGTGACTGAGTGGATTGATGGAGGGATGGATTGGCCATATAAAAGGCTTCGAAAAGAGGTGTTCCAACCAAAAGGAGCTGAACATGGAAGTGGATTCGGTGAATTCAGTGGATTCGACGAGGCCACTGATGAATATCTGGCTGATGTTCCGGATAATCGGAGTTCATCCGCCGTCGCGGGAAACGCTGTGGGGTCGCTACTACGGTGCGTACTCGATAGTGTGGAACGTGACGTTCCAGGCGTTTCTCTGGGTCTCCTTCTTCGTGAACTTTCTGCTCTCCGACACGATGGAGAAGTTCTGCGAGAGCTTCTGCGTGACGATGCCACACACCCTGTATCTGGTGAAGGTGTGGAGTGTCTACCGGATGCGGAGGCGCCTCCTCCACAACATGGACGTCCTCCGCCACCTCGATGGCCAGTTGAACGGCTTGGAGGAGGCACAGATCATCTGCGAGGGCGTGGCCAAGTCGGAGTTCATATTTAGATTCATATCCCGGGCATTGAGCGTCGTGGTCACTTTGGGCATCCTCTCCGTGGCGATGGCCAGTGAACGCACGCTGGTCTATCCCACCTGGATACCCTGGAACTGGAAGGACAGCTCACGCAGTGTCTACTTGGCCACCGTGGTGTACCACATCACCGCTCTTATAACCACCAACTTACTGGTCATCAGCGTGTTCACCTACCCGGGCACCTATCTCATTCTGGTCAGTGCCCACACCAAGGCACTGGCCTTCAGGGTCGCCCGATTGGGGCGGGGCAGGCCACGCCCACCGGAGCAGGTGGAGGAGCAGCTCGTCGGCTGCATCCGGGATCACCACGTCATCCTGCAGTGAGTGTTTATTTTATATAAACATTGTTATATACATAATCTTAAGATACTTTTCCTTTTTTATTTGAACAACTAATAAGTTACACTACTAAGCATTTTTATTTGTACGGATTGATTATGGATTTTTAGAAAAATAATCCCTAAGATATATATATCCTGCTGGATTGCTTTATAATATATACTTTTTCTTTTAATAATTTTTCGTCAAGTACGATTCCCAATTAATATATTATATATTCTTGGCTTGATACGTTCAAAAAACAAAAATAAGTATTCCCAATTAAATTAGTTAGTGATTTTGCAAAATTTGAGTTTAAAAGACATTACAAGATATTTTTCTTTTAATGTCAGAAAGCTTAACATATAACATTATAACATATTTTCGAAAATAATTAACTATGTATTTACAATTAGCTATTGTTTTGTTTATTTATATAGCTTTATTTTCCTTAAGGCTTAGGTTTAATTTCCTAAAAATGCTCATTGTTCCTCATGTTTTTTTTGTGATCTCATTGCTTGTTGCATTATGTATTGCTTATATTATTTTATATTTGCTTAAACCTTTGTTAAAGCCTCTTCAAGTCGCTGGAGCAGTCAATTTCGCTGACTTGCTTCCTTCAGTTTCTGTGCACCGCGAGTGCCCAGTGCGCCATTAGCTACTTCCTGATGTTCCAGGAGGTGCGGATCATGACGTTTATCAACATGCTGGGTCTGCTGTTCGCCTTCACCTCGGAGACACTCCTGCTCTGCTTCACCGCGGAGATCCTGGCGCAGGAGGGCGAAGGACTCCTGGCGGCGGTCTACAGCTGCAATTGGTTGGATCAATCGCTGCGATTCCGCCGAATGCTGGTTATGATGCTCATGCGGTGCCAGAAACCGATGACCCTGGTCTCCCAGAAAACGGTGCCCATCAACTTTAAGACCTTTATGATGGTGGGTGATCAAGAGTATTTGTATCATACATCTACTTGTTTCACCAACTCTTTTTCAGATGATCAAAGGTGCCTACACTATGCTCACTCTGCTCAACGAAATGCGCAAGAAGTCACTTGACTAAAAGTAATGAAAACAAGAAAAGAAGCTAGCTTCTTCGGCAAGCCGAAGCTTATATACCCTTGCAGTCATCAGTTGATCCAAATGCAAAAAGGCTAAAAAACATCAAAGCTTGATATATTGATATATTGATATATTGATATATTGATATATTGATATATTGATATATTGATATATTGATATATTGATATATTGATATATTGATATATTGATATATTGATATATTGATATATTGATATATTGATATATTGATATATTGATATATTGATATATTGATATATTGATATATTGATATATTGATATATTGATATATTGATATATTGATATATTGATATATTGATATATTGATATATTGATATATTGATATATTGATATATTGATATATTGATATATTGATATATTGATATATTGATATATTGATATATTGATATATTGATATATTGATATATTGATATATTGATATATTGATATATTGATATATTGATATATTGATATATTGATATATTGATATATTGATATATTGATATATTGATATATTGATATATTGATATATTGATATATTGATATATTGATATATTGATATATTGATATATTGATATATTGATATATTGATATATTGATATATTGATATATTGATATATTGATATATTGATATATTGATATATTGATATATTGATATATTGATATATTGATATATTGATATATTGATATATTGATATATTGATATATTGATATATTGATATATTGATATATTGATATATTGATATATTGATATATTGATATATTGATATATTGATATATTGATATTGATATATTGATATATTGATATATTGATATATTGATATATTGATATATTGATATATTGATATATTGATATATTGATATATTGATATATTGATATATTGATGGTTTTTTTTAGAGGAATTTGCATACTTTTATGTAGAAGTTGAGCCAAAAGTAGTGGCTTAAAGTCTTTTGTCAACATGGCGAATGATTGATTTAAAGGAACACTTTCGGATAACACATGATTGCAACTTAAAATCCCCCACGAAACGAAGCTTTATCTGAATAATTATTGCATTCGTAGCAGCGGACTTTTCACTTGGCCAGCGATTTTAATGAATGCTCCATAATGCAGGAGCTTATTATTAAGTGGGTTGAACGGAAATTGAAGCAACACAAATTCGTCTGACAGTTGAGCCACCCAACCACACAACCACACAACACACCTGAAAAGAAGGATCCCTAATAGACACTTTAATTGAAGCCACCGCCAACAAAGTGGGCGTGGCACTCGCACCACTCAGCTTATCATATTTGCAAAAATACACACTTAACCACCGGGCTTTAACTTGTTTTTATATATTTCGAGAGCTCTGCTTTTTCTGCACAGTAGGATGGCGATTGTTGTTAATGAAAAAATCAAGAAAAAATGTAAAAGGATTTCCTTTGATGTGTAATGCACTTATACGAATTAATGAAAATAAATGCAATTATAGCAATAAAAAGTATTTCCACAGATGTCGAAGAAAAAACGATCTATTTGAACTGTAATTGAATTTTTTGACCCACAGTGCACAGTGCTAAAGTCCACATAAGTCAATTAATGGATATGAGATTAATGATTTAATCCAAGCGCGATTCCAGCGACGCTTTCAATCTGATTCATTTTCGAAGTGAGCGCACTGAAAGTATTTAAATATTAAATCGCCAGCATAATTATGTAAGCCATCGGTGGCAGTTTGAATGGCATTTAACCCTTGAAATAATCCTCGTTTCAAATATGTGAGTATGAGTATGCTTTTATTAGGTGTACCAACAGACAAAAAAAAAAACACGTGTAAACATAACATTAAAATACACATAACAAGTTCTAAGGCTAAAAACAGTGAAAACATACATTAATGTAGGCTTAGGCAAATGTTTATTTGGCGAGTCTATTGGAAAATTTCTTAAATATTTACACAAAAACCGAACGAGCGGGGCAAACTCATTAAAAGTTGGAAAAGGCAAACTCGAAGGCACCAGATTTGCATAACAACAAAGAGTTGGTATTCTTTTTTATGTTTTGGAAATCGAGTAAAATGCGTAATTAGCGTGCCGAAAAAAAAACACATGAAAAAGAAAATAGAAGCGGCAGCCATAGCGGTTAATAAATGGAAAATGCAAACAAAGGTTAAAGGTTAAAGAAATATAAATTGCAGGTTAATGAAATCGAGGTTGTGTGTTCCAATGGGAGTTATCCTGGGAATTATTTCATCTGTATTAACTGAGGATTTTCATATTGCACTTTTGATTTAATTTCTTAAATTTTTTGCAGATTTTCGAAGGGTAAAATTTGTAATATAATATCGTTGCAATAATTTATAATTTTCAGTAGTGTCTTTAGTTAAAACTGATTATTTTTTATCACTTAAATAATGTGTTGCAGGAATTTATTTATGAATCGTTGTTTTAGGTGAAGATATTGCTTTTGGCAGCGCTGATGTTGCTGCTGTTTCTGTTGCTGTTGCTCCTATTATTGCTGTTGTTGCTGTTGCTATAGCTTCTACTGTTGCTACTGCTGCTGCTCTTATTACTCCTGTTCTTGATGTTGCTGTCGCTGCTGTTCCTTCTTCTGCTTTTGCTGTTGCTGCTGTTGCTGCTGCTGCTGTCGTTGCTTGAACGCTTTAGGGATATTTCACAATATTGTTGCCGTCACCTGGCAGCTGTCCCCCACTTGTTGCGGTCGCCTGTTGCCTTGCTCCTGCCACCCTATGTCCTGTTGCTGCTGCTCCTGCCGCTCCTCCTGCAACGGCAACTCCTCCCCCTGTTGCTCCACCCAGTCCAGATGTTGCTGTTGCACCCAGGGCCGTTGCTGCTCCCGGCTGGTACAAGTGCGTGCCATAATGCACGGCGCCCGGATGGCTGAAGTACGGAATGATGGCCGGCGCAGCTGCGGTCATCAGTGGCTGGGGTGTTGGCCCCGTTATAAGGTTGCTCGATCCCGAGCTCAAGCTCGAACCCAAACCCGAACCGGAAACGGAAAGGGAGACGGGAGCTGCCTGGGTGTACAGCGGCTGCAACAGCGACGCCGGCTGGTAATGATGGTAGTGATGGATCGGCGGACCATTCGCCGGCGACAATCTGACCACGTGAATGGGAGACGCCGCCGATTCGTGCAGCTTGCTCGGGTTATTGTTGCTAAAACGTGGCAATATGGCGAACTGATGTTGCTGTTGCTGCTGTTGCTGTTGCTGCTGCAGATGGTGCTGCTGTTGTTGGTCGGGTGGCGCCTGCACGTAAATGGGATTATAGTGCACCACCGGCAAGTGCTGGTGACGTGTTGCCGTTGCAGCTGCCTGCGATGTTGCCGCCGTGCTCGTTGTCGTTGTTGTTGTTGATGATGATGTTGATGTTGTCGCCGCTGTCGGCGCAACTGGCGAGTATTTGTGTTGCTGCTGTTGCAGTTGTTGGTGCTGCTGCTGCGAGTGTTTCAAGGACTGTTGCTGCTGCGGCTTCTGGTATTGCTGCTGTTGCTGTTGCTGTTGCTGCTGGTGTTGGTGTTGCTGCTGCAGTGGATACGCTGAAAGGGGAAAACGAATCAAGTGGTTTTGAAACTTCAGGTGGCAGGGTTTAATCCAATGCCCCAACGGCCTTTGACAATCGGTTCAGTCGGCTAATTGGTTGTGCCACCGATTTTTGGGGCAATAAACGGGGTGCAATATCGTTTGGGGTGGTTTCTTTTGTGGATTTGCTGCTCTTTGAATCAGAAATTATCTGTTACCCTTACACGGATGAGGAAAAAAGTTTGATGAAATACGTATCAAATTAGATTGCAAGTGTTCAATGAACTATAATATTTCTTTGATAAAATCGAAAATATTGCACAAAGAGAGAATGCTTATACAATTTAATCTAAGCTTATTAGAAATACTTTCTTTTAGCTTTAATCTGTACAATATACGGACGATTTCAAATTGCTCCTCTGATTTAATATCCACTATTAATAGGCTATATGAAACCGCCTTTTTGATTTCATTTTAAATATGGTGAGGGGGAAATTTGTTAGCCATATAATTTGATGCTTATAGCCTAGTGATTTTCAAGTGTTACCCCTGTTTTAATTTATATATTTATTAGCGTGTCTCGAAAATTACTGGCAATTTGTTTCAGAATGTATATGCATGTATTTAATATACGAGTATTTTACAAACATACATTTTTCAAGATATTACAAATTATTTAAAATCACACGGGTGTTTATTTTCTTTTTCTTTTGTTACCTCTTTTATATTTCGTATTTTAAAATTCATTATTTTTCACACTAATTTTCCACTACAGAAATAATTGTTTTTAAAAGCTTTTTTTCCGCTAATGTACCTGCTGATGTACCCCACCTTTTCTCCCAGTGCATCAATCACCGGAGGTCAAACGGGGATGACTTAGTCTACTCACCATAAAGCGGACCCGGCTGCTCGGCGTAAATGGTGGACTGCTGCGGATGCGGCGGCTGCAGGAAGATGCGCTGCAGTTGCAGCTGGATCTGCGGCTGGTGGTGGTGCGCCTGTGGGGCGGCGACTGGCTGGTAGACTAGCTGGGTGGGCTGGTAGGTGGGTGGTGCGGTCGGTGTGCCAGCGACCTTGGCGTAAACCGCTTGTTGCTGCTGCTGCTGCTGTTGCTGTTGCTGCTGCTGTTGCTGTTGGTGGTGCTGCTGGATTTGCTGGGCGGTGGCCATGAGCAAAGTGGTGGGTATCTGCAGGTACGGCTGGTGGATCAGTGGTGCAGTGGGCCCAGCGAGTGGTGCACTTGCCGCATCCGATTGGTAATACGGCTTGTATTGACCCTGATGATCGCGGGCCAAGGGACCCAACACTTGCACCACCGACGAATGCCTGCCACCGGGTGGTGCAGCGCTGGCTGTGCTGCCACCAGCACTAGTGGTGGGTGGTGCCAGCAGCAGTTGGTGCTGCTGCTGCTGCTGTTGCTGCTGCTGTTGCTGCTGTTGTTGCAACTGCCGCATGTACGACAGCGGAATGGCAATTATGTACTGAATTCGCTGCTTCTGCTGCGGCTGTTGCAAGTACTTCGCTTGATGCGCCACTTGCTGCGGCTGCTGCTGTTGCTGCTGCGGATGGTGTTGCTGATGGGTCAGTGGTGCGGCGTATGTGGCACCCGTTTCCGGCTCAAGTTCGCCGTAATTGAAAATCGGTTGTGGTTGCAGCTGCAACTGCAACTGCGGCGGCGGCGGCTGCTTGAATGCCACTTGCCGCTGAAAGGGCTCCACTTGCGGCGGCACTGCGAAGCTGAAGCGGTGCTTCTGGCCAAAGAAGGTGGCCTAAAGCAGTGATAATTAAGTGCCTGCGTCTGTCTGTGTGTCTGTGTGTGTGTGTGTGTGTGTGCTGTGGTTTTCGCCCAAAAGCGCTACTGGAAACATACAACATACCTGTGGTGGCAGCGGCGGTGGCGACGGTGGTGCCGGTGGTGCAACTGCCGCCTCAGCTGCCGTGTATCGCAGCGTGGTGGGTCCAAAGATGGGCGTCGGCGTCTCCGCCTCGAAATGGCCGCTGGTTGGGTGGTAAATCGGCCTAAATGGCGACTCTCTGCTCGACAACAAACCCGCGAACGGCGAACCTGCTGGCGAAAATTTGCGGTCATTCGATGCAAACTGCAAACTGCAAACTGCAAACACTGCAACCTGCAAGCGGCAAGCGGCAAACTGCAAACACTGACAATCAATCAACTTGCGGCCGGAGTTGCAGTTAGTCGATCTTGCCATTCGGCATCACAAATCAATGAAGGCCATAATCGGCGAATCAAATGCACCTCCACTGGCAAGGAATGCGGCGAGCCAAATATAACTTCATTGTGGGTCTAAGACGCACCATAAGCTATATAAGCTATATAATCTGATTTCAGGGTGTACATTCAGCAAAGGAAAAAAGTGCATAGCAATATATGTAAAGCAACAAAACTGTGGCTAAAAAGATTCCTTTATTTTGGAATTGTTTTGGAAACTCTTTAAAAATTGTTTACTTGTTTTCCAAAAAAATGTTTTTCTTTCTTTAGCAAAGATATTTTATACGATTTAAAAAAGTCACCTAACCTTTGTTATTTTAGCCTTCAAAGTTAAAACTATTTAATAGGTTACCTTATATAATATAATATATCTAGTAATATTTTTGGGTTATTATTCCCATTTCTGTGTACAATTATTGCAGGTTATAACTCAAAATAAAATAAAATTTTTAATTAAATCACTTAGTTTGTTTTAATTTAGATTTTATGGCCAACTTCAGATTGAAATACTTCCTGTTGATTTGTTATTTTACGATGACCTTTTGCCAAACTAAAATCGTAATCAATTTTCCCGACTTGCCTGTTTGGTCCGAAGAGTCGCGTTTTTCCGTCTTGCTCTTCGAGTCCTCGACTACACTCGGGGTCAACTTGGTAGTGGCTGCGTCCTCGACCTTGTCGGCGACCTTGGCGGACACCGCCGCAATATCCTCCGCCCGGCAGTTGGCCAAAAGGCAGCAGCAGCAGGCCAAAATGACCAATACCTGGCCAACATTAAAGAGCAAATCGCATTAAATCAAATCGAAATGAACCCATAAAGTTGGCAATTCTCCCCTAGATTTCTTATTGTTAATTTAGTGGATTTAATGTTGGAAAAACGCGTGCGATTAAAAATATATTTGCTCTGCAATTCATAATAATACTTAATTTGATTGAATTGATTTATATGCAATTATGGAATTTGTATTCACCGACGTACAATTGTTTTCCGCTCTCGTCACACATTCGCATTATTTTTTATTTATCCGCTGCACACGCGATTAATAACTAATACTCGTAATTAAGCCAAGCGATGTACAATGAACCTGGCATAAAGGTAATTATTAATAAGCCGCATAGCTCTGAACACCATTCCATATTCCATCCATCCATCCATCCATCCGGTTAAATTGTATTTGAGGCAACATTGGCAATCCAATCCACTCCAATCCGTTCGCGGTTATTATTTACATGGCAGTAAATCTGATCTGATCTTTCGAGATGAGAAATGAGTCGGATGGATTTATGGCGGTTAGTTAGTCAAATTGGATGGATGGATGGGTTCATCTATGATGGCATAATTTGCGCGGTTTTGGTTGAAAGTTTAGTGACTGGCTTTAAAAGTGTTTAGAATTTGTGAAACAGTGAGAGGATTCCTATTTTACTTATCAAATATATCTTTGCCTTTAAGGTTACTGAAATTTAAAATCATGTTCCAAATCAGATAAATAACTATTTAGTACAAGATTTACTAAAATCTTACATGTTTTCAAAAACTGTTTGTTATTTTATTTCAATACTTATTATTAAATATTTTATTTGTTTATTTTAAAGCAGCGGGATTATGGAAACAACCTCTGAACTAAATAAATGATAAACTGTCCATTATCTTTTATTGTCCCCCCTTTAATTTTGTTAACTTTAATTAATAATGAATGCGCGCCATCGATTCGCTAACATTTTATAGAATTATCTCCCTTCGATTATCCAAATGCATTCGATGGCATTGCAATCAAGCGGAAATAATCAGAATGGGCGATGATTTATATCATTATCAATATTTGATTGCCAACTTTCAGTGAGTTCGATAACAATTATATGGGTTTAAACCTATTTTGTATTATTTACCCGTATGCGCGGCATTATTCCAGTTGCAGCGTTTATTTATTCAAACCAATATATACCAATATATAATACAATATATGGTACGTAAATATGTACTAACTATTTTGTGTGTTCACTTCTTTTTTCTCTCGTTCGGTTCGTTATAATTTGGTTTCCCTCTGTCACTCAATTAAAATTCGATACGTTTTGGCAAACCAAAACAAAACAAAAAAAAAAAAATAGAGGAAAAAAAAACAGAAATTCAAACAAACGAATTTATAAACACTTTTCACGGTTATTTGTTTAATGCGAATGTTGTTGTTGTTCTTGTTTTGTTATTATTGTTGTTGTTGTTGTTGTGGTTAAGTAAACGCGCCGGCTTAAAATCGCTCGCGATTTTTCCTGTGGCGGCTTAAATCGCTAACTCGCGTGTTGGCCAACAAAGTGAGAGTGAAATTGGTTCGCCAGCTTTGCGGCGTTTTATAGTCAGCGCTTTGATTCGAGTGCATGAGTTGCAAGCTGCAGCTGCAGCAAACTGGCCACGGGCAACATGCAGCTAGCAGCTTGAAGCAACCAACAACCAACAACCAACTAGCAACATGCAACAACAAAAAACGCGCGCAGTTAGCAACTTGAAATCAGCTAAGAGCAACTGGCAACTTGCAACTTGCCACCGTTGGGGGCAAGCACCTTGTGGTGTCGCCTGCGATCCGTCTAAGCCATTTGTGGAGCACAATCACGGCCATTACCCGATTGCATTGGCTTTGGCTATTGGCTTTGGTTTTATCTCCTCGCAAATCCTATGGTCATTGTCATCTGAAAGATCCGCCGCTCTATTTTGGATTGCATCATCGACTTTTACTGGAAAAATGCCGCATCTGCCACTCGTCTTCAGTATTCGGAAGCAAGTTTGTCGACAAACCACACTTAATACTTAAAAATAGGAGTGCCACCAGCTTATTACTAAAAAAAAAACAATAATAAATGCTTAACTCCCCATAAAACCTGTAATAAAACGGATTGAATTATTATGCCACAAATTGTTTCATGAGTCCAACAAATGTAACCTGCAATTGCTTTTTATGTAAAATATTTCACGAAATCTTTTGCAACTCCAACACCTCTGTTTCGAAATACCACAAAAAAAAGAGGAAAATAACACTTAACACATTTTAATGGCTAAATAATCCACCTGTGGGCGCCAAGTATTCGTTTCCACTTCTGTTTATGTTAAATATTTAACCTCGAGAACCCACAAGTTAATACTTCCGGCTATTCACAAGAATCGTTTCTCTGTTCCAGTAATTTAAAGACAAGGCAGCACGTTTAGTGCTATTTAAGTACTAGATCTTAAATGCCAATCCTTTTGGGTGTGTTTAAATAATTTTACGTGCGAATCGTGAATCGATAATGCTTAGTGCGCTAAAAGTTCGCGTTCGCTCAATTAAAATTGTACTAATTCCCCACATTACATTAAGTGCTACTTTAACCCGCGTTTCCCTCGAGTGGAGATGGGATTAACTTGCACTCATTAGGAGTTTGTATTTGCATTGAAGGTCCTGCAGCAGCCGTCGTGTCCTTCTGCTCCTGCAAACTGTGAAAATGTGGAGGAATGTGGCCTGTGGAATGTCTGGCGAGCCTGTGGTCCTTACTCCATTTCTGTTGTTGAACGAACCGTTTACAACGGACGATGATTTTACGAGCGCTCCTAATAAAATCAAGTGGCTTTCCATAAAACTTAACTGTTACTTTTAGCAATGCCAAACAGAACAGCAAACACACACACACACATACACACACTGAGCCAAAAACACTAACATTTCCGAGCATCCGAGCAGCGACTCGTCCTTTTCGTCCTGCACCTTTGCTGCTGTCGAAAAATGCCCATGCAATGTCAAATAAAAGTCCCCCAATTTGCAGTTGGACATAAAATGTGTGTGTGTGTGCGTGTGTGTAAGTGTGTGTTTGTGTGTGGCAAGTTGAAAGTTCTCCATGAAAGTTCTGTGTGTTTTTTTTGAAGGAGGAGAATGCAGAAGTTAAAAGTCCCCCCGTTCGCCTGACAAAAACATCCTGGTAACATCCATTTAATTGTTCCTCCACCGAAGCTTTGCTCCTCTTGGACAGGAAAGTGTTATAATTAGTAGTGCCAACGATGATATGGGAGGTTCGGGGTGATGTTGGGTGTAGTTCGGGGTGTAGTTGGTTGGGGCAAAGCGGTTTCTCATGCATGGTTAGTTTTTGTTTGGCAAGTTTGTTGGCTCGAAAGGTTGGCCAGGATGAAAGGCATGTGGGCATTTCAACTGTAAACTGCAAACTGTAAACTGTAAACTGTGAGCTGTGAATACGAGTATTCTGCTTAAATCAAACGTCCGAAACTTTTTTCCCAGCTCCACCATATTTAGGTTCCTTTTAAGTATTTTCACCGCAAATTGCCTTGGGATGTAACAGAAAAATATTAACCAAAAAAGAAAAGTAGTGTCGAAATATTCTCATATTAAAGTGGCCTTAAATTCGGTTTTTGGCATTGGTGCAACGTGCTATTTTGGCTCAAAGTCCTGTCTAATTACTGCGTACGCACTTCAGTTTGCCGGTGGTTATAAGGATTCCAATTACACGTGGCTTGTGCCACTCGAGAACGGCTAAAGTCTGTGCGCTTCGCGAAATGCGCATAATTACAAATTAGAACCTGAAATAATTATGCCAGCGAGCGATGTGTAATTGAATTCGCACTGAAATCCAACCTAATCGAATTGCAGCGCAACAAAACCAATTTTCCGCCGCGGATAATTGCGTCAGTTTTATAATGAAATATTTTAATTTTTGCCACCCGCTTCATTTGCAGTTCACTTCAGCAGAATAGCATCGAATGCTGGCCAAAATAATACATAAACATAGATGGTTGGTTGGTTGGCTGATGCAACCAGAAATTTCCCGGATCGAGTGGCATAATTAAGGGCGGCATCGAATCTCGAGCTTGTCATTGCATATTGGCAATCGCATATTCGCATAATTAATGGCCAGATTATTCCAGAAAGTAATTAGGTAGGCGGACTGCTGAAGGCGGATTTGGAAATCGGGCCAGGAAATCGGGCGATGCGTTGGCAATCGAACTTATGCAATCCGGAGTCCGCAATCCGCAATCCGAAACTGAATCAGTTCAAACGATCCAATGCGAAACTGGTTTACACGACTCCCCGAAAGGAAGCGTTCAAGCCGTCGGCCAGCGTCAATTATTTTACACGGAAATGCTCCTCGGGCCGTCGCATTTTGGGTGAAATGCACAGAGCCACAGATCGGGATCCACGACCAGGTGGGCCTTCCATTCCGGACCGACTCCCCATCCAACTGGTTTTCACGCACTTTGCCTCCACAAGTGCACTACTAGCCTTCTTTCGGGTCTTCCGGCCACTGCGACTTTGTTTCCTCTCAGAAAAACAGTCACGAAATATATCAAATTGGTTCACGTCTGGGAAGAAAACGAATTTTTAGAAAAGTAACCTAATCCCAACACTTCTAAAGCCACACTAATTTAATTTTTATCCAATTTTTATGATTGGTGTTGAAATTGTTATTAAAATATCTCACCAGCTGCATTATTAGTTTATTTTCCATTTCTGAATCGATGTTTTGACGAGATTTCAGCGCTTCTAAAGCCATAACTTTGCATATTTTTATTTGATTTAAGAGCGGTGTACGAACTGCATCATTAGTATTTTTTTCCCTTCAAAATTTAGGGAATTGCAATTGGCTAACTTTTAATTTCCCTTTTTTATACTTTGCTGTGGAATCCCATGAATCCACCCTTTTTGCCACCCAAAGATCAAATTAAAATAGTTTTCCTGGTGGGATTATTAGAGGCAATCAGAGCTGCCCCAGATCACGAGCCGTGTGGTTGCTTTGCGGTGGCGCAGATTCCAGTTTTTTTTTGTTTTGCTTCGGAAACAAACAAACAAGCCGCCCAACTGCAATCGCTGATTGTGTCTCTGGCTGTCATGTGCTTCCTTCGGCCATATATCTTTAGTGGGCCGAGTGGAGCGGGTCCGGCAGGTAGAATGTGCACTCGAGCACCAGAGAGTCGGGCTGAAATCTCGGTTTTTGGCCTTAAGTGGCCACCAAAATTCGCTCCTGGTCAGACTAAAAAAAAAACAAAAAAAAAACAAAACAAAAAAATGGTTGTCAACGCAAGTGAGGGGAAACCGAGCCAAAAACTAAACCCAACCACATTGGCCATCCAAACCAGATTGCGTGCCACCGTTTCCCCACCGCGGGCCAACTTGGCCAACTTGGCCACTGCTCAGCTCCCCAAACAGTTAAAAGCTAAATTATTCATTACAATTTCCGCGCTGACGGGACAAAAAAAACAACAACAAAAAAACAAACAGCAGAGGAGGAGAAAAAAAAACAACAGAGAGCAACACACACTTGCAGAGGCGAAGAAAAAACAACAAAGTTTTCCATGGAAATGCTTGAAATGCTCATTTGAATCTGCCACGTAATTTCGCTTGCGGTCTAATGAGGAAAAAAAAACGCGCGATTTGCGATTTTCGGCGCTGGTTTTAAACGCAGCGGCAGTTGACTTTAAATAAGTTGCTCGGTCGCTGCATTGAAACGATGCCAATTTCTGTTGCCAAACTGCGGCTGTGACAGTGGCTCACATCGCTGGAGCTCGTTTAAGTTTTCCTCTTATTTTGTTTAGCCAGCAAACTTCCGCAAACAGTCGAGCTTCCCTAAGCTGAACTTTGGCAAGTGGAATTTACAGAAAAGCTAGAACTGAAATTGTTGCAATTGTTGCATTATTGAAATGTGTATATTCTATTTTTCGAGCTTAAAATGTAATTTATATTAATATTTCAATATAATATATAAATATATCAATATATCAATTTAAAACGTATTATTATATTTTTCACAATAAATGCATGTACAGTAGAATCCTGTTATAACGACTCCGCTTATAGTGTCCGTCCGGGTTGTGCGTCGAAAACTCGATGGTTTGGTTGGCCCCCATACAAAGTTATATGAAAGGGCCTCCGCTTAGA